AGAAGATCATAAATACGCCTGAGGCCCAACTTTCTAGCCGGAAATACCAACGTCGCGTTCGCCAAGCTACGGAGTCATTGATCAAGGCGGTCGAAGAGATCGAGGCGTATAAGGGGTCCGTTTCAGCCACACACCGCCAGCAAACCAAAAAGAGTCGCCGCCAGGTTAAAACAGGACTTAGCCAGACCGGTGCTTTGTACGTTAGTGAGGCGAACCGTCATATCGAGGCGCGTGGTCAGAAGGAGCGGGAGGCGGTAATTAGGAAGGCACAGCGGGACTGGCAGCGGGAAAATCAACAGGAAAATCAGCAGGAACCATCTCCTATACCCGATCAACCTACTAGTACGGAGGATCTCGGTTTTTATATCGATTTACATCCTGAGTTCTGATATATAGATGATGGTAATAAAATTGTACTTTTGGCCTGGGTTGTGCTTTTGGTCTGGGAGCACCCACAACCGGAGGTTGTGGGGCGGTCATGGGGCACGGATAATCTGTAGGTATCGGTGATCTGCAGGGCGTAGTAGATCACAATCCAAAGTATCGAGGATGGAGCGTACGCAGTAGTTACCAGGGCATATACTCATCTACTCACAGAATAATTATATAACTTATTGGTTTTGCAGTTGAATATTAGGGAATTCGACCCTTTTCCTTCTGTACCATCTTATTTTGGTCGTTTGTCGTTCCATTGCTAGTTGTGTCTATCGAAAGCCTCAAGTGCAAGAATCGGAACATGTCGAAACTCATTCTCTACGACCTTCCTACCAAGGAGCCAAGGAGATGCTGGACATATAATCCGTGGAAAAGTGCGACCCCTCCATAAGTTCCTCAAACCCATCACTTACGGTGTTAGCTCGTCTCGTCCTGAATTACAAAGGCATCGATTACGAGACCGAGTGGACCGCATACCCTGATATCGAGGGCAAGTTTAAGTCCTTGTAATATATGCACCCCATCCCGATCCATAGAAAGATGATTAATCACTTACCGTTTCATCCAGCGGTATTCCTCCGGGCGAGTCTGGCACACCATACACCATCCCCGCCATAAAAGTCGGCGACCATTATGTGATGGACTCCAAGAGCATCGCCCATGAACTCGAGGCGCTTCATCCCTCTCCTCCGCTATATCTGGATGATCTAGTCCTCGCCGAAGTCGAGACTGCCTTTCGGGGGGTGTGGGGACCGCTATACCAGGGAATTATCCCGAAAGTCCCGCGCCGCTTGCTTCCGGAGCGGGACAAAGAGTATTTCGTACGGACACGTGAAGAAACCCTCGGAGCACCCTTGGAAGAACTTGAGAAGACGAAAGGGGGGGAGGGGGCGTGGAAGGAGGCAGAGCCCGCGATTAGAGAGTGGGCGGAGATTTTGAAGAGGGAGGTGGGGCCGTTTGTAAAGGGGAAAACAGGTATGTGAAGCCGTTCAGACTAGGATCCATCTCAAGACTTATGTGTGGTTATAGTCTCGTATGCAGATTTTGTCATCGTTTCCTTCCTACAATTCGTGAAGACCATAGGGGATGATGTCTTCGACAAATTCGTAGGATATGATCAGACATTCAAAGACATCTACGAGGCATCGGCGGACTGGGTGAAGCGGGATGATCATTGAGAAGATGAGCCGGCTCAGGCAATTCGCAACGAATAGAATCAGCAGCTGGGTCACTGATGGGCATATATGCCAATAAATTCGGTTCAAATAATCAACAAGTGTAAATGCTCCAAATAGGTATCTGAATCAAACCGCTCCCTTGAGCAACCCTAACCCCAATGGACAACACGATAGTATCAGCGACACGCTAAAGGAATCGCTCTTATGCAACCACGAATTGGCAATTTATAGAAAGACGTACCAGATCATCGTGCGCCCTCGACGTGAGCTCATCCCTTCAGATCGAGAGTTTCCTCAGCATTTCCTTCCCCAGATCCAACTCCTTCTTCAACGTCCCCATATGCTTCTCAAATTCCGTATCCAATCTCCGATCTTCCACCCTCTTCTGCGCCTCCAACCCCCCCAGTGCCTCCGCCGACGCATTCTCAATCCGCGACGCCGCCACGCTGATATCGAACTCCACCTGACTCAGCAGCAAATCCAACTCGTGGAACCCCCGCATTAACCCCTCCGACGATTCCGTCAGCGCCTCCACCGCCCCCGTCGCCTGCCCCACCACCTCCTTCAACCGCCCCTTCCCCCCCCCATCCATCCCCGCCTTCCGCAACTCTAGCCCGGGAAACATCCGATCCGCCGCCGCGGCGATCGCCGCCACGTCCCCCCCGTTCTGCCGCGTCGCCCGCTCCGTCGACGCCGAGACCACCTCCCACGCGCGCCGCACCCGGTCCGCGCGCTCCTGGCTGGCGCGCAGCACCGCCGCCTTCTCCGCCTGCTCGAAGTGTTTTTCCATTGTCTTCATCTTCTGGATGCTGTTCGCGGCGTAGAGGCGGCGCACCTCGGCTTTCTTGTAGCGTCGATCGCGCTCCGCAACGGTGTCGGTGACGGCTTTGTGGCAGACGTCGATGCGCTGGTAGACGTCGGTGAGAAGGCGGGTGGCGGCGGGGATGGATGGGCGGGTGTCGTCGAGGGTGTCGTCGTCGTCGGAGGCGAAAGGGGAAAGTGCGACGACGCCGGCGATGGCGTCGTGGCGGAGGAGGTCTTCAACTTTGACGTAGACTTCCATGATTTGGCGGATTTCTTCTTGCAGGCGGCTATAGCTAGGGTCGAAGACCTCGCGGACGTAGCTTTCCCACTCGCTCTTGTCTTCGGCGTCTTTCTTCGTGCGCTCTTCTTCGTTGAAGGCGCTTTCAAGGTCGTTGATGTCGCCGTATGAGATCTCCTGCGACGCGAATAACTCGTCGTTTCGTCGCTCGGCGTCCGATTCGCGTGTGCGGCGCTCCGCATCGAGCTTGGTCCGGGTATCCGTAGCTTTGACTTCCCAGTCTTTCAGGATTGCAGCTAAAAAGCTAAAGTCCTTTCCAAACGAGTTAAACGCCGCTCTCAATGCCTCTAGATGTGGACCAGCTCGAGCTTTCTCAATCTTCTCGGGAACCAGAAACGCCAGATTATCGAGCTCCGGGAAGCCAGATTTTGAATAATTTCCGCTCCCCGGCCGCTCCTTTGCTGGCTTCGTTGGCTGCGGTTCCTCAAAGAAGACTTCATCATGGGGATTTCTCGCTTTGAGGGGTTGTCCGGGTGTTTGATCGAACGCAGGCGGAATAACTGCCTGTTGCTGCGGCTGCTGCGGCTGTTGCACCGGGGGCGGCTGTTGCGCCGGGGGTGGAACGATGACCGGTTCTGTTGGCAATTTTGCGGAGAAAGGTTTATATGCCGGCTGTGGTGGATCATCCGGTATCTGCGGCAGCGACACGCGATGCGCCGCCTTATTTGCCGGCTCCCCTTGACTTTTATCATTTGCGACCGATCCACCACGATACGCCTTGTAGACCCCTCCAGGTGGCGTGTCCGTCCTCGGCGGCGTGTCCGTGCTCGGGCGACTGTGCAGCGGGCTGATCGACCCCTCTCGCTGTTTCGGGAACTTGACGACGTGCTCCGGCGACGCTAACGGCGGTTGGCTGGGCGGGGTGTTCCCTGATAAGGACTGTGCTCTCGAAACCGTCGTCGGGGGGGGGACGCTCTCGAGCGGAAGAGTCTGCTGTCGCTTCAACTGCCCGCGGTGGATCGGTCGGCCACCGGGGCTATATTCCCCGTCGGTTGGCTCCACCATCACGTACGAGTCCATCTGGAGAGGCGAGGTCATCGATTGCCTTGCCGGCTCGCTTCTAAGCTGGCTCGGCTTCTCCTCAACCCTCACCGGGCTGGGCGATCGTCTGTCCGCATGCATCAACTCGGCGTCACCCTTCGACGACGAAGGGGTGACCGGATAATCGATATTTCGCTGCGCCAACTCGTATTTCACGAACGAGGTGAAGAGCCGGGATTTTTCCGCGATGGTCGGCGCCGCCGCTTCCTGGAAGAGGATGTCTCTGTAGCGCTCCAGGGACGCGGCATACCACTCGCCGAGGACACCGCGCGGGTCGACAGGTGCGGTGACCTTGGGTTCGGGAATGGCGGTAATTGGCTCTGTCGACGCAACGACGTTGGGGTGAGTAAATTCTAGTCTTGGAGGTGGAGGCACCGAGGTAGGAAGTGCTACGTCATGCACAACCGGAGTGTCCGCAGGTACCGGGATCGTATCCCTCTGGGCGTTCGGAGGCGGTGCACCCATATTCGAGTCTCCCATGATAATCGCACTATCATCCATCACACACGATCCTGCTATAGGCGTAGCCGCTTCGGGAGCCTTCGCCGATCCTCCAATAACAATCGGCTTCCTTTCACGCGCTACCGACTGGGGATTTTCCTCCGGCATCGGCGGATACCAAGGGGCATCATCCGCCGCCTCTTCCTGCAGCGCTGGCTTCGGGGCGCTGCCACCGATCACAATTGATGCTCGTTCTCGGGGAGCGGACACCGGCTCTTCCGGCATGGGCGGGTACCATCCCGCTTCTTCGGCCACGCTTTCCGGTCGGGGTTGGACGGGTTTCCGGAGGCTGCCGCCGATGACGATGGGTTTGCGGGTCGCGGGCGGGGTGGGCTGGGGTTCTTCGGGCATGGGGGGGTAGTATCCGCTCTCCTCCATAGCGGTGGAGGTTGATAGGTCGGGGGTGGGAACGGTTTCTGCGACGGTAGACGGCTTCACATCTCCACTTTCCGCGAAATCCATCGGGGGCGGGAGATCTCCAGTGGCTGATACAGGCCGGTTATTGATGGAGTCCATCCGATGGACTCCGGGCGGGGTTGGCCAATCCTGTCTCTGATCCACCACTGCATCTGCCCTGGTGCCGATTTCCGTGCTATCCAACTGCTGCGGCGAGGTGGGCTGATCATCATTGGTCTGCTCGCTGGCGCCATACGCCTCTGTATCGTCAATGTCGCCATCGCCCATCGAGCCGAAATGCTCCCAATCAGACGGCCCGCCAAAGCCGAGGACGGACGCGCTGATTTCTGGTTTGGCCGGGTCTTTTTCTTCTTTCGGATTCGCGACCGGTTGACTAACTGAGTCCTGCCGTTGCGACGTAATCGGCGTCTGGCTCACGGATGCATGCCTCAGGGGAAGTGGTCCTCGCCCCGCGCCCGGGACGGGTTTCCGCCCAACCTGCGGCACGGACTGATTGGAATCTTGTCTAGACGGCCCAGAAACCTGGCTCATGGAGTCGAGGCTGATGCTCCCTAGCTGCGACACCGGGGATATCGGTTGATTATCTTGAGTAGATAAATCTTTTGGCATCTGCACTTGATATTGTTGATTTTGGTACAGGTTCGATTCTTGACTGGGTGTACCAGCGCCGTATACGGGTTGAGTAGGCATTTGTGGTGGGGGTTGGCTCTGCATCTGCGGTTGCGGGGGAGGCGTCTTGTACTGACTTGGTTGAGGAGGTTGATACTGCCCTGGCTGTGGCGCAATCGGTGGTTGAAATTGTTGCTGCATGTCTATCTGAGGAGTTGGTGATGCGACTGCCTGTTGAGGAGCAGGGCTTTGGTAGGTCTGTTGAGCCGCTCCCTGCAATTTCATGGCTGCCGCAGCATCTTGTGGCGGCTGGTGCGCTTGCTGCTGAGGAGCGTACTGCATAGGGCGCGGCGTCTGCTGTGCAGCATGTTGGGACTGTTCGGTCGGTTGCTGTTGATATTGCTGAGGCGCTTGCTGTTGCTGGTCGTATGATTGAGGAGCCGGCTGGGAAATCCCCTGGAAATTCTGAGGTGCACCGGGTTGCTGCTGTATTTGCTCGTAGCCTTGGGGAGCGGACGACGAAGCCTGGAAATTCTGTGGCGCTGCTGCCTGTTGGTGATCATAGGCTTGAGGAGTAGCAGTCGTCGCCTGGTAGTTCGGAGGTGCACTTTGCGGCTGCGGTTGCTGTACATTTGCTTGACTATGCGGATCATACTGCTGCGGTGGGGGCGCCTGTGGCTGGGCCTGTGGCTGAATCCATTGCGGAGCCTGGAACTGCGGAGGTTGCTGGCCCTGCTGTGGTTGATGGTAGGGTTGTTGCAACTGCGAGTGCTGCGAATGCGACTGGTTGTACTGCGCTTGGCCTGGAACAGGATCCTTCGGCGGCGGCACGGGAGGCAACTGGGTCTGGATCTGTGGGTTCGTCGCATCGAACTGGGGGTTATAAGCAGCCTGCTGCTGTTGGTCCGGCTGCTGGTACTGTACATGGGTAGCCGGTGCTTGCTGAGGAGGATATTGTCCGCCCTGCGCCATCGGCTGGGGCGGCTGCTGTTGTTGCTGCTGTTGGTACACCTGGGACGGGGGGTGTGTGTTCTGAACAAAGCTCCCCGAAGGCTGAGCGTACTTGAATCTCTTGGTCCCAGGAGCCAAAGGAGCATGCTGCTGAGGCGACCATGCCGGCACATTTTCAGGCGGAGGGGGAATATACACGCCTGGCATAGGATTCGTGTTGGAGACCTGATAAGCCGTGACTCCCTGACCCGACAGAGAAGGTGGGATGTAGGCTGGATTTTGTTCATCCGGGGTGCTGAATGCTTGACTCGGAGTCCCGATAGTAACTTGCTGTTGCCCGCTGCCATATCCTTGTCCGGCGACTGAGGATTGTCGCCCGTGCTGCTGAGGAGGGAAGTATTGTTGTGTGCCAGCATTCATTGGGGAGAAGTCCACAGATGGAGGTCGTTGGCTTGTCTGCTGCTGTTGCGGAGCTTGCTGCTGTTGTGATTGCTGGTCCGGTGCTGGATTGTACTGATATTGACTCTGCCGCCGTGCTGGCGGCTGCGCTTGTGGTTGAGCCAGCGGTTGGCTCTCAGGTTCATACTGATGTGTCGGCGGCTGGGACGAGTATGGAGCATGTTGAGGCCAACCCTGCTGGTTCTGTTGGATCTCCGCTTGGTATCCTGAGGGTAGAGATGGTGCGGAGGGTTGCTGAGGCGTCGGAGGTTGATACTGATGGGGTTGATGGGCCGGCCGGACTTGTTGCGTCTGGTGCGGACTTGGGGGAACCGCATACTGTTGGTTCTGCAACTCCGATGTCAGTGGCACTATATCGTGGCATTCGGCGTACGATTTTTACCTGAGCTGGTTGGCTTGGTTGAGCATATTGTCCCTGCTGTGCCTGCACTCCTCCCATGGGCGCATAGGATGCGGGATTGTACCCAGCATGGGGTGCATGACCATGTTGCGCGGCCTGCTGCTGGTATTTTGTCGGAGGAGGCGGCTGGGCAGTCGACGGCGATTGACTCCATGCTTGAGGAGGCGGACTGGCGATGGATTGTGGACGAGGCTGCCATGATTGCTGTTGAGGTGTTGGAGTGCCTGACACTGGCGGATGATATGCTGAAGGGTCGGCTGATGTGACTGCCCGTCAGTATCGATATCGATATCGATAAGCTTGAATGCAACTATGCTCATACCTTGACCCAGTGCGGGCGCACCACCGGCCTGATACTGCCCTTGATTATGGAGAGACATCTTCGTCACCGGACCGTCGACTCAGGAGACCAGGAATACGATATCGGATACCCAATGGAGGATGCTCAAAACAACACCATGGTACGGAACAAGATCATAACTGGGTACCGGAAGACATGTAGAGAAGCGAAAAGACAACTTGTGATTAGAATAAATATGCTATAGTATGAACATCGGAATAATGGAAGACTACAAAGCGAAGAGAGACATGTGGTGCTCTTTGCGGACGGTTCAGCGCGTGTCCATTAGGGACGACTGCGCCATCGCGGCTTTCTCGTATTCCCGCCTGGCGTTAGTGTCACAGCTTGAGTTGGAATCAAATGAGAGTTTCGGTGGCTTGAAATTTGACTCCAGTTGAATCTAGTCTCTGCCAAGAATAGTATATTATTTGGCGCCAACGACCGGTCACGCTCCCGAGTCCCGACCAGGTTGTGATTTGGGGTGACAAGGAAGATGGCGATGGAAATGCAAGAAATTGTTGCAAGGAAGAGGAGCTCCTGATCCATGGCCAGTGACCATTTATTGACCAAGGAATGATCAACGTGCTGGATTTGATACTATCGTATTAAATCCCACCGCAAAGAATATATCGTGATATCATATCTCCATCTACCCTTCCACCTAACCCTCAATAATCCCAACCCTTCTCCCCCAAGACCATGCGAAGTCCCTTCATCCCGCCCTCGCGTGCATCCCAACAGCTTCTCCTCCACCTCCATCCCTCCATTCCTTTACGCACCTTCGTTTCCTCACACACGCGCACCACCCCCAACGGTCCCCCGAAACCGCGCCCGCACCCTCCCCAAAAGAACCAGCTCAAATTCTGGCCCTTCGCCCTCATCTTCCTCTCAGGAACCGGCCTCTTCGCCCTCATCGTGCGGGATCGCGCCGGCACCGCTCCGCCCGATTCGCTAACTCGACGACCGGGTCCAGGACCGTGAGCGACGCATCCTAACATAAATACCTTCTATCTTACCGACGTCCTCGAATCTCGATACGCCATGGCGCCCACTCTGCCACCGCTTCCGCAGCGCGAAAAACCGCTCTACTCCTCCTCCGACGTCACCGTCATCTTCGTGTTGGGCGGCCCCGGCGCCGGCAAGGGGACGCAGTCGGAGTACCTGGTGCGGGACTTCGGGTTCGCGCACCTGAGCGCGGGCGATCTGTTGCGAGCGGAGCAGAACCGCGCGGGGAGCCAGTTCGGGGAGCTGATCAACGAATATATCAAAGAGGGGACGATTGTGCCGATGGAGGTGACGATTGCGCTGTTGGAGAAGGCGATGGGAAAGATGATGAAGGATGGGGGGAAGGATCGGTTTTTGATCGATGGTAGGTGATTTTGGATGCAATTTCGGATGGGTTTGGCTGATTGATATGTGTTTCTAGGGTTTCCACGCAAGATGGACCAGGCGATCGAATTCGAGAAGACGGTGTGTCCGTCTCGGTTCATTCTGTTCTTCGACTGCCCCGAGGAGGTTATGGAGAGTCGCTTGATCGTCCGTGGGAAGACGTCCGGACGGGCCGATGACAACCTGGAGAGCATCAAGAAGCGGTTCAGGGTGTTCGTCGACACCAGCATGCCGGTGGTGGACATGTTCGAGAAGCAAGGCAAGGTGGTTAGGATTGAGGCCACTACGACGCCCGAAGAAGTATACGAGAAGGTGCGGGCGGAGTTGAAGAAGAAGGGGTTGAATCCGACGGCGTAGATCGGATGCCTTTTTTTGGCGATTGCAAGCGGATTGGTTAATGTGCGAAGTACTTGTAAACCATTGAACGTTATACACTCATAGAATTTTGTAGGATGAATCACAAGGATCTATCTCCTTTCGTAAAGCACTTCATCCAGTATGCGATTCTAGCAACCCAGTTTCCCGTACCAAACCCGACGAAAACAGCGCCACCCATTAATCCCGATCATCAATATCCGAGGGCACCACTTTGGGCTTTTGTTCCTTCTGCTGGTGATGCTGCTGGCCCTGCCGTCCACCCTGTCTCCTCTGGTATCCATTCACCTTTGATTCCATCTCCCGCTGTTCCTGACCCACCTGCTCGACGTAGTTCTCCTTCTCCTGCCGGACCACTTCCAGCACGCCGACCAGGCTCGTCCGCCACATGTCCAGACGCGACGCGACCTCCTGCCACTGCTTCTCTCCGAACACCCGGTAGGTGCTGCGGTGGATCAAGAACGTCTGGTTCAATTGGCTCAACTTGCCTTCGACGAGGCCCGCGCGGATCACGTCAATGATCCACATCTCCACGTCCTCCTGGGGGATCAGCAATGCCTTCGCGATCACGGAGTACGGCAGCGTGCGCGTCTGCTGCGCCGACGCCGCCAACGATGCGACCGTCAGCAGCCGCAACTTCCGGTACAGCACCTCGGCATCCAGCCCGCTGCTCTCAAGGAAGTCGTCGTTTGCCTCGTTGAAGTCATTGTACTCCTCCAGCGTCTCGCCGGCGAAGATCTCCAGCAGCTCGAAGTACAGCGGGTCGGATTTGCGGAGCGCTTGGATGCAGTCGAGCTCGGTGAGGTCTTGGAAGTCGAAGTGACTCGGGTGGGTCAGCGCGGCTTTCAGGCCTTTCAGCGCCAGCGTTCGGCTCTCCTCGTCATTTGATTCGTCTGCGGGGATCGTTCGTAGGGCGCTGACGAAGTGTGTGTATGAGGCATCGGTCTCGCCGGAGTCTTTCGCGACGTCGCTCAGCGCGAGGTAGAGTTTGCGTTGATCATCCTCGTCAAGTTCCCAGGACGCAATCCATGAGTCCAGTTCTTTGAGTTGTGGCTTGATGAGATCGTATGCGGAGGCGGATCGGATGACGCTGAGGAGGGCAAGAAGAACGTGATATCGGCTGTCGTCGTCGGGGGAGAGGACATTGAAGATGGTGCTGAGGACGGCGAGGGCGAGTGAGGGGCCGTGGTGCGGGGAGGTGGTAATCGGTTGCGAAAGATATTGGCAAATTTTCGAGAGGAACATGTTTGGGTTCTTCGTTTGCTGGATTAGGTGGATGAGGAGATTGTATGCGGCAATGAACTCTATGGATTGTCAGTATATATCCTGATATACCGCAGCGTTTCATGGTTCCGTGGGCGAACCTTTCTCTGGCGCGTTGTTCAGGGCCGACGACCCGATGACCAGCTTTTTCATGACTTCATCTTTTGATCCTTCTTGCTGAAGCAGCGGAGCCACATCGGCCTGGATCTTTGCGCCCTCATCTTTCCTGAGGTTGTCAATATAGACGGCGAGTTCTTCGGCTAATTCTTCGAAGGACCCCTCAATGAGAAGGGTGTTGGAAGGTGCGGGCATCGTGGCAGGACTTCTTTGGATGGTTCAGGATAACAGTTCGAGTCCTTGAAAGAAGTAGGAAAAAAGAGAGATGGATACGGCGACTGGGTGGTGGACTGCCCTCGCAACCGGAACTGGATGAAGTCGTCGAAAATCGTCAAATGGTGTGGGCTGGCGGTGGAATTGGCAAGGATCATGTATTATATTGAGTTTTATTTCACTAACCGAAATAGGTCTAGTGTGTATCGTAAATTAGGCCCTGCTTCATTGCCTTGATGCTGACTGATCACATCACTCCGTGTATGAAAACCCTTTTTCCTCTCTCCAAATGTTATGGCTGACAATTATGACCAAAATATAGTAGCCGTAAAGCAAAATCGTTTGTGGGAGAAGACTCCGAGACAGATTGCGGACGAAGTCAACTGTAATCTACCTAACTACCTTACCTACTAAATATACGCACAACTGTCGGGTCAGTTCTTCGACTCCCATCGTGATGGCACGATTTAGAAGCCATGTGAAGCTCAATGCAGCCAATGCTACGATCCAGAGCCTTGTCCTTCATGGGCACCATATGACACTCGGAGTGCCGCCAAGAAAATGATATCTTGAGAAATTATCGTCAACCGTGTCCGCGGCGGCGGTTGCCCTGTAGAATGAGCCCCTTACTACAATTTCTGGTCACTTGTTTCCCTCTGTCCCGTTCTTCACTAGGGATCATCACAGAGGCAGTTCGGCTTGTCGTGGCCTTTATTCCCGTTCTTCCCTTGATCGTTCGTTGCCTGGGACGACGATGGAGACCACTGAATGCGATCCGCCGGGTTCAGATGCGCCGTAAAGAGCTATCAGTGTGAAATTGATGAGGAGCCAAGGAAATATCGTAGCCGCTCAGTCTGTCGGTACGTAATCGACAGGCCGATGATAGAAAGGAGAGAGTCGTCGCACCGCACAGCCGCCCCGTCATGACTTCGGTTTTCTGATTCCGCTTGTCATTCCGCTATTGTCGTCACCCCACAAAATCGAGTTGAGCCTTGCCGCCGTGCCGGCGCTCTATCGTATCCCAGCAGTAACGACGGTTATAGAACTTGTAGGTTGAACAACTGCGGTTCAGCAAGAGAAGAATGCAGGTTCGATCGGGAGGAAGATGACAATACCTCTCCTCCAGATATATTGGAAACAACTTGCGTCCGCCATCATTGTGCCTAGGGCCAACGTGAAATAACTGGATAACTCATGTTCTGGGTCAACAAGCACCAATCTCCTCGGCCAGATCTTCTGAGTGCTCCGATTTCGATCAATTAAGCCTTTTTCAGTCCCGAACGGAATATCTTCCGTCAGGATTAGGTTACTTGACCTGGTTTCAGGAAGGCCTGGAAGGCTGGGAATGCAAGCTGGAAGCCTGGACATATAGTTCCCCAGTCGCATCTTCGGGGGATCAATATTGCTGAACCGCAGGTCTAGCACGCTGGCCATGCAGCCCGGAGAGATATAGTTGTGTCATCGCCCTCCCGTTGTACGAACAACCTGTGTGCTCGCTGTCGACTAGCTACCTCACAGCAGTGACAACACTGATCCTTGTTAGATATACGTCAGGTACCTGGTGGCAGGCCACGCTTTCACATTCTGCTTCAGTCGGGAGATGTATCAGTGCAAGGAAAGGGCAGGAAGACAGTCGAAAACTTGTATAGATGGATTCTGGCTACTGTTCAAGTCCATCCTCCTGCTGGACGAGGCATGTTTCGGGGACCATCGTGCCGTAGTCAAGACGCTCCCCTGCCTTCAGGAACTGATTCGATATACATATCCCTGAGGGCAATAATTTCTGCGAATATTTCTAGATTTTAGGATTAGAATTACCAAAATATATAAAGAGAGTATCTCACTAACCTGTGCTCTCCCAATTCCAAACTGAAAGAGTGCATTCACCGCCTGATCGACTTGGGTGCCAATAGGTGATATTGAACGGCACTCTGCACTGTTTTGAAATGCATTTTCGTTCGCACAAAGGACTCGTTCTTTTCTACAACACAACCAAGCTTTCTGATACCAAACAATCCTGATCATCATCAACTGGGTACGCCAGTCACCCTCATTCATCAAGCAATCAAAAGTCCGTACTAGAAGGCGTGCTCACCTTAAGAGAGAGCAGAATTGGAAGAATCCCAGCATCGCACCATCACCGTCACTGAACCACTACCACGATGGGTACCACGATTGGTACCACGATGGGCACCGCTGCAATTATCGGTATTACTATTGCCAGCATATTTGGTGCCCTCTGCATCGTTGCCTACCTCATTAGGCCAAACCGCACTCTAGCGGGGCCATTGAGGAGATGGTGGTGGATGTTATTGACAGGCCACCTCCCGCCCCCTCTTCCGATAACTCATCACGAGCTAAATAGCTGGTACTCCCACCCCGCCCCGGCTTCGGAGGATTCGACTATCGACGGCCTAGTTTCCGAGTCGACTGATTCCCCGGTGTTGCTCCCGGGTCACTGGTCTCCTGGTCTTGAGCATGCGATGGGCGAGCCATGGCCAACGGTCGAAGAAGTAATGGAATCGGCGAGAAGGATGCAAAACCCGGCGTACCCGGTCCCGATGCCATTGGATTACGAAGCTACCCATATGACAGGAGCCCTCCCCCCAGCCACTCCCCCCATCCCACTCGACCAGGAGGTCCCTGATGTAGACATGATAGAACCCACCATCACGCATTATGCGGACGGAAGCATTGAGGTCACCTGGGAGGCGGAGGTGATAGGGGTGGCTGGGGGCGGCTTCTTGATCTTTGGGAGAAGAGAAGGGAGAGGGGAGAGTGCCGAAATGGGGAGTGAGGAAACGGAGAGTGACTGATAACCACTGATTGACCTTGGTCGTACCGTGCTGACGATCCATTGTCTACCCATCAGGACGAGGGATCTGGTAAGTACCAGTATTCCACTGCAACTTGACGAATGTATCTCCTCTTCATTGCACCGCCTCTGGATCGGCAGGAGCAGGAGGCTGCACACCACGTGGTAGCATCACGTGGCTCGTCCTATTCCTCCATCCACACCCCCAACACATTCACTGACCCGAACCTTTGATTGTCATCCTTTGTGCAAGCTCCTCACATAACTCGACCTAACTTGCATCAGATTGATAATTCCTCTTCAAATCAAAACCAAACTTGTCCAACAGAAAATGATGAGGAAGACCTTGAATAGCATTCAGAACCAGTGGCTTAACAGGTGAGTCCTAGATTCTTCTCTCGGGATAGTGGATATTTGTTTCCTGGTTCAATGTTTACACCCAGTGATTGACTGGATACTGACGGAGTAAGGAACCATAGAACACCCTCATGACCCAGATCAATCGTGCATGATGTGGGAAGAAAGGATTGATTTGTCGGCATCCTAATTTCACCTCGACGTGCACAGTCGGCCCCGACTTTTGCTGTACAAGCCGCCCCCAGCCTGTCATGCCCATCTTGTGCAGTACCACAGCTGCCAGCTCATCAACCCAAACTTCAAAACCCATGGGCTTCAAATCATATTGGTGCAACGTCATGAGAATCTTCTCAACTCTAGGACTCATGAGCCTGGTCGCGGATGCAAGTGGTGAAGGAGCCGACATCCCTCAATGTGTTCCGAAGCGACATGAAATTATCCAGAATTTCGAATAACCAGGTGTGGGCCGCTGCCGGAGATCAGGAACGCCATTGACACGAGCCAGCATCGCCCGTGACTCTAGAGCCTATGGTTTTATGGCGTTCGGGGTTAGAAACATTGGTAATGGGTCGATGGGAGGGTCTGTTCCGAACCGCAATATCATGCGTCATTCACACACTGGCCTTGATATGACCCGCGCCGTGGGCAGCCGGAGAATAACCACAGGACGACAAAGGCATAGGAGAGACGGGACTGTTCATAGCCTCGCTCACGATTACCCCCCAAGCGTATTCCTGCGCCATAACCTACCTTCGTTATGGCGAATCAACTTCGGAATGTTGAGCTGGGCGCACGCGCGCACTAAATTTTCTGCCAGATGCGCAACCCTCTAGGACATCTACCGGGCTGGGGATAAGGACGTATGGTTTCTCGGGGCTCTCCTCGGGACAGTCTGCCAGCCGATCCTCGTCATGGAGGGCAGGCTGTCCCCCAAGCGATCCAAACCACACGCACCGATCCGGCCGATTATCCGGGGGTGGGGCGACATCCCTCTGTTGTCGCATGTCCTGCGGACTCTGTATATTCAAATCCCCGTATCTCGTTTGCCTTTCTACTATCCCGAACCTTCCCCCATCTGAACAACTCCAAAACCCGCTTACGCTCAGGTGGATGATCCGAACCGGAAGCTCCACTTCACAAAGAACATGGAGCTGATCTTCGGAGGACTTCCGCGATACACCCACGTCCTGAGCGTGGTCCGGAACGCTATTCCCTCCTATATTCGGTCTTTAAATCAATAGAATACAACGCGGGGGGATTTCTGGGTGCTATGCTCCTCTCCTGTCGGCCATCCCGGGGGCGGATGACCCCAACCGCAAGCCCAACCGCAAGCATCCTGGGGGTGGATGACCCCAGCTGGAAGCTCCACTTCACCAAGAAGATGTAGTCAATCGACGGTGGACTTCCGCGGTACACCCACGTAGCGTGGTCCTGAGCGGCCGTTCCCTTCCTATATTCGGTCCTTGAATCGATAGAACACAACACGGGGGGTATTTCTGGGTGCTATGCTTCTGGCGACATTCCTGGGGGTCTCCGGGAGGCTCTCCTGGCAACATTCCTAGCCATCATCCCGGGGGGTCTCCGGGAGGCCCCTCGGGACACTTCTGCCGGTTATCCTGGGGTACGTTCTTCAAGGAGCTGATGCAAAACATGGAATTTCTGGAGAAGATCGTGATGGGGTAATGTCAGGGCCATGGATATCAGCTCCCGATCATAGCTGAACTATTGCATCCGAATTATAGGCGCTTCATCGTCGATCAAAATAGAAAAATATATGCGCTGACAAAACATAAATCCATCTAGAAAACCCAGTGGCCTAGGGGGGTGGTTGCTGTCGCAACTCCAAACTCAGGCAGGAGAATGAAAGGAGCGGGTGCGCATCATCTAAAGTATAGTCGCGGTGGTCGAGTTAAAAAGAGTAGTGGGCGTCTGAATCTGATCCGATATATTTGCTGGCCGACTTCTTGTGTTCGGAAAATGGTCCGCTGCGCAATCTTGGAAACTAGCTTTATCTAGCCACTGACCGAAAGAACGCTCCGAACGTTATTCGAATCTCGGGTCCTGGCCGATCTGGCCATCGACAAGGGTGAAAAGAGAATGATCCGGATAAATTGCCTGGAATGCAATGCAACACTAGTATTTCGAGGTCGATAAAATTAAGGGCACAGACGTGGTCTAGAATGGCAGGGCCATCATCTCTCGTGCCTTGGTTGATCTGGCCATGGGCAAGAGTGAAGCCGCCATGATAGAGAAAAAAGTCAAAGAAATTTCCGAGTCGCCAAAAACACCGAAATAGCGCGGAGGCTGACCAAGATGGCAGAGATCCTCTAAGAGTCTTTGACCATTTTGGGACATCCGGATCTGGAACATCTGGACACGCATGCTGTGTGCTTGGCTTTGCTTTTAGTCAGACCTGAAAATTGCAGAAGCAGATGAATATGGTCATCCACACGGGAACCTGGAATATCCGGTCCTGGAAAGGCTGGACATGGGCGCTGTGTGCTCGGCCTTGCATTCATTCAAACTTGGAAATCGCGGAAGCAAACGAGTGTGATCCATCCACACGGGACTAGAGATAGACACGCCCAGATTACAGGACGTTCTTAGATCCCACGGAGAACCAGCCATTACACGAACCGAAAGCCAGTGTCTACGGCGGATTCATATGCAAATCATGATGGATCCACTCGATCCCTGAACTTGTTGTTGGATCCACAACATGAGCTGGTTCTTCATCATTTTATCGATACGCGACAATGGACGTGGACAGTTATTTCCCCCAAAACTTACGTATATGCGTCAAATAACCATTTTATTGTTCCCAATCAAGGTGGAGCCTAGCAAACCCACGCCATCTATGGTGGTTTAGAACATCATGATATTTGAATACCTCTGAGAATTCGCGGCCATGGTTTCGTCCATCCAGCGTTGTGTATGCTTGTAAGTTCTGTCACTTTGCAGCAGATCTCGACTCCGACCCACCGGCAGAGAGGCACTCGAATGGCCAGGACAAGGATCCAAAATGCTAGGGCATCATTCGAAAGCAGGGCAGTTCTGGGACTACCAACTGCATGTCATTCTTGCGAAATCGGCTGGGTATCCTTCTTGGGAAATCTCGTGGGTGTCCTTGCGAAATCTCGTGGGTGTCTTTGCGGGACCTCCTGTGTGCCTTTGCGGGACCTCTTTCATGTCCATAGATGACAATGAGTCAATATGGCAACTTCAACACTGGGGGTGTTGTCGCCTCTCCATCTGTACCGCGAAGCCTAGGCCAAATTGGCGCTGGGAATTGGGACCTGGGGTAGTTGGGACACCCAGGGGTAGCCTTTCGGATCTCCTGAAACTGCGAAGGATATTCCCGGCATTCTCACCACCGCCACTTCCAAGCTCTTTCGAACAATTTCAAACATAACGCAATCGCATGACCAAAACCCCGCACCAGGAGTGGATGGTGAACTTCTTATGCAACTCGGTGCAGGAGTGCAGAAGTGCCTTGCATAATTGCATTCACGACGACGCCACAAAGAAAAACATGGAGCTAAGACCAAAAGAGAACGGTTTCGATCGGGGAGATGCACGAGCGTCAATAGAAAGCATCGAGTTATCGAGAGTGATCGGCATGTGGCTTGCAAGAAATTGGCTCCCGAAGCGCCAAGTGCGCCAAAGAAGCAATCAAACATGAAACTTGGCGCGGAGAAAAACAGGGGACACGGGAAACATGACGAGATTCAAGAAGACTTGGAGACGATTCAAAAACGCTTGCGAGATCGGATGTGAAGCGATATGAGCGACCAAGGAGACGCAAAGAAAACGACAACGATGTTGGACTCTGGAGGGTGTCTGGTGGCAATTCATGTTGCGGGTGTGGCTCTGGAACTCCGCCCAAGGCCCCTTTTCAGCCAGTAAACAACCTGTGGGATGCCGAGCCCGAGGAATGTAACTGTGGCGGTACCGGATGATTGGGAATTCTCCTGCGAGTGCGTCAAACCGATGGCTGGCAACAAAACTGTCTTCAAAGACATGTCGGATCACGGATGTCGTTTAGATGCAAATGTTTCGTTGACGGAGTGAATCGACGCGCGATATGATCGACGTCATATGGAGCGCAAACCCCCTGGTGCGTCCGTGTGGAATTTGCAGGGTCCGTAAATTTGCTCTGCGCCTTGCGGGCTTTCACGATGTGAGGCTGTTAACAGGGGGAAAAAGGGCCAGGTTCAGGATTCATATGTCACCGCGGGACCGAGCGAGCATCTGGAATCGAGCTCGGAAGCTGGATGGTTGGAGTGCACGACATGAGGCTGATGGAGGGCTACGTATTGTGTTGACGATAACATACCTGTACTCCGTACCTTTTTTTTCTTTGGAAGCATGAGTTCTGAGTCCAGCACCAGTGAGCACACTAGCAAAGTGTGAGAATGTGCGCAAGTCTCCAAAGTCTAACATCAAAAGTCCAAAGTCCAAATATTCAAATACCGCTGTCCACATTATATCAGATCGGAGCTCCCTTCCCCTCACAATCAACACGTTAGCAGCTGGAGACTGGAGTACTCTTGCGAGAGTGGGTAAATCTGTGTATGATCAGCATGACTGAGAAAGACCGGACTCCGGGTATTGAACGCGTCGCCACAAGAATTTCCACTCCTCCCTGCATTTGCGGCTACATCGCTGCACTCTCATGCATCCACCAGGCCATCGTAGCTGTACTGCGGCCGGCCAACAATCCGGTGTGACGGAAAATGCATCTGGCCTTGAAAGTTGAGGCTGCTCGGATCGTACTGTGTAATTATGAAAAGCGACCCAAAAAGTGGACATGGTCCTCAACGGACTGGACACGCCGAGTGGCCGACCGGCCGACGCGAAGGAGAAATCTATTTTCTGACGATCGAACGGATCGTCGCCAAGCTGTAACCATCGTGGACCCTTTTTAGACGGGAGGAGATCGTGGGTTCCAGGCCGAATCCAACAATGATCCGCTTCCCGTTGCTGGTGAACTAATCCTTGGGCTGTCTGCAATACTCTGCAATCTGCATGTGCTAATAATTAATATTCGCTCCTCAGGGCAACTGGGAACTTCTTAGCGAAAGCCAACAACCGTCATGTCGCAGATGTCCTGATTGCTTGCACATCTGATTTGGGGCAGCAGCTCTGGCAGGATCGCCCGCCTGGGGAATTGGGTATTAATAAATAGGGGATCTGGAGGAAACGGGGGAGCTGTGTGTGGCTTAGAGCGTGGCGTGAGTGGTGGGAATGCCACCGAATACCGGTCCAGACAGCACGGAATACCGCGTTTATTACCAAATAAGAGTATAATACTAATACCAAGAGAGTCTCCGCAGCACAAGTCCAGCACAGTCTACACAAGCGCGAAGAGAGCAAGCGATTTTTCTCTCTCAGGCGCTGTCTTTTTCGCGGAATTCTTTGGCAGCTTGGCCCGTGAGGACCTGACTGAGGTGATTTCTTCCTGGTCCCTGGCCCAACAAAACTCCTGATCATCATCAACATCATCGTCCTCTTCGTCGCTCTGCTTCTTCCCGTCCTTCTAATCTCTCCCTTACTTCTGCCCTATCCCGCACCGTGTCGTGTTGCTTCGTTTCTTTCTCCGACTGCATTCTATATAGCCGTCGCTCGTTTCAGGCTCGTTCCATTTTCAGCTGCACGAGGTTTACGTTTCGGCAAGTCCCTGTTTCCATTCCCTTCTCTGGAGTCTAGACCAACGAAGACGGACCATCCTCTGCACGTTCTGCCTCAAACAAACCCTCATTTCTCGAATTCTGCGTATTGAAGAGCGAGAGCGGCCGTCTCAGGCTTCGTATTGAACTTCTACCCATTGATATTCCACTATTGTTCCCCGTTCGTCATCAACTGCACCCATCCGTCCATCTCAGCACGTTCTCTTGTCGCTTGCTCTCCTTCCGCTGCTTTCGGGTGGATGTGCCAACGCGTTACGTATTCCTGTCCCTCCATCCGGAGGTTCGGTTTTGCATCGCACAGAACGTTTCCGATCTCGCAACAATCAAACAGTCCCGTCCATTGTCCGTACTAACATCCAAGTCCATCTGCAGGCTGCCCTCGGCTTCATCACGTTCTCCCGTCCCTGCCCTGCGGTTCCGATCCATACCTGTCAACCAAAACACGGCACCTCACATCTTGTTTTTGACCCTCGAGCGACTTCAACGACCGTGCCCATTTCTTTTTTGGTCCAGCGTTTTGTAACTTTACCTTGAAGCCTTTCATTTCCATGAGTCGACCCTTTTAGACATCTTCGGTCATATCTACACTGCCGAACTTGAAGATCCGTCGTACTGCACTTTCAAACCATCGGTGGGATCGAGTCGTCGGAATGCCGATCAAAATGCCAAAGGGCTTTGCCCGGAGGAAATCCACAGGGAGCGCGCTAGACGACTTCGATGAGAAAGAGAACACGGTGTTGCGCCAGACTCCGGAGCCCATTCCCAAACCAGCGACCGAGCAGGGGTCATTTCGTGTCATTCCTCGCACAGAGGTCGACAGGCCCGTTTCGCAATTCATCGCTCCGCGCAAACCGAAAGTCGAAAAGGCGAGTACATGGCTGAGTTTTGGCTCGTCCGGACCCAAGGGAAAGGAGATCGACGACGAGTCGAGTCCCAATAACCGGTTAGTCATACGAATGAGACTGCAATTTCATTGTTGACATAGACCAGGGGAAGTAACGGTAGCAGTGCCGCCAATTCGGCGTTATCTAAGGTTTACGACACGTCTTCCTCGTCCGCCCGTCTGAGTTCCAGCTCAACCCTCCCTTCGCAACACGACGACGAACTCTTTCCACGGACCAACATCCACCACACCCTCCCGGCTAAACTCCCCGCCGCCTCCCATGGTTCCGAACACAAATCTTTTATTCAATCGGCCCGCACCTGGACATTAGGTGGCAAGTCCAAACCTCAACCTTCAACTCCCATACCACCTCTCCCGGAGCAAACTAGTCCAAGAGAAGCTCGAGTCAGCAACGGAACGCGGGACGGAACGCGGGACCGTGCAGTCACCAGTAGTAGTTACGCAAGCACTACCATACCTCCCAAGCTAGAAGACTCGCTCCCATCCACGGACTTTGGATCGGACCTAAGCGACATGTTCGCAACTCTGACAAAGCGCAAGAGTGGCATATTGCCTGATGAGCCCCATGCTCCCTCTTCCCCGAACAACGCCATTCGCTCCGTAAGTCTCCTTGGGATTCCCAACTCTTGACATCTCAGAGCAGTGCTGACGCATTCCAGGAATCCGAACCAATCCTCCCGGCCCAAGCTCGTCTACTTTCTCCTAATCGTGCCGCTAATACCCCTTCGCCTCTAAACTACGACCGACGATCTCACGATATCGCTTCATCTCCTCGCTCATATCAGAGCCACGATTCGCATGATGGGCTCATGCCACGCACCACATCTACCTCGCCATACCAGGAGTCCTTTCCCTACCGCTCTAACGGCCCAGCCTCGGAGTCCTTCCTGAAACCTGACGAATCAATGGCGTTCAATAAATCTAGTCGGGCAACATCTCGGAGCGCCTCGAATGACGGCCGACCTTCATCGCAAAGATCTTCATTAAGCTTCCTTCCAGACTCGGGAGATAGAGATGCGCAGATTGTCTATAATTCCGTTCGGACTAGTCGATTACTCGGCGCACAAGATGCCATCAGTGGAGGGCCCGATGCCAATGACGACCTCTTCGGAAATCGTTCGACGACAAAACCAAGCCCCCCAATAAACCACTCGAGACCTCAACTTCGCGCTGTCCAGGAAGTCAACTCAAGTCAACAATTGCCTGCCGCCCCTGAGGAAGATGATTCGCTGTTTAGTACCGCAACTGCTGCAGCGATCAAATTCTCGGATGAAACAGCATACGCCGAAGTGCAGAAAGAGCAGGGCAAGAAAGTGATGACGGCTGCGCAATTCGAGCGTTACAAGAAGCACAATACCATCTATCCCGAGGACAACGCTGATTCCGATAGCGACAACTCCGAGACATACGAGGAGGTTGATGAGGCTGAACGGAGCAAGCAGACAGCTGCTCACCGACGGAAGCAGGAGGCACAACTTGCGGTCTTCAGGCAACAGATGAAGAAGACGACAGGAGACCAGGGAGCGCCGACCCGACCGATTAGCCAATTCCGACCGAGTCTCGACCGTATGAGCTTGAGTTCTCCTAACCTGAGTGGTCCTGCTTTCTTGAGCCGCCCGGCCGATCATGGTAATGTTGGAGGTCCCAGCCCACCAGATGGGTCCCTATCCGATGAGGAGGACGACGATGTCCCGCTTGCAATTGGGATGGCTCATGGATTCCCACACAAGAATCGACCGCCGAGCAAGATGATCGGAAGCGGGTCGTCGATCGTTGGGGTCCCTACAGATCGCCGCGGAAGTCAAATGCCGCTTCAACGACCCAGTTCCGCTGCCGGTCACCAATCTAACTCGGGTGGCAATCGGACTTCAACTCTCCCGGTCTTCGCTCGCAACCTTCCCGCCGATCCATTCGGTGCAAACGGCGGAGGAGCAAATCGCGGTGCACCATCGGTTGCTGGCGGACGCATGTCCACGTACGATCCTAACGCCACGCTTCCTGGATACCAACCCGGAGGACTTGTCGGCGTCATCGACTCGGAAGAACGAGCACGGGCTCTTCGACGGGGAAGTCCTAATGCGCAGATGAACGCCGCCATGGGCGTGGGTGGCCAACAAGCTCTCCCAGCCAACATGCCGCAGCAGATGATGGGGATGCCACCGAACATGCCTGGCATGAACCCGATGATGAACCCCATGAACAATCAAATGATGTCGCAGATGATGGCGAATCCGAATACCAGCCAGGCGCAGATGCAGATGTTCATCGACGCGATGAACCGCAGCAACGAAATGATGGCGATGATGATGGCGACGATGCAGCAGAACCAAGCTATGGGCGCACAACCCGGCGTCGGCAACCCTCCCCCCAACCAATCCGCCTACCTCTCTCCCCACATGAACCACTCCAACCCCAACCTAAACCGCCCCCACAGCATGGCATCCAACCTCCCCGCCCAGCACCAGCCACCGCAACAATCCAACCCCTACGCCCGCACAATGAGCATGGTCAACCCCCCCGCCTGGAACCAACCCGGCAACCGCCAGAGCTCCGCCGCCTCCTTCTCCACCTCCTTCCTCCCCAACGTCCGTAACCAACCCTACGCCAGCAGCATCGCCCCCTCCGAGCGCTCCACCATGGGCATGGCCTCGCGCTACCGCCCCGTTTCCGCTCTCCCCCCGACCAACTTCTCCACACCGCTCCCCGACCTCGACCTACCTCGCATGCGCACTTCCACCCTCCTCCCCATGGACGCCCACAGCCACGGCACGCCGACCCCTCCCCTCGACACCCAACACCTCGCGGCGCCGCTACCGCCGCCACACGCGAACGGCACGGTGCAGCCGCGGAAGAGCGGGGTGTTCGCGACGATCCGGGCGCTGGGGACGAAGGGGAGCAAGAAAGAGAAAGGGGCTGTGACGGTGGTGGAGGAGGAGGATGAGGAGGGGTGGGGGGACGTAAGGAGACGGAAAGGCAGGAGGGGGCGGAGTCGGAGTCCGGAGAAAGGGGGCGCAGGGAGCGAGGTGCCGGAGGAGTTAAGGGGGTTATATATGGCGGAGATGTGATTTACTGATTTGGGATTGGATATCGAGGGGAATTTTTGGGGGTTTGTCGTGGATCGAAGGACGGAACGAGGCGAACCAGATGGAAAATTTGGGAACCGGTGGATGGATCGGCGGGGACATGGCTCACGGGATGGGCCGATGTGATTTGGCGGAAGGCAAAGCTCTCTAATATCCTGAATTCAGATCCACCTTTTTCGAATCTGGAAAATGTCCGTATTATAGTACCCTACGGAGAGCAAGCCAGCATTTGCAGCGTTGTTTGTTGATTTTTTTCAGTTTAATAGATACCTTAATCTTAATTCTACCTCGGGGGAGAGGGTGGTGGAACCATTGATACCTTGGATTGTCGTGGCTCTGGTCTGTGTATCGTATTGAAGTAGCTTCGAGGATAATAGGTGCATTGGGGATGAATTGATGGGAGATTCAGTTGGCGATGAATGGCCCCTTCACGACCTCCTGTTCAGAGTATTGGACTTGGCACCAAGGGTCCAGAGGTACGTCCTATGTTAACATCAATCCTCAACACCATCAACAACGCATTGCCAGGCGGGACCGGGAAGTGTGGACGTAATACAAGGTGCCATCAGCTCTGCGAACATCAGCAAGGTTGTTAAGATCAAGAAAAAGGACCCGGACATTCACGAGCTCTTGACTAAGCAAGAGATCGTGATATTGTACCATATGGAGATCTGAACCCGGTCCAATTTACGCTTACGACATAGAATGCCGCCCAGCGATTAGACAATGAGATCAAAGGGAAGATTGATATCGAAGTCTTTCTAGTAGAGAAAACATAGAAGAATAGGTAGAAATATATGATTCGTCAATGCCATCTATTCATGTTTCTAATGTGCTGTGTCTATTGTGGAGCTCTCTATTCCGATTATCCCACACTTTTCTTTCCGCTGACAGTGAAACACCCTTCCTAGAAACAACCCATACCCCCGACTCTCCCTCTACTATTTCCACGTCATTGCTGTCGTAACTTGAAGAGGACGGAGTGGCTATGGTCTTCCAATTCGGTCTGCTCGACCCAACAGCGAAGTTCATCTGGACAGGGTTTGTTATTTGCAGCTGTTTCACCATGCAAGTGTCAGCTTCAATGAACTGGGCGAGCAGTGAGGCTGTGTTGAGTGTAATCAAAGAGCTTGCTATGTACGTTAGAGCCGCAGCCGGCAGCATCCTACACGCACCGATAGTTCCTAGCTTCCTACCATCGATCTGCCATAAATCCTGATTGGTTGGGTGGAACATGTTCTCGTGAATACGAAGTGAACGAAAAACATCCGTGAGCTCACTATAGCTGTGTGCTGCGGGGGCCCTCATGCAGCATTTAACTGGCATCTATGACTCCGCCTCCTTCGTCCCATTCTCCAATGCCCAAGTATTTAGATTCCTACATGTCGCTTCAGTCTGGATCTTTTCTTACCTTCTCATCTCTTGCAATCGGAATTTTACGTGTCCGTCATTTACTATTACATATACGATGCACAATATTTAGCGAAAATTTATCTAACAGTGTCAATTGAACAACTTCCGAAATTGGCATCCTCGCCTCGCAAAACACTCTCCCATATCCCAAACATACTCATCTCTACATACACACCACAATCAACGACACCACTCTCAACATGGACCTAATTCACATACCTCGCACCCCGGTCAGTTGTGCCGAGGGTGGTTGTCCCCCTGGCAATCGACCTGGTGCTCTCCACAACCTTTGTCCCCAATTGAAGGCCCGGAGCACGGTCGCATGTCGCCTCGACTCGTGATGAGAGAAAGTTTACCCGCGAGAATCCCGGATCGATTATGACGAGCGTTGCTGCGGAGCCTTCACCCAATCAATCGAAGCAAGCAAATCTACCCACAAGATCACGTGTCTTACACGGTTGGAACAGCTATCGGTTATGACCTTGAGGTTCATTTCGAAAGAAGAACGACGGAGTGGTATTGGTGTGATGGAAGGCAGGTGGAAGGCAAGGAAGCACGACGGTGGAGACGCGGCGTGGTGGAAGTTGGCTTATGGTAAGCTTTACATACTTGTGCTTAAATCAGACATCTCATTAACATAATCCAGATACAAGCGACGAGCATTGAAACAATTGGTACTCTGCCAATTGCACGGCTGTGGTTTCTTATAGTCGGCAGATTGAGCGCACATCGCGCTCTCTCAGCGGGCCCTCTGGTCGAGTCTGAGGAGGTCATATCGGGAACGATTTGACTCCCAATCTTGGTAGGGGAAATGTTACACCCTCCAAGACAGATTTCTGGCAGCAGGCCCCACTGGATATCTTGGTTATTGAACGGCGAATTTGGCTTGTTTTTTCCCAGATCCATCTCTTGTATTCAAATGGCGGCGCTCCTCGCGTCCGATTCTCCAGTCAGCTCAGGTCGATTAATCTCATATCGGTAAACGAATTTGACTTTGCGGTACTACATCTTGCAGTGTCTACAGTATCTGACTCTACGTGAGTTGTCTCGTTCTGCGTCGCAGCAAATATAATACCGTCGAAGTGGCTGGTTGGGATATCCTTGACCAAGCCATGTGGTAAGTAGATGCTATTGTCCAGCTAGAACTAACCACTCATTCCGAGCACTGCAACTCTCATATACTACAGTCTTGCGTCAAATCACCGCACCCAAAGAGGCAAGCTGCTGGAACATGACCTTTGTCCACATTCTGAGATGCATGGGGAAACACCTCTCAATATTCTATTGCTTCACTTGTCAATTTTCTCTCGGCTTCTGCATCTGTCCAGATTTTTGAACCGTTTTCTGCTCCTCGAGTTGTCAGTTGTCCAGTGCGTAGCCTCCAACTATGATTTGTCAGGGGCGCCTCAATGAAGCTTCGGGGGTCATCAAGGACACTTTCAAGTTGCACGGCATTCACAAGTTGACAAAGGCCATGTCGGTTCTCAGGCTTCGCCTCAGTGCTATTGTAGCCCGAATGGGGGTGGTATAGCGTCACCACCTGTTCCCATTGAACATAAAGTCCGCTTGACTCTCTTCAGCTTTGCACAATGATATGAGAGGTGTTCATTTCTTCCAGAGCTAGGGCTGCTGAGGTGCGAACAAGAAGAAAATCAAACCGCTGCCATTGCTACGAACCACTTTGCCCTCATCTCTAGTCCACCTCCATAACAGCCGGGATTGGAGGGCGACTGGAATAATGATCGTAGTAGCAGTGTGGCGCTGAATAGGGATGCGGGTACATTACTAGAGGTCGCCAACCTGAATGTGGCTGCGAGAAGGATATGAGTCGAGGGTGCTCCTTGTGATCGTTTGATGGTTGGAAGAGGGCAAATGGTGCTCTTGGTCTGTGAATATTGACGGTGGACCTAGTATCAGAACATGGTAGTAAAGCGAGGGTACCGTATTTAGTCCAACTAATCGCTAAAGTTGCTCCTTTACAAATACAATTGGGTATCATGTTGCTGTAACGCCTATGCAATGCAGTCATGTCGATGGACAACCACGACATGCCGACTTGAAACCTCCCTCAAACTTCCCCCCATCTGAAGCTTCGTAACCCAATAAACCTCACCACCCCCCACTCCCCCATCCAAATCCCCATCTCCAAAAGCATCTGCACCGCCTCCAACAGCGCCACCCTCCCCATCACACCCCAACCCCACCCCACCCCACCTCCTACCAACCCCAACCCCACGTTCCCCACCCTCCCATATCCCGGATGCACCATCCCCCCTATTGCCTGCCGCGCCACCTCCCGCAACATCCACGCGCGCCACGGCAGCGTGAGCGCGTTAACCAGCTTGCTCGTTATCAGCGACGCGAGGTTGTCGGACATGTACAGCGATAGCATGGTGACGCGCTGGTGGCGGTGCTGGATGCGGCGGTGGAGGATTTTGTGGCGCTGCCGGGTGATTTCGGCGCGGAAGTGTGCGTAGATGGCGGGGATGGCGGCTTCTTCGGAGTGGGTAGCCTCGGGAGGCATAGGCATGAGGGAGTGGGAATTTGGTGGGCGGTTTTCAGCGTCTGAAGGGGGTGGTGCCCCGGAGGAGGGAGTTGCTGGAGTAATGTAAGTAGTTGCGGAAGGGCTTTGAGGAGGTTCGGGGTCGATAGATAGTGCATCGGGGGTGGGAGATGGAGGCGAGGTGAAGAGGTCGGGGTTGAAACGGGGGGTGTCGGTGACGGTGCGCCTGATGCGATGTCGGGGATGTGCTGAGGAAGATTGCAGTTGAGTGGATGGGGCTGGATGATCCGGCAGACCGATTTCCAAGTTTACCACGCCAGTATGAGAATCCGAGGAGGTGATTCGAATGGTTGCGTCGCTGTTAGCGGCCGGTGATGGTGGATCAGTGGTTGATGAAGCAGCGGAATGTCTTGGTGGCCGCCTGGTATTGTTTGAACCTGCTGCAGGAGCGGCGTTCGGGTTCGATGGCATATTCCCGTTAGTTTCCCATTCTCTGTTTGAGATCCCATCATGGATGACAGAGGTTACACGGTCGCCATGAACTCTTGTTAATGCTTCCGGGGGGATGTAAGCGAGGATATCCGGGTCGAAAGACGGCCAAGCTAAGACCTCTGCCTCCCTCTCGAGCTCGAGATCCGAGGGTAGCTCCGCCAGTGGAGTCCTGGTCAGTTCATGTCGTTTCCAGCCCCAACCCAATGTATTCATGATGGACTGAAATACGGGACTGAAACGGCGTGTGAATGGCCTCCATGGCTGCGCATCTTCCTCGAACAATTGCTCGATCGTCTCCGATAGGGTGTTCTTATAGCCACGCCGCCTTGCAAGCCACTGTTTGCTTGCCGGCCGGAGGACTGAGTCTCGCATGGTTCTGAATATGACAGTGACCAGAATCGAGGTCGCCATGTTATACGTCAACAACCCCATGCAAGCTGGCGCTAGAGGGATGGGGGGGATTCGGCCGCTAGTTAAAATTTTCCACGATCCGGACAACGGCCATACAAGCGATGTGAGCGTGGAAGAGAATATCTTCCAAGGAGGTAGCAAGGATGATGTTGGAGCAACGCCAAGCGTCTGGTGAAGATAATACAGCTCGAATGGAAGCGCCACAATTTTCATGGAGTGCTCGAGGCTATTAGGAGTCACAACATTAGCCGGCCACTAACTGACAATATTTGAGCGAGTTAGACTTACATGTCACGGACAATGGGCTTCCATTTATCATACGCTCTTCTCTTTCTTGAAGACGAGACGGTAGCTTGCACAAGTGCATCTAGCCCCTCAAACGCAAACGACAACCAATCAGGGTAGCGTAGAAGTGAATGGACGAAATAGGTTGAGAGTCCCGCAAAAAGGAAATGGCGATAACCATAGGATGATATTTCACTCCTTGCAAACGCAATGACCGGTATGTTCGAGAGCATAGGATAGACCTATAGATATTAGCTCGGGGTAGGGAATTGGGGACCGTTCATACCAAAGCCTTGTGTTTCAAGGCATGAAGCCAATGCAGCAGAAACTTCTCCACGTAAGGAGCAATATAGCTCATAACCAGGCCCGACATATGTTCATCCTGAGCCATGGCTGCCAGTTCTTCCTCTTTTGGTCCTCTGGGTTCCTTGCTGCCGTTGCGAACTACTACACCCACTGCTGCTAGCACATCATTCTGAGCAGCACGTAGAGCTCGAGCGTACCGCCGCGAGTTACGATTGACGGAGTGGCCACGATCATCATAGAATTGCCGTGGTGGTGCTGCTGTAGTATTCTGCGGGTTCGGACTGCTCGAGTTGTCGTAAAGGATACTGGGATGGCGTTGGAGGACGTCATCCTCGGGAGGTTCAGTGTAGGAGCGGCCCTATATAATGTCAGAGGACACTAGGTAATGTCAAGTTAGAAGACCTACAAATGCAAGCCTGAAGAGGTACGCGTCTCGACCCATTCTGGGCTGAACTTGACACTGCTAAGCGTCTCTTGAAGCATTAAACGAACTCCATGGATTGGGCTGAGAATGAGGGATGGACAGAGCCCAATCTAAGAGTGAGGAGTAGTTACGGTAGTGTCACAGAGTGTTGAAGGAGTGGTAAATTATTCACAATTGTCATTGAATATCAACATGAAGTCCTCTGTAGCAGAGAGATATTGGGGGGTTTGATTGCGGAGAAGTGGAGCTGGAGGATTCCTCCGATTCATACAAATAAGGCCATAAGGCCACAAGGCTCTAACAGGGATCTGGGGCCAGCATTTGAAGCTCGGACAATCTCCATCCAAAATTTCACTGAATTTCTCTTCCAGCAGTTCTTGGTTTCTTTACCACCACAATTCTTCCAGTTTTCAACACTTGGTAGAGTTGCCATAAAGGACAATCATGTCCTCTTTCTTCTCAGTCCCAGCGTCTCAGAGGAAGCGGAAGAGACCTGAGGGTGCAACATCAAAGCCGTCGAGAAAACAGCCACGAAATGTTTCTCCATCGCGGTCTAAGCGAGCACGAGATCCTGCAGGTCGAGACGAATCGATATCCGGCAGCGAGTCAGACTTGTCCGGTGCAGATGATGGAGCAGCCGAGTATGAATCAAGCGTGTCAGACTCGGAGATCGAGGGCGAAACTGCTGCAGAACGTCGCCTTCGTCTGGCGGAACGGTACTTGGAAAACATCAAGCAGGAGGTGGAAACTACCGGAGTCGGATTCGATGCCGAGGACGTTGATAGAGACCTGATCGCCGATCGGTTGAAGGAAGACGTCGCGGGAACGAAGGGGAAGATTTACAAGTTTGTGGCGAACGAGTTGGACATCGAGGGTGCCTCGCATATGTTCTTTCGACACGACAACCAAGCTGTATTGTCAGTCAGCGCACATCCACCATACATATATGCGACTCGAAAGGATGGCAGCGTGGTGAAGTGGGAATTACCGTCCAACCCTCCGGCAGAAAAGCAACAGTCCAACATGACCCCACGCCGTCGACCGATCAAGCGGATATGTGGCAAAGGCCGCGTGATCAAGCCCGAGGCTTCCGAAACCTCGAAACCGGCGAAATCCACCTTCCTAGGACACAAAGCTGCAATTGTGTGCAGTGCCATCTCCCCTTCAGGAGAATTCCTTGCAACGGGAGGCATGGACAACAAATTGGTCATCTGGTCCACCAAGAACCTACGACCGATCAAAGTCTTCTCGCAACATCGCGATTCCGTTACTGGTCTGGCTTTCCGACAAACGATATCCAACGCGCAACAATCGGCCGGCGGTCCCCGCAGTACCGGCGGCGAAACTCTCTACAGCTCCTCCGCGGATCGGACGCTGAAAGTGTGGAACGTCAGCCAACAGTCCTCCGGATACATTGAAACATTGTTCGGGCACCAAGATGTCATCATGGATGTGGATGCACCTGCCATTGAACGGTGCGTTAGCGTTGGTGCGAGAGACAGGACTGCACGACTATGGAAAGTCGCAGAAGAGTCTCAGCTCGTGTTTCGAGGGGGTGGAGTGGGAGCGATTCCAAAGCCTGGCAAACTGAAGGCACAAAATATCGAGCTTGCCCCGGAGCTGCTGGAGAAAGTGGAATCGGCCAAGGAGCACCACGAAGGGAGCATCGACCGAGTCACTATTCTCGACAACGAACTCTTCGTGACGGGCGCAGACAACGGAGCCATCTCCTTATGGAGCATTCACAAGAAGAAGGCGCTGTATACTTATCCTCTTGCACACGGTCTGGATCCGCCGATCACAGCCGAGGAGTATTATGTAGAGGAAGATCCCAAGGAGAAGGCCAGAGAAGTTTCGGGGTCCGCGGAAGTACCCGTGAAGCAAGCACCGAGGGGAATCACCGCATTAAAAGCGTTGCCACTCAGCGACGTATTTGTCACCGGCAGCTGGGATGGATTCGTTCGAGCTTGGAAGATCCGTGGGGACCGAAGAGGGTTTGATCCGGTTGGGATCGTTGGAACGCCTCGCACCCTTTCCATCAATGCTCCAACACCTGCAACGGACGCGGATTCCGGTGATGAGGACAAAGTAGTTGTCCTTGGATCTTCGCCACCAGCCGACCCGAGGATTGTTCATGGGCTTGTTACCGATCTGGCGGTATTCGAGCAAGGCGATCGGAATGAGGAGAGCTTGTTCATTGTGGCCTCGGTTGCCAAGGAGCAGAGGATGGGGAGGTGGCACAGTTATGGGACTGGAGTGGGACGGCAGAGGATTGATGGGAAGAATGGTTGCATGATTTTTGAGGTTGGGAGGCACCAGAAGTCAGATCTTGTGAATCATTGAAATTAGCAATGGCTGTACCGCAGCTACCTGTATATAAGCGCGTTTGAATGAATACTGATACCATGTACTTCCTCCGGACTCCAACCCCAGCTAGCGATATAAATCGCATGTTGAAACTAGATATATTTGCTGTAGTTAGGGAACAGATTTCAACATAAATTAAACATATTTGCCGGGGCAAAATAATGGCAGAAGTTTTCCATAGGCTATCATCATCATGTTCCATTGTAGATCTGGTTTGTCTTTGCAAATACTCGCAACCTGAATCCCGCGAACACACCCGTCAACGTACCACTTTCAAAATTTCGTCATTCCCCATCCACGAATCATAAACGCGACAATGGCTTCTCCGTGATCATAATCCCTTCGTGTCACCTCGGATTTCCGACCGTAAGCCATGTCGTCTCTACTATTCACGAAAGAATTCGAAACCCCATACGACAAGCATTTCGAGTCCTATGGCCCCCGAAGCTACAAAGATGCCATCAAGGACTGCGGTCGAAAAATCCAGAAAGACCCGCACAATGGCGAACTCCACGTATGGATATCGTCTCGTAAAATGAAGATGATGGGATTAACGGAATCTAGTATTGGAAAGCCCAGCTCCATCTCCGGATGGGTGCGTATGCTGACGCGAAAGAAACGCTGGATCACATCAATGAGACCAAGGTCAACTTCCTACATCCGGACGGCTTGGTTAATGTATGCTTGATGTATCGCCGCATACACCAGCTGCTGTCTATTAAACCAGATGGTCTATCTCACCTGTTTGGTAATGCATCTGAAAAGTCCAATGCATCTGCCCAAAGCCCCCTTCAGATTGACCCACCGAAGGAGGTTGATCAGCTTTGGTCAAGAGTCAGTTCAATCGGATTGGAAGGATCTGATAGGGATGTGTTCTCCGAGAATCTATTGACGACCGCCGTCGCTTGCGACTGGTCCAGCCTGTATCAGAGGGGCGCGAATGACCTGAAATCACGGTATCCAACGGAGCCGAAGTACATCTATTTATGGCTTGCCGCCACCGCAAAGCTTGCGCAAGAGCTGGGTAATGCAGGGCAGCCGGAACATAAGATGAAAGCTATGATTATGGGCAAGCTTGTTGCAAGGGGCGTGTCGGATATCTTGAAGAAGACGAGGCAGAAAGAAGAGTCGGCGTGGAAGATTCGGGATGGTCGAGACTTTCGGCTTATACTTGAGCTTGCTCAGTCGGATAATGCGATGCTTTTGGATATAGCATCCAGCATGATTGACACAGAATCGCCGCTGTATTTGTTCGAGAACATCTTGAACGGCGACATCGAGTTCCTTTGGGCCCTCTTAAACATCTGGGAATCTCAAGGACAATGGAAGCAAATTTGGGACTTCCTCGTCGAGTCGAAGGATAGCAGCTGCGTCATCGCTTCTCGAATCACCGGAGCATTTGGGAACGACTATCGAATATTGGACAAGTTGTTTCAAGCAGCCTCGAGCGTGGAGGACGGAAACCTCAACAGCCAACTCAAAGCTCTCCTTGAACGTGGCGTATCCGAGCCTACACCGAATCGCGAAATGCTGCTCACAGCCCTTAAATGGCAAAAGAAGTTCGGGAAGGAAGAGTGTTTCGTTGGCGTTTGCAAAGTGTATTTCGACCGGTTCTCGAAACTCGAGACCTGTTACAAGGACCTTTCGCCATTCCTCGCCGCGCTCTCCAAGGAAGGGATGCGGCAATTTGATGAGCATATCAACGAGACAGTGAACGCCTGGACCACGCAGTTCAAGGCCTTGACCCTCGAAGACGGTCCGCCAGACAATATTGACTTGGGGACCGGACTCACATTCTCCAAGATATATTGTTCGTTTCAATCCTCTCTTCCCGATCGCAAGACACCTGAGAATCCTCATGGGTCGGACGTGAGCGCCGCTGGGATGATAAGGCATTTTGTCTTACTGGTAAAGCTGAGTCGAGGGGACACCCAAACAAACGAGACGATTGCCCTCCTGGCACTTACCCTCCTATGGGGATTGCACACCCCGAGGGCCAAGGAGAGAGGTGCCGACGACATCTTGTCGCCGCGGGAGACGACTCTCGTGATGCAAGCACTTGCGCTGACATCGGCTCTGACCAATCTGGTTTCCGAACTCGCCCCGATGCTTCATGTGATGGGCACGCTCCTGTCGCTACAGCTTGGTCTTGGGGACGAAGCCTACCGGTTCTTCCAGAAGCTAGACGTCAAGAGCCTGCTATTCGAAAGCGACTTGCATATCTTGGCCAGTCGGCTTTCCATTACACATCCGTTTCCGTTGGCGTCTGTTAAATCACAGCATCCGAGGCAACCGGAATCCAATCCTCTGAAAATCCTAAGTGTGCCAGCCCGATGGATTGGGAGATCGGTCGGCGATGTACTGGCGTTTACGGGGGATGGCTTGGAAAAGTTGTATCCCGACAAGTTGACTGAGATGCTGGGATTCAAAGACAATCTGACCCAGTCTTTGCCCGCGGCAATTCGCGCTCTGGAATATCGCCGAGTTGCCAGGCTTTCGAACCGTCCAGTGGATGCGGCCCCTTTTGTCAACGACACAATTGATCGGATCATCTTGGATCAAGCGTATTCGGTGGACAAACGACACTACGGGCAGCTACCAAATTACAATTCGAAAGATGATCTTCCGTTGCAGCGGTCATTGATGGTTTGGGAAGAGCAGGGCATCCAGGGTCAAAATTGGGTGAGACACATGCTCAGCATCGAGCTCACGACAGACCTGCTATGGACGGGAGGGAAGCCGACGTTACCAGTTGTTGTTCACGAGGCCCATGCGGCTGTATCAAGCGGCTATCAGACAGGTCAGAAAGTCTCCCCGGACGGACTGGCACCTCCCGAGCAGCAATTGCACGAGCCTTGGCAGCTACTCACCCAGATAACCTACGCGACATTTTTCTCCAATGCCATGGACATGAAGAAACTCGCACCCAAGTCATCGAACACCATGACGGCAATCCTCGACTTCATCCGTACCCACACGAAAGTTTGGAAGACATTTTCCCACTTCGAGGAAGCGGCCCCCCCATCGCCTGAGGGCCAAAAACTCGAACACCTTATCAAATTACCGACCCCCCATTTCCTCCAACCCTCCTTCCTCTTCCTCGAATATCTCCAAGCAGTCCAAAAACTCCTCAAACTCATTCCCGCCGCTACCAAACCAAAATCTCATCCCCTGTCCAGCAAAATCCCAGCGGCAAAGTTGAAGGAAGTGGGTGCAACAGTTGAGGATGCGATGAGGGCAGTCCAGGGGGTTGCGAAGGATTGGATGCAGGAGTTGAGCTCAGGGGTAGGGGCACGGAATATTCGGGAACGAATAGCAGGGGGTGAGGTGGGGGAGGCATTGAAGCCGCTGTTAGATGGTGAGGAGCTGGAGAGGGTGGTGGGGAGGATCAAGGATGCGGCAGTCAATGCTCTGGAGGGGGTGGTGAAGGTTGAGGTGTTAAAACAGTGAGCAGACAGTGGTCTCAGAGGTAGTCAGTGCTCTACCATAACGGAATATCGATGATCCGGGGATGTTGGATATCGGCTTGCCAATACACATGTTAACATAAAAGCACAACACACACTACAGGATGGTTTATATCCTTTGTACAATGGTAGAATCTCATGAAAGGATGTATGGAACAAGATGTGTCCTGGTTCGAGATTATGGTGGGTGGGTGGTTCGGTAGAGGGGTCTAATCCCCAATGGCATTGCTTCCAAGGGCTTGCGGTTTCGCAGGATCATGCTGGAAGAATGCTGGTGAATTTGTTGGCGGAACCAGTTTTGCGGGAGGGTGGAGCTGGTAGAAAGGGAGGGCAAGGCGGCGGGGGGGGGGGCGGATAGGTCCGCCGAGGAATAGGTACGTACCTTCGGGATATCTGTGGCAAAGCTGCAGTATGCAGCGCGGCTTTTCTTGGAGGGTAGACCTATGTCTGACTAAGATGTCGTTTTATACGCATCCATTAGTGCAACGAAAAATGGTTTGATTGGCTGGATTCAATACGTTTGGACCCTGAGCCGAAATCGCGCATCCAACATAAGCCCTAGAGTCATGCTCACGAAACTTCGGAAAACGGCATTGTACTCCGCTCCTCCTTCACTTGCAGACAATTGAGCCTCCAGACAATAAGCGTGCTTATCCGAACAATTGTACGGGACATTGGGCGGATATCTCTTATTTTCAAAGAATAAGAGCGAGGAGAAAAACAGATTGGTTCCCTTCCGAGCCGGCAAGAGTCAACCACTCGGTGGTCCTCATTCCAAAATGTCCCTCTCGATCCAACCGTCCCTAGCCACCGTCCGCGATGTCCTGTCGGCCGCGGAGAGGCAGGAAAATCCCCCGAACCTGATCCCTCTCAGCGCGACTCTATCCGCCGAGTTCCTGACCCCGTCCTTGATATATCTGAAGCTAGCTGCTCGGTACGTATCGCGCGTCCTTTCCCTGAGGGCAGTGAGTAGGGAGGGCCGTGGCTGATGGGTGGAAACAGAGCGAAGACGAAATCCAGTTTCTTGTTCGAGAGCGCCATGACTACACAGACGATTGGGAGGTGGAGCTTCGTGGGAGTGGGTGAGTTAACCAGCCTCTTTGAACCTTTGATGTAGGATATGCTAATCCCCCTGTCTTCCCAGATCCCCGAAAAGTTCTCCGTTCCGGCCCCGGTCAACCCGTCGGTCCCCGCGATCCCCTCCCCGTCCTCGAAGAAGAACTCTCCCGGTACCGCGTCGCCAGCGTCCCAGGCGTCCAACTACCCCCACTAATCGGCGGAGCGATCGGGTACGTTGGATACGACTGCGTCGCATATTTCGAGCCCCGGACCGCGCGGGACGACATGAAAGATGTGCTGGAGGTGCCGGAGTCATTGTTTATGCTATTCGATACGGTTGTCGCGGTCGATCACTTCTACCAGTTGGTCAAGGTGTTCACGTATGTGAAGGTCCCGAAGGACTCGAAAGATTCTGGGGCGCTAGAGAGTGCATATGAGGCGGCGGAGAAGGAGTTGCGGGATGTGGTACACACTATCACGCAGACTGAGGTGCCGTTGCCACCGCAGGGACCTATTGAGCTGGAGCAGGAGTACACCTCGAACATTGGACAGGCAGGGTATGAGGCGCACGTCACAAGGTTAAAAGAGCACATCCACAAAGGCGACATCATCCAAGCCGTTCCTTCCCAGCGGATCGCGAGGCCGACGTCGTTACACCCATTCAACATTTACCGACGGCTACGGATGGTCAACCCATCGCCTTACCTATTCTTCGTGGACTGTGAGGACTTCCAGATCGTCGGCGCCAGTCCGGAGGTGTTGGTGAAGAGCGAGGAGGGCAGAATTATCACGCATCCGATTGCGGGGACGGTGAAGAGGGGGAAGACGGTGAAGGAGGACGATGAGTTGGCGCAGGAGTTGTCGAACTCGCTTAAGGATCGGTGAGTTTGGCCTTTACTTCGTGGTGGATTATACTGACTGGTCGAAGCGCGGAGCATGTGATGCTGGTGGATCTGGCGCGGAATGACGTAAATCGCGTCTGCGATCCTTTGTCGACGAGAGTCGACCGCTTAATGGTAGGTGTAAAACGCGTGGACGTGTTGGATCTCCAACTGACGTTGTAGATAATCCAACGGTTTTCCCACGTCCAGCACATCACATCCGAAGTCTCCGGGGTACTCCGGCCCGGAATGACGAGATTTGACGCATTTAGGTACGTCCTTCTGTCCCCCTTGACTTCACGAAGAAGTCTATGGCTGACTCAGTTGCTATTAGGTCCATATTTCCCGCCGGCACGGTATCCGGCGCCCCGAAAGTCCGCGCCATGGAGCTGATCGCGGAGTTGGAGGGGGAAAAGCGCGGCGTCTACGCCGGCGCGGTGGGATATTTCGGGTACAATACCGTGGATGCGAATGGGACGATTGAAGAGGGGTCGATGGACACGTGAGTTACTCACCAACCCCGTTTTTATGGATATGGAAATGGGAATGCATGCGTGGTTGGATTTGGCTAACGAGTGGATAGATGTATCGCGCTTCGGACGATGGTGGTCAAGGATGGGGTGGCATACCTTCAAGCCGGGGGTGGGATTGTGTTCGACTCGGACAACTATGACGAATTGTAAGCATGGTCCCTGTTCCTCTTGTTTTGCATCCCTAAATCTCAGTCCTGTCAACTATGCTGGGCTGGTTGCCGTGATGGGGGTGTCTTCACGCCAAAGGTGGACGAGAACTAACCGATTCCGCAGCGTCGAGACGTTGAATAAGCTCAAAGCCAACGTTACCTGCATCGATTCGGCCGAACTGGTATTCAGCGAGCAGGCAGCCCAAACAGGACTGTGAGCATCGTATACAGTACAGGCTAGGGAATGTCCTGGCTGTGACGAATTCGAACGATGTCATTGAATTTACGCGATCCCTTACCAAGGAGGCCTGAGCGAGAACTATATGAATGCTTTGCGGGCACGCCATTGGAAGACATGGCTAAAAAAGAGGAGCTACTTCGGTGCCGCCAGGTCTCAAGAACCCAATATTGTAGAAATCTAGACCTGCCAATTCGTAGCGCTACCGTATGGTAGTATGGGCATCCCTCATCGATGAAACGAGCGAGTTGCTAGAGTATGGGCTCTGGATAGAATGCTTTGGAAACTCACGATATATGCAATGGAGTCTACTTCAACGACCGCGGGCTGAGGGCACTAGATCCAGCGACTCTGGGCGGTCTTGGAGCATCCAGGAGACGATTTAGGCCAGAAGCTGTCTTTGTCGTCTGGAAGAACAATAGTATACCACCAGCATCACGAAGCCATCCACCCCCTCGCTCTTCTGTACATATTACCATTCATCGGGGCCCATCGCCACCGGTTCTCACATCACCTGAACTCCGAATGTCGGAAGTAAACAACTGAATTCAACCAAAAGCCAACGGACCCTAAGTATTCTTCCGACAACTACCCGCTTAGCCAAATATCTACGCGAATCCATCCATCCATCCCGTAACCCATAACAAACCCATCAATCATCACCACCCCCATCACCACCCCCCCATCACTACCGCTCCAACCCCCCTAATCATCCATCGGCCTATCCACCAACTCCACTCCCACCGGCCGATCCTCCGTCCCCACACTCATTCTCACCCCCGGCGCCTTCCTTGCAATCCTCCCCACCCCCCTTGACAACGAATCCCGCTTCACCACATCCCCCCCCTTCTCCTCCCCGGCCACCGATATCTCCTTATCTTCCCCACTCCCATTCGTCTTCTCCGACGACACCGGTCCTTCTCCCTCTGGCACCTCCAAGCTTCCCCGCACATTCCCCTTTCGCTCCACCGTCGGGCTCCCCGCACCTCCCGCCGCCGTGCTCGGCGCCACAGGGAACCGCGTCTCAGGCCCGCCGCTGCTGCGTTCCCGACGATGCGACGGCCCACCGGCCCGCGGACCGGGGGCGGGCGAGCTAGCGCGCGAGCGGTTGGCGATGATGGCACGGGTGCGCTCCTCCATATGGGCGCGACGGTTGCTCTCGTCGGTGGAGATGGCGCGGGGGCGCTGGTCGACGGTGGCCTTTGCCTCGCGCTCCTTCTGGGCGGCGGCGGAACGCTTGAGCTCGCCGAAGATGGGTTCCTTGTGTTCGAGGAGGTCGCGGACGAGGCGGAAGGAGAACTTTTCGGTGAGGGTGAGGGGGGATTCGTGCTTGGGACGGAGGACGCAGGGGGCGAGGGCGGTGCAGAGGGCGGTGATGTAGTCGTCGTCGGCGGAGGTGAGTTCGATGAGGCGGGCAAAGTGGGTGGCGAGGGCGTCGAGGGTGGCGATGTTGGCGAGACGGAGTTGGCCGAGGGTAGATTGGAGGATGGCAACACGAGAGGTCGCGGTGGAGGCGGCGTCGGAGGAGTAGATTGTTTTGACGATTTCGTAGACGTGAGAAGAAACAAGGGAGTCTAGAAGGGTTAGCTGTAGCTTTCGCATGAAGAATGTGGGACTTACCTGGAAGTTCTAGTAGATACAATTTCAAAACGCTCGCGACGATAGGTATCTCATATTGCTCCAGGACTTCATTCCCGATTGCACCGCCATTATTGATATGGTTGCGTAAATGATGAGTTGCTGGAAGTGGGACATCGACGAGCCAAATGCCTCTTCTCGCCTCGTCGCCTTCGAGGTCGGGATAACCTGTAACTTTGTTAGGGTCTACTGGAGTCATGCTATGGGGATGTCAACTTACGGGTATCGAGGAACGTGAGGATTGTCGTGACAATGATTGGAACACGCTTCCTATCGGCCTTTGCTCGAGCCTCGAGATCAATACCGAAGGTTTGACCTATAACGTGTTAAAAATACGTCTCACCCTAAAAGTCTTGAAATACTCACCATCAACCGAGTTGTAGTAATTCTCATACACCTGCACCCTTGGGATGAACTGCCCCGTCCGGTAGTTCTCCAACAGGTACCTCAAATCGCCCGCTGGCTGCACGGTCTCTTGGAACAGCATCATATTGTCCACGGTGCTCTGCAAGCTCGGGATCACATTGCTGATCGCCCCGGAAAAGTCCAGGATGACGGCTTTGATGGCCTTCAGTCGGTCCAATTCGCATCGCTCCATGTACTTCAAATGGCTCATCATCGCCTCCTCCAGATTGCATCGCAGGGTGTCGAGTTTTCGCACCGCCGCCTTATACCGCTCGTCGGCCTCGCGTGCTTCGCGGCGGAGTTTCTCGGCCGGTGTCTCGTTCGGGTAGGGGTTGTTCAAGGGGTTCCAACCGGCGAGGTACTCCTGCACCGTGCCGATGGGGCTGTCAACCCCGTCGTTGGACATGATCGTCGTGCTTCGTGACATCGGGTGCTTCTTCTCGGGGATACCGGTGAGTTGGAATGCTTTGGGTCGCCATTGGTAGAACATGCGCGAGCTATTGGCAAACGCGTTGCCGACGTTTCCCACGAGTCGGAGGTAGCCATTGGATACAATGTCTTGGCCGATTCGCTCGGCGTAGCTCACGCTCGACGCGTTCATGTGCTTCTGGATGTACTCGACGATGTCGGTGCCAGTGGAGACATTGTGATAGGTACCCAAAATCGGTACTTTCGTTTCGGTAAGCTTGATGGTCTCTAGCATGTGCGACAAGATTTTCTTGACTTGATCCAGTTGGTATACTTCATCGCCGATCTCGACCTGCGGTTCGTCCTCTTCGTCATCCGGTTCGGAAACCTTCACCGTCGGCGTGGGCAGCTGCACGGGCTTCTGCTTCGGGCTCTGCGTCCCCGCGGAATCCGGGTCCTTGAACGCCAACTTATCCTCCTCCTCCAGATCCTCCAGAAGCCTGCACTTATTGTAGTAGTGGCTTCGGAACTTGCGCACCGCGTCCGCCTGCTTGTCGTGCAGTTTGATCCGCGCTTGTAAGTCGTCCTGCGACCCCTGCACGCGGGCGGCATGTTCATCGCACCATCGACTAAAGGGAGACACGACCAGTTCGCGGATATTGTTGGAAATTTTCCGGTGGTTCTTGGAGGCTTCCTGCATCTCGCTGCGGACGCCTTCGTATGCCTAGAGCGACACCATTCCGTTAGTGCTGACAGGGGCCATGCGGCTGAGATGAGCACACACCTTTCGAACGCTGGCACCATCGTCCCTCTGAAAACCGCCTGTGATACGATCCGTTGCCGCTGGAATATAACCCAATTGTTGGCCATACAGGTCCTCCGCATCGGCTCGCATCCGCGCAATTGTCAGAACTTGCTGGTTCTCTTGGACACCTTGCTGCAGTTTGCCGAAGAGAACTCCAAGTCCTACGCGACTCCGTTAGCCTGATTGACTTGAGGTAGAAGAGAAGTGTCCCATACCACCAGCATAATCGCTCGACCAAAACGAAATTGAAAAGCCAGACGCCATCGTGAAGGGATGGTTCAGGGTCTTCCGTCAACCGTACCAAAAGCAACCACGGGGTATAGGAGATAGAATCGCTGCGATGGAGTCGCTAGGAACCGATATTCAGAGAACGAACGGAAGAGTGAATGAAAACCGGGTATCGTAAAAGTAACCGCTACGAAATTGCAAAGTATAGGTAAGGTAAGGTATGAAGGAGAATGATGGAAGAAGAGTTGGAAGAGAGTCTGACAGCCGTGACAGCAGCGCTTGACGTTGCACGGTTGCAGGTGCAAGGCTGTCGATCCTTCCTGTTTCCCGTCAGGCACGGCACGTGATTGGTATCCAGTCTGGAAGTTGTGGCTGACTAGAGACGATCGGATTCCACTGTTAGTCCTCGTGCTGTTTCCTGTAGTACGGAATACTAAAGGCAATTTCACGGATAATATCAAACTGTCCGTAGGTCCTCTTGGATCTCCAGTTCTGTATGCCTCCTCAGTAACTTCGTAAACTAATATCCCTTCTAGAAATCTCTTCAATACCTAGTACTCCATCCACCTGCCAGCACCACGATCACCACACAGCCACTAACCCTAGAGTCTCCACTTCCCATTCCCTTTTGCTAAACCGAAATCCAGTTCATGATGCACGACTGCATGTAGATGGGACCTCCTCAACTACCGAAAGTCACATAGACCCCCCCCCCCCCCCCCCCCCCCCTCCCTTCCCCCCATCCCTTCTCTCAACACCCCCCGCCACACCAACTACTGGCTCCGCTGCCTCAAGACCTTCTTCCCTGCCCACGCCACCACTATGGACTCCAACCGCATGTCCCTGTCCTTCTTCACCCTCGCGTCCCTCGATCTCCTCGCCGCGCTCGACACCCACATCTCCGCTGGCGAACGCGCCGACTACGTCGACTGGATCTACCAATGCCAGCATCCGGGGGGCGGGTTTCGAGGGGGGACGTCGACGATTACAGTTGGGGAAGCGGAGGCGGAAGAGCATACTGTGAGCCAGTGGGACCGCGCGACCGTGCCGTCGACGTATTTCGCGCTATGTTGCCTAGCAATCCTCGGGGATGACTTTAAGCGGGTGCGGTGGAAGGCGACGTGGCGATGGCTGCGAGGGATGCAGAAAGGGGACGGGAGCTTCGGGGAGTCGGTGGGGGCGGCAGGGGAGATTGACGGGGGGAGTGATGCGAGGTTTGCGTATTGTGCAATGTGTATCCGGTGGATGCTGCGGGGGATTGGTGGAAGAGAGGAGATGGAGGAGGTGGATGTAGATGTGGAGGGGTTGGAGAGGTGTATAGCGGGCTGCCAAGTACGTTTTCTACCTCTTGTCGATGTGTACCTTATGGGATATAGAACGGAATTTAACGGGTTGCTTCTAGACGTATGATGGGGGCATTGCTGATGAGCCGTTTCACGAACCGCATGGTAACGCATCCTCCGAATATTCTCTTCACTCAGGAAGTATCTCTGACTCTTTTTGATATTGTAGCGGGATACACCCACTGCTCCATCTCCGCACTCGCGCTCCTCTATCGCCCCCAGGAACCTCCTCCGGACACACCTCAGCAGATCGACTCGACAGACATAGACCTGTTCGCAAAAGTCCTCGACGTCGATTCCGCTATCCGATGGCTAGTCTCCCGACAAACCTCTGATATCTACCTCCACAACCCGGATGATTCCTCCGGCGACGAAGAAGATGCACCCGTGAAGCCTCTCGAGTCCCTCCAGACCTCCGAGCGACCAACTTACGCCGGATTCAACGGGCGGACCAACAAGATCGCGGATACGTGTTACGCATTCTGGGTGCTCGGATCCCTGACAGTAAGCATTGCACACCTCCCTCACCGCCCATACGTCCCCGATGCTAACGTTCACCAGATCCTCGGACGAGACGACCTCATCGACGCGGAATGCGTGCGGAGCTACCTCCTATCGAAGACGCAGCACCGCATTGGCGGGTTTGGGAAGACGCCGGGGGACACGCCGGATCCGTATCATTCGTTTCTGGGGCTCGCGGCGCTGTCGTTGCTGGGGGAGGAGGGGTTGAAGCCGTTGGATGCGGCGGTTTGTTTGAGTGGGAATGCGGTGGGTTGGATTCAGGGTCTTCATAAGATAACGAGATAGGACTTGGGAGAATCGACTTGTGTATACCGGTACCATCCTATGTATCCTCTCTATTGGAGATGAGTGTAGACTGAGATGCTGGATTGTTTATTGTTGTAGTCTGAGAGACAGGATCCATCCTACCTCGCATCATCTCATCCGAGACTCCAAGTATGACCGGAATTGAATCTTACTCGAATAGGAATGTGACAATGTGTGGAACATGCGGGGGAGATCAACCACTCGTTGAACCCCTCCACACGAATTCTATGAGACCCCAAGTCATCCAAGACATTTCCCCGCATGTTCTGTACCAGACTGGAGTCAAAGATGCCGTGAATGTGAATCATGAGTTCACGACAATGGACGAGTAGGATGTAGAGCAGTAGAGGTACTCGGGACACGCTCGGCCCATCCACACCCGGTTGTATGCGCGGTAGCTCACTAACTGACGCCGCGGAGTCACGTCAATTTGCTTCGCATGTGCGATGTGCTAAACTCCACCTCCACTCCATCGCTTAGAAAGTTCACTACTCTCAAGCACCTTTTAAGATCCCAAACTCTGGATCTTCACTGTGCGGAATCTCAACCGGGCGAGATTGTGTCTGCACGTCATATTAACCCCCCCCAACATCCGGGATTCCTCACAGGCGCCTGCAGCTGTAAACCGCCTGCCCTGTCCACCACCCTCTGCGCCCTCCCGATCTCTCCCGTCGCCCGGGTGCAGCATGTGTGAGGCTCGCAAGGGATAATATGGCGGGCCGCATACTTACCAGTCGTTCTCTATGTACGTCGCAGGAGATCTCTTTTTCAACAGGCTCGCTGCCCGTCCCGAAGCCCGTCCATCCACTCCTGCGCTCCGGACGGCGGTCGACGCCTAACCCTGCTTCTCACTCCGTGAAACTCGTCCTACGTACCACATACACCCTAACCCGACATGCAACCTCCTCCGAAAGAGTGTGGACGGTACCCCCGATATCTAGATCGCGCATAACGCGCCATTGGTACTCCGATGCGCCAGCCCCCAAGGGAACCCCATATAGCGACCTCACCGTCGGCGTCCCCAAAGAAACCTACCCCGACGAACGCCGCGTCGCGCTGACCCCGCAGAATGTCGCGCTCCTCCTCAAAAAAGGCTTCGGCCGCGTCCTCGTCGAGCGGCACGCCGGCATCGACGCGAAGTTCGTCGATAAGGAGTACGAGAACGCCGGCGCGAAGCTCGCGGGCGCCGACACCGTCTGGGCCGAGAGCGACATCCTCCTAAAAGTCCGCCCCCCCAGCGTGGCCGACTCGAACGACGAGGCCGCCAAGCTGAAAGCAGGGAGCACGGTGATCTCGTTCCTGAATGCGGCGCAGAACCGCGACCTAGTGGACGCTCTCGCAGCGAAGCCGGCGTCGGCGTTCGCGATGGAAATGATCCCGCGGATCTCACGGGCGCAGGTGTTCGACGCGCTGAGCTCGATGGCGAACATCGCAGGGTACAAGGCGGTGCTGGAAGCGTCGAATCAGTTCGGGCGGTTCCTGACGGCGCAGACGACGGCGGCGGGGAAGATCCCGCCGGCGAAGGTGCTGGTGATCGGGGCGGGGGTGGCGGGGTTGAGTGCGATCGCGACAGCGAAGCGGATGGGAGCGATTGTAAGGGGGTTTGATACGAGGGCGGCGGCGCGGGAGCAGGTGGAGTCGCTGGGTGGTGAGTTTTTGGAAGTCGGTTTGAAAGAGGACGGGGCTGGTGCGGGCGGATACGGGAAGGAAATGTCGAAGGAGTTCATCGAGGCGGAGATGAAGCTGTTCATGGAGCAGTGCAAAGAGGTGGACATCGTGATCACGACCGCGATGATCCCCGGGAAACGAGCTCCTATACTCATTGACCGTCACATGATCGAAGCGATGAGGCCTGGATCCGTGCTGGTGGATCTCGCATCTGAAGCCGGTGGAAACTGCGAGGTGACGATTCCAGGGAAGTTGACGATGCATCAAGGGGTATCTATCATTGGATACACCGATTTCCCATCCCGACTTCCGACGCAGGCCTCGACGCTGTACTCAAACAACATAACGAAGTTCCTCCTCTCTATCTCGCCCGCGGACAAGCATTTTGGCATCAATCTCGAAGATGAAGTCGTCCGCGGCTCGATCATCGTGAACCAAGGAGAGATCTTGCCTCCCGCCCCCCGTCCGACCCCTCCACCAGCGCCACTCACCCCCAAGGAAATCAAAGTGGAACCAACTCTAGAACTCACCCCATGGCAAAACAAAGTCCGCGAAGTAACCGGGGTGACGGCGGGCATCGGTTCGATAGTCGCGCTCGGAAAGCTCACCTCACCGTTGTTCATGGCCAACATCTTCACCACCGGCCTTGCTGGGATCATCGGATATCGCGTGGTCTGGGGCGTTAGTCCGGCGCTGCACTCTCCGCTGATGAGCGTCACCAATGCGATCTCCGGCATGGTTGGAATCGGCGGCTTCTTCGTCATGGGCGGCGGATATCTCCCCGAGACGATCCCGCAATTGCTTGGCTCCCTGTCGGTGCTGCTGGCTTTCGTCAACGTATCCGGTGGATTCGTGATCACCAAGCGAATGCTGGATATGTTCAAGCGACCAACTGACCCGCCGGAGTACCCATGGCTGTACGCCATCCCAGGACTGGTCTTCGGTGGCGGCTTCATAGCGGCGGCGAGCACGGGAATGGCAGGATTGGTGCAAGCTGGGTATCTAATCAGCAGCATGCTCTGCATTTCCTCACTCCAAGGCCTTGCCACCCAAGCGACCGCTCGACGTGGGAACCTCCTAGGAATCCTCGGCGTCGGATCCGGCATCCTCGCATCTCTCGCCGCCGTCGGCTTCTCCCCCGAAGTCATGACCCAATTCGGCGCCCTCGCCACCGTCGGAGCCATTGCAGGTGCGCTCATCGGCCGCCGCATCTCCCCCACCGACCTCCCCCAGACTGTCGCCGCGCTCCACTCCGTCGTCGGCCTCGCCGCCGTCCTCACCAGCGTCGGCAGTGTCATGTCCCACATCGACGACATCTCCACACTACACATGGTCACCGCCTACCTCGGCGTCCTGATCGGCGGCATCACCTTCACCGGATCCATGGTCGCCTTCCTCAAGCTCGCCGGCCGCATGTCCTCCCGCCCCATCAAGCTCCCGAAACCCCACATCGTGAACTCGGGCCTCCTCGCCACGAACGTCGGGACCATGGGCGCCTTCCTCGCCATGGCGCCTGGCTCGCCTATGATCGCTGCAGGCGCTCTGACTGCGAACGCGTTTCTGAGCTTCTTGAAGGGGTACACCACTACCGCGGCCATCGGCGGGGCAGACATGCCCGTCGTCATCACCGTGCTCAACGCGTACTCCGGGTTTGCGCTCATCGCCGAGGGGCTGATGCTCGACAACCCGCTGCTGACCACGGTCGGCACGCTCATCGGTGTGAGCGGCAGCATCCTCTCCTACATCATGTGCGTGGCCATGAACCGGTCACTTACGAACGTGCTCTTCGGCGGCATCGCCACCCCCACGCAAGAGACCAACACCGCGATCGAAGGAACCATCACCACAACGTCCATCGAAGAGGCGGCCGACATCCTCGCGAACTCCGACTCCGTCATCATCGTCGTCGGCTACGGCATGGCCGTCGCCAAAGCACAATACGCCATCTCCGAGATCACACAGATGTGTCGCGAGCGGGGCGTCAACGTGCGGTTCGCGATCCACCCGGTAGCCGGTCGAATGCCGGGGCAGTGCAACGTGCTGCTGGCGGAGGCGAACGTGCCGTACGACATCGTGCTGGAGATGGACGAGATCAACGAGGATTTCAACGACACGGACGTGACGCTGGTGATCGGGGCGAATGATACAGTGAATCCGATTGCGATGGAGCCTGGGAGTGCGATTGCGGGGATGCCGGTGTTGCATGCGTGGAAGAGTAAGCAAGTGATCGTGATGAAGCGGGGGATGAGCAGTGGATATGGTAAGTCTTTATCTACAATTTCTGCGTCGAGGATGGGGTTAGGGGTGAAACTAATGCTCGATAGCGGACGTGCCCAACCCGATGTTCTACATGCCGAACACGAAGATGTTGTTCGGCGATGCGAAGACAACCTGTGACGGTAAGTTCCCGCTCTCGTGATGCAATTCTCCATGCTGACGATGACCGTAGCGATTAAGCGAGCTTTGAACGACAAGCAGAAGGCAGCGATGATGGTCTAAAATATCCCTTTGCCGATTCGAGTAGATTTCATCTTGGTGGTGTGGATTGCCTGGTGGAGTTTACCATAGTTCGCGAATACAAATGCAGCCATTTGAATCAATTTCTAGAATATCCCAAATACCTTATCGTTGAATACCCTGTCTGGCGTTCCTAATAATAATGGGAAATATCATAGTTAATGGTAGGTGGTACTAACTTACTGTAAGACCCGTTGTTACAATAGAGTATTAGTTATTGCAGATCGTGGTTCCAACGCTGACGCCATGGCAAACGCCTAAACTAACGTCTGGGGCAAGGGCGACATGGAACGACATCGACTTCTCGCCACCAAAATGGCCGCGCCATCACTTGAATGCCTTAACAATAAACCACCACTGTGTGAATGGATGCCTATCCATCGTAACTCGTTCTCCAGCTTTAATAGAAGCCTTTATTTTCTTCATCGACATGTTATTCTGCGACACACCAAACAATGCCCGAGAAAGAAACCCCCACCCCAGAGTCCGAGTTGGCTCTCATAAGCAAAGTCGAGTTCAAAATCGCCCTCGCGGATACGGACACGAAGCTGGAAGTCGTCCTAGACAGATTCCTCACTGCGCTATTGTTGAAGTTGGAATCGCCGCATCTGGTGGTCCGGAATAAGGTCCTCTCGATATGCCACCACCTCACCAGTCGCGTCCAACATATCCGGCTGCCCGTCAAAGCGCTGATAGAGCAAGCCAAAAAATTCCGGTCGAACAAAGTGTTGCAGCACTCGGATCTGTCGTTTATCGTGCCCGGCTTTATGCATCTCTCGGCGGACGAGCTTCGGGATCTCATTCCCATCTTAGCAAAAGATGTCCACCTTGACATGGGCGCGTCGACGGGCCTAGCGTCCTACCAGCTTTATTTCATCCTGAGAGCGATATGTGCTCAGGAGATTTTGGAACGCGGCTCAGCGGAAGAGGAGGAGATCTTCGCAAAACCGGAATGGCAAATCGGTGAGCTCGACCGAGCATGGATGGTCAAATGGTTTACGAGGCTGATGCTCTTCTTACCGGGTGATAACCCGCAGCCTGGAATCAAGAAATCGGATCAAGAGTTTTTCATGGTTTCACCCCAAAAGAAGCTATGGAACCCGATAATACCGGGCGGGCTATACGTTGTAAAATGCAAGCAGAAGGTCCTCTGGTTCCTGTCGTCTCGTGTGTTCGCCGAAAACCCAACCCGCATCCTGGCATATTTGTATGCTGCTGCGGACGGAAACTCTGCGTTGTCAGAGACGGCGAAGGATTTGATTAAGCGGGAGATTGCCAGCGCCGACCTAGAGGATAAAGGGTTGATACAGGCGATTTACAACGGTTACCTCGGAAATTCTCCATCGTACTTGGACGCTGGAATATTCCATATTCCGAAACCCGCTGTACAGATCCAGCTCCTAAAATTTCTCGGCCGCTCCACGATGAGCACTACCTTTCCGTTGATGTTAACCGCCATTATCGAGAACGTCCTGTTCAAGAAGCCCGAGGACAGTCCATCGGAGCCTCCCAGTCGCCGAATCGATCGGGGAACCGAGGCCAACAAACTCAGGGCCGCGATCTTCAGCTACCTGACCTTCTTTGCGCGAAACGCGGACGTAGAAGACTTGGAGCCCATCGCTACGCCGCTGATTGCCCGGCTTCGAACCTTCGTAGAAGAGTACGGATGGCCAGCCCTCGAGACAGCTCAGTCCGGAGACGCCGACACCAGGCGGACTGCGTACGAAGTCATCGGAATCCTGACCAAAGCCGATAAGAAAGCCGACGTGGGCCTGCTGCAATGGCTGTTCACATCCCTTGGCTACGACACAAGCGGAAGGGAGACCACTCTCATAATCGGAGATGCGCTGTCATCTTTGATCTCAATATTTGCGGATAGATCGGCTGTGCAAGAGTCCGAGCTCATCGACGTCCTGCGGGACGAGAATCCCGGTTTTGATTTCGACGAGGTGACCCTGAACGACGTGGCCCTTGATCCCGCATTGCGGTCGAGGATATACCACGCTCGATACCTTGGGCTTCGTTTCGTCAACCAGTGCTTGCCATTCGAAAACGTGGCCGCTCGGTTGCTGAATCTTCGGGTTCTCACGGTCACCGATGTAGAAGCGCGGGAAGTCGTCGAGGAAGCGAAACGCGGACTGGATCCAAATTGGTTCAAAATCCGGGATCTTTACCCTGTCGATGGACAATCCACACGATCTATCATATTCCCTCCATACATTGATATCATGTCGGGGGCGCTTCCATGGTTCAAAAAGACGAATATTGCTGGGCGTCTGGGACCAGTGGTAAAGTTCGCGTATTTGATGCTACTCCAGGAAGCGTTTGACCAGCACTCTGTTGGAGTGGTGGTTGACCAGTCATGGGAAAGACGACTTTTGACCGCCATCGAGAACGAGGTAGATACGCAAGACGCACTTGCCGACTATCTTAAAACGATGGACGAAAAAAAGATGGACAGGCTGCTGAACCTCCGCAATGCCTGCGTTCCTTACCTGGATCCCGACCTATTCAAACAGTTTCCAGCCTCCAAAAATATCCTCCTCCGGCTGGTCAAGATCGGCAGTATATCGGAAACCGGACGCAGCCGCCTCGCCCTCGCCTACCAAACCCTACCCGACTTGAAGCCGGCTCTTTTCTCGCATGATAAATCCCTTCGAATATTTGCCGCCGAAGTCTTCGGATTGTGCGACGACACTGGCAGTTACAATGGGACGACCCTTGTAGGCTCCTGCATGGAGTCCGTTCGGAACTGGAACACATCCGCTTCTGGCACGGGGTCATATAACTGGAAAGTGGATGGTTCTATCCTTCTTCTCTCTAATCACTGGAGTCGGATAAAATACGATGGTGCTAACGAACAGAGAGACTCGTTCATGAAGTTCGTTAAGGAAATATTGGAGACATCCAAGGACACCAGTTTGCTGGAAACGTGCTTTTACGCTGTTAGCCAAATCTCTATCTTCCACTCCATGGAATTTGACAAGCCCACAATATTTCCCCTGGTCCTCGAGACAGCAAAGAAGGGCAACGAGCGTGCCATTACTACTTTAGGACACATTGCCATGCATTTCCGAACGGAAGCGGCCGACGACTTCAAAATGGCTTTAGATGCGTTTAGGGATCTGCACGAAGTCCGGCAGACTGAGACGCAATTTGCTGTGGGCGAGGCAATATCCTGCTTCGCAGGGGGGTGGGCCTCAAAGGTCATGGTTAACCTACGCGAGCACTCGTTGAAACTTTCACTGGACGAAGTGGATGACCCACAGGCAGTACCTACCATCATGGAAAGTGTGCTAAAAGATTGTCGGAACGCGAAGCCCGCATTGAGGAAGGCGGCGGCCATTTGGCTACTGTGCCTCGTCCAGTACTGCGGACATCTGAAGGAGATGAAGAAGTACTTGACTCAGTGTCAAACTGCATTTCTACACTGCTTGTCCGATCGAGACGAGATGGTACAAGAAGCCGCCTCACGAGGCCTTGGAACTGTATACGAGATGGGCGATCGGGACCTCAAGGACGATTTGGTCCGGAACCTTGTGAATGCCTTCTCGGAGAGCAAGTCACAGCTGTCCGGAAATGTCACGGAAGACACGGAGCTCTTCGACGAAGGGATGCTGCGCAATCGTGACGGCTCGATCAAGACGTACGGAGACATCCTAAACTTGGCACAGGAAGCTGGGGATTCGACACTTGTCTACAAGTACATGGCTATTGCCTCGAATAATGCGATGTGGTCTAGTCGAGCCGCATTCGGCAAGTTCGGGTTGAGCAGCGTCCTTTCAAGCTCAAGCGTCGATGGATATCTGGCCGAGAATCCTAAGCTGTACCCGAAGCTCTATCGATACCGATTCGATCCAGTTGAGAACGTGCGAAGAGCCATGAACGATATTTGGACCGCACTTGTCCCCGACACTTCCGCGACGCTCGACAAGTATTTCGATCCCATCATGGAGGATTTGCTGCGTCATATCCTCTCCGGGAAGGAATGGCGGGTGCGACAGGCGTGCTGTGCTGCCATCGCGGACCTCGTTCAATCCAAGCCATTCGAGATGTATTACAAATATCTGGGCGAGATCTGGGCTAGTTGCTTCAAGGTGCTCGACGACATTAAAGAGTCGGTCAGAGCGGCCGCAGCGGGCCTTGCGAGGACGTTGACAGGAATCGTCACCAGATCGCTTGAAAGCGGTTCGGGATCGAAAATGTCGAGATCGAAATCCCACGCGATGTTAACCGACGTCGTGCCATTTCTCCTTTCCCCCGCGGGACTTGAGTCCAGCGCCAAAGAAGTGCAGGTATTCTCGATCACGGCGCTGCTAGACATCGTCAAGAAAGCCAGCGCCGAAGCCCTCCGACCGTTCATCCCCGAGCTTGTCGAGCGGATCATCGGGCTGCTCACATCGTTGGAACCACAGGAGATCAACTATATCCATCTGAACGCGGACAAGTACGACTTGACCGAGGAGAAGATCGACGCGATGCGATTGAACTCGATTCGCGCGAGCCCGCTCATGGATGCAATTGAGCGCTGCCTTGATCTCGTGGACGACGAGACCATGGACCGCCTTGTCCCCTGCCTCGAGATCGCCATGCGAACTGCCGTCGGGTTGCCCTCGAAAATCGGCGCCGGGCGTGTCCTCGTTTCCCTGGCCACCCGACACCACCAAGTTTTCAAGCAGGCAAAAGCCAACAGTTTTTTAGTCCTCTTACAGAAATACGTGCTCGACCGAAACGAGACTGTGTCCACTTCCTACGCCGTTGCCGCGGGGTATCTGGCGCGGATTGCGTCCGATGCCCAAATCTTTCGACTCTTTGAGTTCTGCCGTAACCTCTACCTTACCGCCGACGACGATCGGAAACGCACGGTTTCTGGTGACATCGTCTACGCGGTTGCGAAGCACGCATCCGACCGGCTCAAGGCTGTTGCGGCGGATATCCTGCCGTTCGTCTTCTTCGCCAAACATGACAGCGTCGCCAGCGTCAAGGACGAATACCAGAAAGCGTGGGACGATACGGTCGGCGGATCCAGGTCGGTCCTTCTCTATCTAAATGAGATCATCGATATATCGAAGCTGCACTTGGATTCGCCGAAGTGGGTGCTCAAACACACTGCCGCGCGAACGGTGGCAGACGTCATCAACAGCATCATCCAGGCCTCCAGTACGATCAACAAGGACCAAGCGGATGTCGTCTATCCTGCTTTGAAGAAAGCGTTGGCTGGGAAAACGTGGGATGGGAAAGAGGGAGTTCTGACTGCCTTCGTCTCCTTCGTCGAGAAGACCGAGCACCTCTGGCGTGAGGACGAAATGTCCACGAAAGACATCGTGGGGATCGCAGCCCGGGAAGCGGGGAGGCAGAACTCCAAGTATCGACCAACTGCCTTGATGGCTATTGGGAAGATCGCCGGGCTGCAAGACGATGACGGACTCTCGAGGACGGCGTTTGAGAAGGCGCATGAGGTTGTGAAGACATTGTTAGTGAATGAGGATGATATGGATGTCGACGGCGACGACTCGACTGTCAAAGGGTCGCTGCGGGACGAGACCTTGATCGCTGCGATTCAGGCGATGGGCAATGCTTTCAACGACGCGGTATTTCAAAGCAATGGTAAGCACCTCCCCATCCTCATCCATGAATTCTCCCATCCATCCTCCGTCTCGTCGTTCACCAACTAACCTCACCAGACTCTGCCACCCTAATCACCCAATACCTCCAAACCATCCACGTCGCCACCGCCTCCGCCTCCAACCCCATCCACACCACCATCGCCTCCTCCCTCGACGCCTTCCTCACTAAATTCCCGGATCACCCCGAACCCACGCTCGGCGCCGCCGAGGACAGGGTGCTCGAGCACCTGCGCACCGTGCTCTTCGACACCGAGCCGCCACACGAGGCGCTGCGGGCGCGGCGGGCGCGGCAGATTAAGGTACTGGCGGGGAAGCGATGGGAGAAGGCGAATGAGGTGATATGGGCGCGGGTGGGGGAGATGGTGGAGGGTGAGATTTCGCCGGGGGTGAGGGAGACGTTGGAGGAGGCGTTGAAGGTGGTGGAGGAGAGGGAGGGGTGAGTTAAGGGGGTGGATGGCGAGGGTGGGATGGGTTGCAATAGTGATAGAGCATGTATCGAAATGTGGGACGTTGAAAGAGGCGATGAACATGGTGGACGAGGGTTGGTTCAGGGGAAATGGATCCCGAGTATGGGATACCCGGGTTACGGTATTCATAGAGCGTGGAGCGTCATAGATTCGGGTTAGAGCATAAGATACATGGTTTGTTTGTCGACATTTTGCTGGGTTCAGTTGTGTAGGACTCTTCTAAATCGTCCAGTGATCTTACACTAGAGGAATGCAGGGTATGTGAGTATCAGTTGTGCTAATTATGTCCCATTTGCTCAAAGCAGCCAAGTTGAATGTTGCGTGTTGGCAAAAATACCGGAAAGGTACCTATCTAAAGCGCCAGATTACCTCGCAGATAATGCAACGTCTATCCCATGGCGTACTTAATCATAGTCGACGTATTCACCGCATGAAACTCAGAACTCTACCACCATACCCCTCGTATCAAATGCACTCGACTTTTCTATCCATTCCCTCGTCCACTCCGCTGCTCTCTCCAACGATCGGGATACTCCCCTCACCTACCCCACAAACTCCACCATCACCGTCCCATTCATCAACCCCGCCTCCCTCACACTCCCCTCCAACCCCACCCTTCCCTCTCCCATCAAATTCCTCCCCATGCTCACCAACTCAAACTCTCTCGCCCTCCCCTCCCCGTCCCGCCCCCCAATCGCCTCCGGCTCCGCTTTCAACCACTCGTAGATCCGCCCCACCGGCTCCTCGAGCCCGAACCGTCGGATCACCCGCCCGGACGGATGTCGGAACTGGATGCGCGTCGTGGTGGCGGGATCCGCGGCCGGTTCGGTGTGTGGTGCGTCGGAGCGGATCGTGGAGAAGAGGGAGGGGGGTGCTGGGGAGGGGGAGGGTTGGCGTGCGTCGGGTGCGAAGGGCGCGAGGCCATTCGCCTCGGCGGGGGTGGAGGGGGTGGATGCGCGGGCCTTGCCCTTGTCGATGCGCAGGGCGGAGTCGTCGCTGGAGGGGGTGGAACCGTCGCTCTTGGTCAGCGCGTCAGGGTCGAGGGCGCGAGACGCGGAGCCGTGGTCGGCGGCGAGGGAGTTGCGGACGGCCATTTCGAGCATTTCGTCCTCAGTCATGCGCTCGACTTGGGTCTCGCGGCGGGGTGCGGGCTTGCGGGTTGCGACGGGGTTGCGGGCGTGGACGTTGAGGCTGTAGCGGTCGAGGAACTCATGGAGGTCGGTGAGGAAGTCGGCAGGTTTGGGGCCGGGGGGACCGGACCAGACTTTGACTTGCTCGCCGGTGCGGGGGTCGACGATGGCGATGTGCGGGTATGCGTCGGGGGATTCGTGGGTGTGGAAGTAGTATTGGACGTAGGGCATGGCGCGGGGGTCGTTGTTGGTGTATTGCAGGAAGATGAAATTCTCGCGGACGGCTTCGACGATGCCCTTGTCTTTCCAGATGTCGCGATTGAGGACTTGGCAGTCGAAGACGGACGGCTCTTGGATGTTGACGAGGAGCCATTTTTCTTGGTCCTTGCCTTCCTCGCGGGCTTCTTCCCAGGACAGGTTGGTGAGCAGTTCGAAGGGCGGGCGGAACAGATTGGCGAGGTGGCTGGATTTCGATGAAGCGTCGGACGCGCCTCCGGTGGCACGAGCCAATTCTCGCTGTGAGGTGACAGGATCGTTGTCTTCCCAAATGGTAGGTTGAGATTCGCGTTGATTGAAGATACCAGGGCGACCTTTTCAAGAAAACCAAGTTAGAATAACCAGACGGAACCGTATTTTCAATCAAGGTACTGGAGAACTTACCCGCCGCTCTTCTCCTCTCCCGCTCCATCAGCTGCTGTGCAATCGACGCCTGAATGCCATCCTCCCCCCCGTACTCCGCATCCGGCCCCACCAACGTCTCTCTCGTCCTCGCCAACGGAGCCCTCACCCCCTCCGCATCCACTCCGGCCGACATATCCCCGCCCGCGTACATCTCCTCCTGCAACCGTCTCGCCAACGCCTCATCGTCCTCAAACATCGCATCCGGCTGATACGTCTGCTGCGTCGGTGCGGGCTGCTGCGGCTGCGGCGTACCCGCTTCCGGAGTCTCGTCGTCCGAGTCAATGTGGATTATGCCATCGTCGTCCTCGGTGTACGGGGCGCTAGGGTGCGACGGCGCGGGCGGTGCGGGCGCAGTAGGCGCGGTGGTGGGTTGGGCTCCGGCAACGTCGAGGCCGGGGCTGTCGAAGAAGAGCTGGATGGCTTGCTCGAGGTTGCCGTCGGCGATCTGGAGGTAGCTTTGGGCTTGTTGCGGGGTGGCGGAGGTGATGGTCATGAATGATCCGATGGTTTCGTCGTCCATGGCTACGGGACAGGCTCCGAGGAGCAAAGCTTTCGAGTGGTTTTTCTGGGTTCGATGTAATGGTTCGGAGGTGGAAATGAAAGAAAGGCTGCAGAAGCGGACAGGGTGGCGGCTTTGGAGATGGGTTCTGGAAGTGTCTGTAGCTTTATGGAGGGGTCGAAGTGATATTGGCAGTGTCTCGGGTAGCACGTCGACGCCACTAGGGGATATCTGATTTGGATTCACTACCTGTTCGAGGTCAGTCAGATATTTCTCCGAGTTTCTGGCACCGGACGCCATCACCGCTGATACGGTTTCATGGCAGGCGCTGGGGGATTCATACCAAAACATCAGCTCTCCTGTGGTTTAAGAGTGATTCAGGGCTGCCAAAAACAGTTATCCAGAGCTTCTCAACGAACTTGGATGATTCGAACGATTCAAGCGAATGGCTAAGGGCAGATTGGCGAAGTTGATAATGGCAATCATGAGTATATTCAAACATGAAGTCGGAGAATGGCGTTGACAATTCCGTGTCACATGGACTGGCGTCATCACCACTGGATGCCTGCTGAATTCTCGACGCCTTATCGCCTTGTCCACTCGCACACGGCTCTCGGCGCTCGCTGGTTGCAGTGTTCGGTTTGGAAGCTGCTAGATACGTGGGATAGGTAGTGGGCAATATGCTGTATTTACACCTTATACTCTCCTGAACATACGGCTCTGGTAAAATCCTAGGCATTTTGTCCTTGTAATCACCGAGAATTATGCAAAGGGAACGTACTAATTCCTGTTAAGTAGCATTAAGTCCCTATGTAACTCCGGATATGTATATCAACTGAGACCACCCATCCCATGAGCACCGACTGCATTTCTCAGATATAGATATGCACTTGGGTAGATACAAGTAGTCAAATCAGCAAAACGGCTGGAAGCTCGTCGTATTGGTATTCCGCTCAAAATCCAGCTTTTGATCCGAAGGAAACCTGCAGAAGGCTAAGCTGAATCATGCCATGTAATGCCACTCCACGACCCCTTTCCCCTGACCTCCGCGACCTCCACGTCCTGATACCCCAGACCACGCACTGGTCGCTGAATTTTCATGTATGAAGTCAAGTCCACGGTCCAGATCCTATACGATGACGAAGGCGAGTACGGACGGACATAAGCGACCCAGCGACGATCGGAACCGCAGAGGGAAGCCGAAGAAGCTCGCAACTCCCGCGCTGCGTCTGTCGAATGAACCGCCAACGTCCCCACACACCCAATCCCAACGATCAGGACCCCCTCGAAAAAAGCACCCCGCGACTAAAAAGCAGGCACCGAAACCATGCCGCCGTCGTCCCAGTCATGAGAAAGTAAGCAAGCAGCACGAAAGAGGAAAACGCCGAAAATTTCCGTGTGCGCCAGTATCGTCGGCCTTAAGCAAGCAAGCAAATCCATCCATTCAATCAATCAATCAGTCAAATCCATCAATCGAGCTCCACCCATTCAGGATCGAGGTAGTAGAGCCAGGTCAACTCCTTCCGCGTGTTCCCCACCCGCGTGTTGAGTGCCACGTCTTCCATCTGCGTCCGGCGTCGCTCGCGCTCACGTCGGTGGTGCCTGTCCTCCTAATCCTACTATTGCCCCGTCGCCTTCGCCGCTACCCGCTGCGCCCTCCGCGCCCGCCCATCTGGCTTCCCCGCCCACCTCACTATCTCCTATTCGTCCGGGGCGTACAGGTTCTGGTTGAGGAGCTTGTTCATGGTGAACATGTGGACCTTGTCCTGCTTGAAGACGGCGCGCATGGGTTCGTCGCAGATGATATGGCGCTTGTCGGCAGGGTCTTGGAGGTCGTGCGCGCGGATGTACTCCCATATGTGTTTGACGGTTTGGGGTCGGGAGAGCTATGGCGAGGGATAACCTCATTAGCTTCTGTCTCGCACTCGCAACCTTCCTCGCTTGCGCGCTTGTTTGCTTGCTTGCGTTCTAGTCCTGTGACCAGGCCTCGTAGTTACTCACCTGTGTCACCCCTCCCAACATCTCACTCAAACTCGGACTCAAATTGAACGGCTTATGAAACCCTCCCGTCCGATTCACCTTCCTCTCCCCACCCTCTCCACCCTCCCCCTCCTCCCCACTATCATCCGTCACCCGACTCGCGCTCTTCTTCTTCGGCGTGCTCTTCTTTCGCGGCGCCGTTTTCCGCTTTCCGTTCCCCGCACCCCGCGTCGTGCGCGCCGTCCGCGCGTTCTCCTCCGCCTGCAACCGCGCTGCGAACGCTGCGTCGTCTTCTTCGACGGATGCCGTGTGGCGGTGTTTTTTGCTGGGAGGCGGAGAGAAGGCCGTGCTGGTGTGCGCGGCGGGGGAGTCGGGGGCAGAGGGTCGCTTGCGGTTGGCGGGTGGGGTGGGCGTGGAGATGCCGTTGGTGGTGGGGTGGGGAGGGGATGCGGAGGGGGCGGTGGTACCGTTGGTGGTGGGGTGCGCGGGGGCGTTGTTGGTCGCAGTGAAGGCGTCAAAGCGTTGGAGGATGAGGGTTACGACGGATTTCTGGAGAGGGTTAGTTGGTGGATGGTGGGATGTTGGGGAAGTGGTCGGATATGGACCAAAGGGAGGGATGGTCGGAGGTGGATGAGAGAGCTCGACGAACCTTATATGGGGTGAGGTCATAGCCGACTTTGGCTTGCACGCCCTTGCGAATGGACTTGGATGAGACGGTATTGATATCGCTTTCGGCGAGAATGTCGTCAATGATCTTGGAGAAGTCATTCTCCTGCTGGGCCGACACTGTAGAAAGGCAATCCATTAGCGCCATTGCATTCCGAAAGGTCGTTTCTCCAATAATAGTTCCACTTACACGGCAAGGGTTCGGTCTCCATAGCTCACGAGTGATCAAGTGAGGGAGCTCCAGATGAAGTGGTCAAGAAGAGCAGACAAGAGAGATCAAGAACTCCAGATGGTCAAGATGAGGACTTGAGAGAATGATGTCTCACGGTGCCAGTAAGGTTCGGAATGGGCTGAACTGGGCGCCTCGCGGACTGGACCGACGTGGTGGTAACCAGGGTCGAGTGGACGACAGCAGTTCTTCTTTGCTGTAAGGTTCGGTTCGGTTCGGTGGTGCTACCCTGGATGGATCATGGATGAGAGAATGCTTGCTCTCGTGTGGCGTCAGAGTGGTGCAGGGAATCAATCTTATGAACACCACGGGATTGGCAGCGGGATGAAGTGAGGAGAAGGAAGAAACCCAAGTCAGAGAGGAGCCAGAGAGTGAGAGGTGAAGTGAATCCTGTTGAAGTGGAAGACGAAGAGCTGAAGCGGATATGTAATAAAGTGACGTTCATTCACTCTACAGAATTGCGACGGCGTCAAAGAGTAAAAGCTCCGATCCTCATGAGAGTGTGAGAGGACAGGGATATTGGGTGGTTGGCAAGCCGAAGCATGACAATGATATACAGCACAATCGAATCCTTCTAGCTTGACCCAACGATAACAATAAGTGAATTAGGTATTTAAAGAAGCTATGGATATGTCGATTGCATCTTCACTTTCATTCTTGAAGCAAAAGTGGCATGTGACGTGTGACATGTGACTTCTTCGATGCACGATGCAGGTGGCTTGTGAGTCGTGACTTCCGTTTCTGTTCGGTGCTGCTGTTTGATGCCTAATGGCCTTGATGCCTGCAGCACGACACAGACAGGGATTTCTGTTCCATTTCTACAGCCACATCCCAATTCGGTAATCATGGAAGGAGAAACAGCGCGATGGAGCAGCAATGGAGAAGCAAAGGAGTGCAAGAGTGCAAGTCACAATGATCAATCAGTCCCCATTTACCCAATGCCCTTAACCGTACCTGTCTTTCACCAAATCGCTATGCAAATAATCTCCAAGTTTGTCTTTCCAAACACCCGCCAAAGAATCCTCTCAATATACCCCCCATCCCTCCCCTCCCCTCCCCTACATAACCACACAACCCGCACCATACATAGCTCTTTCAACATTAGGCTTGATCATCAGCCAATCTGCCCTCCTTTCAGCGAACTCATACACGTCTTCCGGTCGGAAAATGCCCTGGTATCGGTCGGGGTCCGCGATGATGGTGGCAATCTCCTTGGCGTGTTTTCCGGAGATCAAGAAGATCTGCGCCACTTCCCGTAGTGCGATGAAGTATTCGGTGAGGAGTTTGTTCTTGAGCGTGACAATGTAGGAGTAGTAGTGGTTCATGTCGCTTCGAGGAGGGGTTAGCAAACCGGGATGAAAGAGATTGATTGGGGAAGAGATGGGATAAGGAAAGGAAAGCAAATCGAAGGGAATATACATGAACGAAAGGATTGAGAAATCATGGCAAGCATACCTGATCAACCTCACCGCTCCATCCACACTCACCCGCTGCCGCTTGATATGCTTACACAGCGCCCCAAACAACCTCACCCCCACCTCCTGATTAAACACTTCCAACACATTCCGATCCGTGCTCCCCACCAACATCTCCAAATGCTCCCGCACCACCTCTACCACCCTCCCCGCTGTCTCACTCCTCCCCACCTCCACCACCCCGGCCGCCGGACAAAACTCCTCCACCTGCTGCATCGTCGCCATCATATACTCCACCTCCTCCATCAACACGTCGATCCCCTGATTCAGCCCGCTCGCCACTTGCCCATCCAGCATCTGCTCGAACCGTTTCTTCTCCTTCGCCGCCGCCGACAGGAAGTCATCCCGCTCCACCAGCTTCGGCCCCACCAGCTCCTGCACGTAGAACACGTCGATCATCTGCTGGATCAGGTCGCCAACGTTGACCAGCTCGAGGAAGGTGACGAGCGGCTCCACCCGCGGCTGGGTGGGCGCGCCGTCCGTCCCGGCGTGGGAGGCGGCAGCGCGAGGGTTGTAGGCGCTGAGGTGCGTAATCGCGGTCGTGAACCCCGATTGGATGTGTCGGGAGCCGAGGATTTGGAGAAGCGTGACGAAGATGATTTCGCATTGTTCGCGGGCTTCTTGGGCGCGAGCAGCGAGGATGGGGTGGAAGATGCGGGCGGGGGCGGATTTGGAGGGGGGAGGAGGTCGTTGGGCGAAGCGGGCGGTGCGCTCGAGGGAGGTTTTGGCGGTGTGGACGAGGTTGAGGGCCATTTCGATGGAGAAGAGGCTTTTGATGCCTTCGAGGCGGGTGTTGAGGAGGGCAGCTTTAGCGGCGAGTTCGTCGGTCGGGGCCTTTGGGTTTCGAGGGCTGTTGGATCGGTCGGTAGGGGCGGGACTGGATGCTCTGGAGGGATGCAGCATATCGCCACTCGGAGCTGCTGCCGAAATAGAGGCGGGTCGGTTGGAGAATGGCGCTGTCATAGGCGCGGTGATAGATCCGACCACTTGGACTGGCATCATGACGACTTTCCGGAACGAGGTGAGAAAATCTCGCTTCTCGGCTTGTCTGCTGAAATGAGACATGTAAAAGGACTCCGTCGAGGCCTCTTCGTCCTTCAGACGCTTCTCCCACGCATCGACCTCCGCATCAGCCTTCTTCCGGAAGAACCCTAGCTCCTCCTGCAGATACAGGTCGATATGCGGCTCAAACACTTCGGCCATCGCCTTCGCCATGCGTTCGTCTCGATCCTGTATCGGTACGTTCGGAGGTCGTATCGCGTTCGCAAACTGCATCACCAAATCAAACGTCGCTGATACGGCACTCAAATACGCCTCCAAACTCCTCTCGTGTGCCTGATCGAACAACGTTGTGACATACTCGCCCACCACATCCTCACACACCCGCTCCAAAAAGGGCACGAACACCTCCACGTTTGCCGGAAACACCCGCTCGATCGTCTTACTCTGCTCGTTCACCCCCAGCACCAGCCGCCGAAAAAACTCCTGCGCCGGCGCCATCACCACATGCGTCGTCGACAAGCTCATCAAACATTCCCCCGGCTCCCCGAACCCCCGCTTCCCCGCAATCACTGGATTCCGCGCCAACCACAGATCCACCCCCGACGCCCCTCCATTCAACACCACCAACACCCGTGCATATCGCCTTACCCGCCCCTCTGTATCCCCGACATCCACCCCGTTCCCAAACTCCCGCAACACTGCGCTCTCAAACACTCCCATCATACTATCCAGCCGCCCCTCGCGCACCTCCCACCCCATGGCGCTGTCACTCCGCGCGAACACGCGCAGCTGCGCGAGCATGCGCGCCTGCTGCTCCGGGTCGCGGAAGGTTTGGAACACATGAAACGACGACGGATCCCCGTGCGAGGCGGAGCTGACGATGTCGCGATAGAAGGGGGCGAGGGCCTTGTAGGCGCGACCATATTCGTGGCGGGCGCCGCCGCGGAGGGAGCGGAGGCTGCGGATTATGGTGAGGGATGCGTCGAGGGTGTTGGGGGGTTGGGTGGTGGAAGAGGGGTTGGCGTGGCCGTTGGGGGCGGGGATGGCGGGTTCGAAGCCGTCGGAGGACTTGCTGGAGCGGGATGGGTGGGTGGCGGACTGGCGTTGGGTGGGAGGTTGCTTCTGTTGCGCTTCTGCAGCAGCATCGAAGATCGTCTCGGCCGCTGGATTTTCGTCACGGGCTTGGGATGGTGGTGTTTCTACTGTGCCGCTCGCTGCGGGTTGCGGCCCCCCTCTGCCTACGCCAGCGCCTCGTCCTGCAGGTGTTGATAGCGGCGGGATGCCTAGGCTGGCTCGCTGGGCTTGGAGTTTCCGGCGCATATCCGCCTCGAATCGCCGCCGTGCTTCCCCTTCGTCCCAGCGGCCCATGGCGCTCAGCCGGCGGATCCAGAGGGCGTCATCGTAGACCATTTCGCGCATTCGGCGGGAGGTGCGGGCGACATTGATGAGGGTGGGGATCGGGAGGTAGGGGAGGATCAATTGGATGATTTCTAGGGGCAATAATTAGCATATTTCCTTGGAGGGTTACTGTATGTCTGGTTGGATATCTGAGTTGTGCAGGCGTATAAGAAGACCAACCGGCTGGCAACGAGTGCTTCGTCTGCACCATAGAGGTAGCTCGGAGCGATGACAGCACACCCTTATCACTGCTGGGACGGGGGCTCCCTCCCGACACGGGAGCAGGCTGGAATCCCGACATTCTGAAGTTACAATCGACCGCTTATTTGCACATCGGCTGTTTAGCTGGTGGCTCACGGATACCTCATATATGACTGCACACAATGTCCCATGGTCGCTAAGGGGAAAAGGAAATAGGGGCCAGGACTCCAAGCATTGGCGTGTGACTCTCGATTTCCCGGGTATTATGGAGGCCAGAATTGGCCGTTGGCAGAGTTAGATGGAGGTTCGTAAGTCCCCGAAGCTATCATCGGATCTGGTTTCATAACTGTCCCTGCCAACCTCCGCCACCTGCAGGGGTGGGGGATCAAACATAAATGACATCGTGATACACCATCTCAACTCTCAAGGCATTCCCCTTACGAATGTTCTCAAATTAGAGCGGAAAACTATACATTAAATACGTTATGCTCGTTCAATATATTAATATTTAACTTTGCCTATATCAGCGGTGGGTATAACAGCCTTAACACGCCAGGTACCTGTGCCGTTACGAGATAACAAAACATTGATCATACAAATCCACCATCTTCTCAAAGAAATTAAACTCCTTCGCCGGATGCTCATGATCCTTTCCAATATATGCGAACATCTTCGCCCCGACTTCGATATCCGTGTTGATCCCAAACCGGCTATCGGGATTCCCGCACGCCCCTCCCTCAGGGCTGGCGGTTGCGTCGATCGTCGCTTTGAACTGGGGGGCTTTCAGGGCAATGCCGGCTTCGTAGCCTGTGCTGAAGACATAGGCTCCTGCGGCGATTTTTAGGTACGTAGATACCTCGAGTCCTGCGGAGAGATGGGCCGTGGCTGAGGGGGGCGTCTTGATCCATTCGACCTGCCATCTGTTGCTATTAGAACGAACCGACGTCTACGATCCGTACTCGCCAACTTACCCTTCACTTGAGCTCTCACACCCTTTAAGACAGATCTTGGTGTTCGAAACAGGCGTGAGTTGAGCCGTGGCTCCCCAAGTCATCGAAGCATTCCCCTTAATCGGACCCACCGCCCAACCCGCACCCATCGACGGACCAAAGCTGAGGCCTCCGATCTTCGGGATATTGACGCCAATGATGGTGTAGCTGTAGAATTCAACCGTCCCGGCTTGGCGGGCTACCAAGTCCCCACGAGAATTGAGAGCCAGATTAACTCGTGCGAGCGCATTGGTCGCACCGTATTCGATGAAGACATGCTTGATCTTAAACCAGGAAATCTTGACATCGAGAGCTACGTTTATCGTTCCATCGGTCCCGCAGTCTGTACAAGCTAAAGACAAGCCACTGGTAGCATCCCCCGTGTCTATCATGGTGGTGGTGAAGTCCTTCTTCAAGGAAAACGATTTCGAAATATCAATCCGCTTACTGAGTGTCGTGCTGTATCCATTGTTTGTCTGATTCGTCGGTGCGGCAGTCGTCTCAATGCGGAGGTGGCCATCATGAATGGCCCGAGAATATTCCAGCTCATGAGCGGTGAGATAGGTGATGTACCTCTCCTCGTCATAGTCAACGTCAGTGATGTTGAAAGGGGTGCGAGAATGGTCGGGTCCGCATTTCGGATGGTTGACAAACATGATGAAGTGACGGTTTTCGTTTTCGTTCACCCAATTCCACTTGGTAATTGCGGCTTCAAAAGATTCTCGGTCTTTAAAATCGAGACTCATCTCCGGGGGACTACAGTCGACATTTTCTAGGACGTCGCCGAAGTCATCCATATTGATGACGAGCTCATTCTCCCCCAAGTACTCGACTTGAAGGATAGCATTTGCTTTGTCTGATAACTTTCAGCATCTCACCTACTCTATCCAAAATCTTTGTTTGACCTACTTTGTTTCCAATATAGCGTGACCGCATCCCTCAGATCAAGGGCATCTCGACGCTTGGACAGATGTCCATCGTCCGTCAACGAAACGACCGGTTCTAGATCTATGGTGGGAATTCCGTCAAAGCTAGTCGATTGAACGCTATAGTCCGGCTCGACATCTTCAATGTCTGCTAATGGTAGAGCAGATGTACCAGAGAAAAATAGAACAACTCCGGCAAAGAGAGTAGCAATTGCGCGCATAATGATAGAGAAGGATTAAAACGGACAACGGTCCCAAAAGAATGGCTGATAGATGTAAACGAAAGTGGTATGCATCGAATATAACCAGCGAAGCGCAAGGTGCTGCAAAGGAGTGTCGTGGATCTTGGAAGAGAGTTCTTATGTATTCATCTCCGGTACTGAGAACGACCACACGGTGCAGATACAGAAAGAAAACGACACCCACCGTTCCAATAGGGGTGTACATTCTGTTTTGCGGCACAGCGAGAGTCAATGGTGAAGTATCCCCTAATGTGCTCCTCTGGTGAATGTTCATCTTGGGGTAAGCCAATGAAATGAGCGGATGGGTTAGCGACTGTGCCATTGCCACACATTATGCTCTGATACGTCTGTTTCCATATGGCTCCTGCAGGAGAAAGGTTGGTTTGTGTCGGCATCCGTATCGAATATCGATACCTTTTGCTCTAGCGCGTTGACGCTGCGTGGAACTCCATTTCGTGGTGGAAGAGATTCTGGTCGGCACTAAATCGACGCATGGGAGCTCTTCGTTGCTTCCGATCTCGAGCTGCAGATGAATAGACGACCTGGAGGCATCTGTCCAGGCGCGTTGGCTGCAATGGTCCGCTATCAGGATCTCCACTTCAACATTCCCGAACTATTCAGTATAACCACTTCGTGATAAATGGACGACACAGAAAACGATTCTCGGCCTGCCATACTGCCAACGTCCAAGTACGAGCAGTAGTTGGGCAAGCAAAAGAAACAAGACCTCCGGAACACATTCTTAGTCTCAGTATGATAGGCTGGCAGAAATCTAGCACGGAAAAGCCAGAAGCCAACTTGGTGGGTGAGAGTGGTGGTTCTCCTGATGAGATTGTCGGAGATGTTGACGTTGGTAGATCGGTTCCGCGCGCTGATTGGCCGCCGACGTCACTAACCGCCATCAGGAGTAACAACCCAACCATTACTGGCAACCAATTCACATCAGTCGTTTATGATTCTAAGAAACTTGATAGTTATATAACTTTCAACTTGGCAGAATGGCCATATCGTGTCTATCTACAGAGGCGAAGGAGGTAACATTTTGCTGATCAGAAAGCATTTTGATGACTAGGCCTCACGATGCACCTCCTAAGTCGTGGAGAGACCAAAGCCGAGGTCATAACCGGTTCCACCCTTCACGAGATCAGCGCTACAATACGAAGCGGCCTCCTTAGAATTCCATGGGAATTATCTGTGGTGATATAATCTGAATTTAAATTATCCTATCTAGAGGTAATCATGTCGACCAAGGTATTGGATCAGATCTTGGATAAATATACCGATCCAGCCAAATGTGTATTCAATGGAGCTACCTTCATTGCTGTGGACAACAAAGGTAAATTCACAGCTTATACATCTCTCGCCACCCTACCCCTTTATATTTCTTTATTGCTTATTTTTCCTAGGCAATACACTCTACAAACGGGCCGCGGGAAAACTGCGCTTCGACCCCAATGAAAATGCCCCGTTGCAGCCAGACTCATTATGTTGGGTCGCATCGATGACAAAAGTCGTCACGGCGGTTGCAGTGATGCAGTTGGTGGAACGAAAACTGCTCGATCTCGATCAGGACGTTCGGGATATTGTCCCAGAGTTAAGAGACCTTGAGGTGCTGGTTGGATTTGAGGAGCCCGCCGAGTCTCAAGCGGCGACGCGGGTGGCAGAGCCAGAGACGCCTACGCCTCTAGCGAAGCCGGTCATGGAGAAGATCAAGGGTAAACTAACGATAAGGTGAGGAGGGAAGATTAAATCGATGTAGACGATCGCATCTAAATTTGGTTAGGCATCTAGTCTGTCATATGTCTGGGTTTGTGTATGGTGCGTAAACCCCTGACAACCATACCTCCTGTTTCTGAAGCGAGAATGCTCATGCACTAATTTAGATCGACATCCTCAGCTGCTCAGATGGTCAGAAGCAGTTGGGAGGCAGAATCACATGTGGGAAGGCAGCATGCGAGGATATACTCATCCGTTACTTTTCCAGCCTGGAACTTCCTGGGGATACGGTCCTGGGATTGATTGGGCGGGCCAAGCGGTCAGTATAGACATATATACGCGAGAGCTAATCCAGCTGACGGCTTGCAGATCGAGAAGGTGACCGGACTGAGTCTCGAAGACTACATGCAAGCCAACATCTGGTCGAAACTCGGTGCCAAGCACACCACATTCCACCCCGAGCTACGCCCTGCTGGCGACCTCCCACCGCAGCAGGAGATGGGCCTTCGACCTGGCGGGCCGAAAGGAACCGCTCCTCTCGGGCCCGGTCCAATTATCATGGACTACCCCCTGAAAGACGACCTCGGCGGAATCGGACTGTTTTCGACCGCGGCCGATTTCGTGAGGCTCTTGACCGCACTCGTCAACGGTGGATCGCCGCTCCTCGGTGAGGAAGCGACACAAGAGCTATTTCGACCACAGCTGGATAAAGCAACGCGAAAGGACATGTTGATGCCTCTGGGCGCGCGGACAAGGAGGGTGCTCGGGGTGGAGGATTTTCAGGAGGAAAAAGCGGATTATTGTCTTGCGGGGACCACCACAATGGAGGATTTGCCTGGCAGACGAAAAAAGGGGTCCGCGAGTTGGGCTGGGTTCCCGAATCTGCATTGGGTGAGTTATCTGATATCCGGGCTCTGGAACCACACTGACCAGCTGCTACAGTGGGTTGATCCCATAAGTGGGATCGCTGGGACCCTTTTCACGCAGATTATGCCACCAGGTAGGTTCTCCATGGAGTCTGAAATTATTTGGAGCGTTTCATATCTAACGTCCCTTGTAGGGGATGAGGTAACGGTTGACTTCTTCTTAGAGATGGAGACAGCATTGTACGCGATGGTAAATGAAAGGAACAAAAAAAAAGACGGTTCTCGGTTATAATAGACTTATTACGGTGGCATTTCTCCTATTACCAGAACATATGGCTGTGTACCCGTTCGCAAGGCTGCACTATTGTATAAACGATGTCACGTCCTAGATTCGATGCTCTTGACACTGTCTCCTGGTCTCGGTAGAAGAAAGAAGTTATCGCTATTAACGTTATGTCCGAGGGCGTCAAATTTGGTCACCCAAGACAGATAGTAAATACTACACTCAAATGGCAATAAGCTGTAGCGAAAATAGCATTAGCTTCATAAGCAACTTGGTGGGACAAAAATGAAAGGAAAGGAATTCAACCCAACCTCGATCAGCAAAAATAACATTGGCTGTAACAATCAATCTGGACGGATAAATGAGCAACGAATTCGACGGAACCTCGACCAGCAAAAAACAAAAAGAAATGCACTAACCCGGAATCGAACCGGGGCCGCGTCGATGGCAACGACACATTCTACCACTAGACCATTAGTGCTGGATGAATATGGAAAGAATGTGAGAATTAAGAATATATTATGGACTTAATTGCGATGCTCCAGGCCGCAGCGCGACCTGGGATCATTCGGATTCAATCCCATCCCCCACAGCATTGACCTCCATGTTTGAACCTACAAAGATTTCGTGAATCGTGATGTCGCTCAAATTGGTGATGTATTTATCCTCATTTCTGAACATCTTTCCAGCTTCTATAGACGACCCTTCGTTATCTGGATTGTCGGAACTGTTTTGTTTGATCCGACTGACTGACCGGCAACTACCGCTCCGGCCCAGCGTTTACCTCAAGGGTTTCCTTGCATCAAAAGTCCAGCCTCGTCTCCAACAAAGTATTGATTCGCTTTCTTCTACGTTTTTAGCCCCTTCTTTGAGTAATTTGTTGAACCACACCGACATGATGACCCTGCCGGCAGCGTATCTCGTATTCTGACAATTCTCACATCGGTCGTATTACGAGTACGTCCCAGAGCTGAGTGTCGGCGTTGGGTCGTCGTTTAAAGTTCTGACGTACGCGCAACGTCGAGTGGCGATCATCGTTCCAGATGACATACAATTGGGTGCCTGTAGCAAGTTATCGTATGCGGTATTTGGAACCGCTTGATCTGCATCCGCTGAAGAAGAGATTCTGGACGATATTGAGGATGCGGCGTTCAGTAAGATCCAATACGGCAATACTATATTCTAGTGTTTCCTTGGTAGGATGCCTACTCTAAGAATATCTTAAACCAGACACCGCAACTACGAGGCCAGAACTCCAGAAGAGGTTAATAGCGTAGTCCGCTTAAGTCCCCAATGAATTGTACAGTTCGGAGTCTTATTATCGTTATACTATAAATATGTTGAACCCAAAGTTCAAGTCGTCGGACCTTTGATATGAACTATTTGGCTAGGATAATTTCACCCAAAGTCAAGGAGCGTTCTCACCACGATGGAATTGACCGGTCCTCAGATCATTTCTTTACTCAAGAGTCGTCTTTCTTCTCAATCAGAATATGCGCTCGCCGCCGACAAATCCGAAAGCATCGGGCATACTAGATGGACGACGGTTCAGGCACCTTCATTCATTGCGACGGTGAAGCCTGCAACGGTTGAAGACATACAGACCACGGTAAGCCTCCTGGCACTGGGAAATGACCTAGAGAATAACCAAGGGACAGGTTAAATGCGCTACCGAGCACAACATCCCATTCCACGCCGTGGCCACAGGCCATAATTTTTCGTCATGTTATGAAAGGGCACAGAACCTACTCGAGGTGGATATCAGCAATCTAAAGGGTGTCTCCATCGATGCCAGTGCCAGTACGATCACGGTTGGAGGCGCCGTCCTCTTCAATGAGATTTTCGACCCTCTCCATGAAGCTGGTAAAGAAATGCGTATGTAAACGGTTTGTCCACTGATTTGTGAGATATAACGCTGACTTCGTCAGCGACGGGAGCATGCTCTACAGTCGGCATAGTCGGAGTAACTCGTAAGAGGCATATGGTCATGCATACTGAAACCCATTAACTGACTCAAATTCTAACTAAGTTGGCGGGGGTCTCAACCGAATGCAAGGCACCTACGGGTTACTCCTCGATTCTCTCCTGGAGGTCGAACTCGTCACTGCTACAGGAGACTTTGTCAAAGCGAGCAAGACGGAGAACACGGAGTTGTTCTGGGGCATGCGCGGCGCTGGATTCAACTTCGGGATCGTTATGAAAGCGACGTATCAAATTTACGATCAACAGAATGGGGGGAACGTGATGTCCGCGGACTTCGTCCTCCCGCATAATAATGGCCCAGAGATCATCCGAATCCTGCAGGAGATTCACGAAGACCAACCTCCGGAATTATCCGTGGCGGTTGGGCAGTTCTACGATGAGAAAGCCGGTGGGGTGAGCGGTCCTCCTAGCGCCGCGATTTTGCCAGACACGTAGCTCTAACAACCCACAGCCGATCATGCTCGTCAATTACATCTATACCGGAGACCTCGACGAAGGCAAGCGACTCATCCAACCGATCATCGACCTCGGCCCTACCCTGCAGCAGATCGATTACCTGCCCTGGAACCAAATCAACACCAAATGGGGATTCGGAGCGGATGCGACCGTTTCCATCCGCAACATGCCCAGGACCATGTTCTCAGCGCACGTCAAACAGCTCGATCTGCCTACCTTCGAGTGGTACTTTGCGGAGCTGGCAAGGTACTGGGAGGAATATCCGGCGCTTCGTGGCAGCGTCGCGATCATCGAAGCATGGGGGTCGCAGAAGATGGCGGAGATTCCCGATGACGAGACGGCGTATCCGCATCGCGACGTCAAATGCCAGATGTAGGAACACGCAGGAGATGGAATTAATTAGAATCAACGCTAACGATATCCAGGATCATCGGGCATCAGACCACGGATCCCCAACTTCAGCCGATGGTCAATAAATGGAAAAATGAAGTTCGTGAGCGGTTTAGAGCGACGAGTGGGTTTGAAGAGACGAAGGTCTATGTGAATTATGCGCAGGGCGATGACTCCCAGGAGGCGATGTATGGAGCACGGAAATTGGAGAGGCTGAGGGCACTTAAGAGGAAGTGGGACCCAAATTGTGTCTTCAGTTGGTACAATCCGATCATCATTTAAACAATGACAGATGCGATTAGGTGGTGGAATGGTCAATGGATATTTGGCATTGTCTTTACCTACCCATCTGTCCAACGAACAAGTCACAATGAGATATAACATGCCAGATTGGAGAAAGAGAAAGTAAATTAGAAAATATCGGGCTTCTTTTGAAAGGAAGGTCAAAGTGCACACCGAACGAAAGCGCACCAAGCTCGCCCACACCTTCCAAACATCGTTCATATACTCTCCTTAATTAACATACCCCCAAATCTTTTTACATCCCATATCCCCATTCTACAAAGCCAACAACGCCCCCGCAACCAACGCACCAACCCCCATCCCCGCCTCAATTCTCCCCGCCAACCCACTGCTCGTCGCGGCCGGCGGCGTCGCGCCCGCGGGAGCGCTCCCGGCGTCGGTCGTGTTCCCGCCAGAGGTCCCGTTCCCCGAGGCGCCGGCGCTGGTCGGCGCGGCGTCGCCTGATGACTCGGGGTTGGCGGACGATTCGGGGCCGGAGGTGGGCTCGGAGCCGGCGGGGCAGGAGGCGGAGGTGGGGACGGAGATTTGGTAGGTGCGGCAGAGGTTGACAGCGAAGTCGATGGTGGCTGGATGGAGGTGTTAGCGGAGGAGTTGGATGGATGGATAGATTTATCGTCCTATGGGGAGGGAGCTGGGAACCATGCAAGGGGTAGGGTTTTGGAGCGGAAGGAGCCGTACCTTGCTGATCCTCCGGGCTACAGCGGTTCGCGACGCAGCACGAGAGGTCGCTGATCAGCGCCTCGTTGCTGCAGATGCATTTGATGTCGATGGGGCCGCAGCCTCCGAAGCTGGCGCCGACGCAAGAGCGCTGCAGGGAGCGGACGGTTAGCGAGGGAGGTTCTGTGGAACGGGGGGTGGGATTGTCATACTGAGCACTCGGGAAGCTGTCCGACGTCTGCTTGCGCAACGGCAACGGCGACGAGGGAGGAGAGGAGGGCGGCGGTGGTGAAGTGCATGGTGAGATTGGGGTGGATGATAGTTTTGGATGGAATTGGAGAGTTGGAGGAGGAGAGAGTGGTGAGAAGTTGGTTGGTGTAGGAAGTAGATAGGAGGTGGATCCGTGAGGGTTGTTGTTGATCACTGCAGGTGATGGACAAACGGTGGAGTGACGAACAAGTTCACTCTGGGGAATCTGTGGGTAATAAACGCCTGCGAGCTGCGAGCTGCAAGAAAAGGAGACCCTCCCAAATTAAATACGAGAGCCGAGAAGGGATCAACTCGAAATCCTGGGGAAATCCTGATCTGCGAATTTCGATTCGGACTTGGACGTGCGTATTTCTTTGTTTCCCTTTTCCGTCTCCAATTGATTGACGCCGGGTAGCATTAACCCGTCCTCCCCGAGCCATATAGCTTTGGGCTTGTGATTCGTCGCGTTCGACAGCCACTGCGAGGAGTTTGATGAAGAGCTCAATTCGGTGAGGGCGGATGGTCCTTGCGATGGATTCATGGATATCATGAAAGGTTGAACCCTATGATTGTATTTACTCAGTATATGTTCCTAGTTGTCATTACGGATAGATTTTAAGGGACTGCACATGACGTTTCTTTCTACAGCTGACGCGGTTCGGCGAGCTTCGAAGTCCCCCCAAGCTCCTCGTCAGTCGTCACCAGGAGCCTGGATGAGTGTCAAACACAAGTCCGTTGCGGACAGCCGCTAATAGATGAACAAACGGCCTATTGTATACAGAAACCTAATATTCAACGTCACGTACTCCCTCACACGTCATTAATTTTTCTCATAAGTCATAACCAATCCGAAGATCGAAGCCAGTCCGTGAAATATGTAGCCTGAGCCCTCGTGCTCTGGAGCGCCAGCAAGTCAGACATGCTTGGGAGCTGTCCCTTAATGACACCCCGCTAATGCCAGGGACCCGCACCCTCGCAGGACGAGGATCGAGCCAACGCCGGAACATCAACAGACGACCAGAAAACGGAACGACGGTCCTCCGACTGTCATGAGGCTCTGCGGGTCTGTCGTCACTGGGCCGCTGTCCCATCCTCCGACATCTGACATGAATAATCAGGGCGGAACAGACTGGTGACTCAAGCCAAGATGCGACGGGCATGAGGCTGTACAATTGGATGCCCGATGGAACAAGGTCCTTCACTTGCGGTGCCAGTCATCAGGCGTTTTCCAGGCTACAACAATTGGGAAAAGGACGGAGGAAGATGCCTTGTGCCCAATCAGTAGGTAAGTCGGCACTCAACCGGCTGCCTCTGAGTCCTCCTGCACGATGCGGCCTGCGGGTTATTGATACTTGACGGACCAGAATCGAGGTATGAACGTCACCCTGGAGCAACAGGGAAGTCTCACGCCGGTGGACCGCTCGGTCTGGACTGTACGGGGACTGCATATCATGTCGCAGGACCGACAATCCCCCACGCATACCGCGAAGCGTGTCTCCCATCCGCCTGCCCCAGAGCGGTGAACGAGGAACCGAAAACAGGGCTTCAATCTGACCGAGACGACGTGACGAAATAGTTGGGCCCGGTGGGGTGGAGAAAGTTGGGCGACGGGACGGTTAAATGTCAGTCTCATAATCCCTTCACCGTCTGGGCGCCTCCTCGTGATGGGGGAGGGGGGTCAAGCCTCATTGTTCATTGACTCCGGTAGGGGCTGTGTGGGGGGTCCCATCCATTCTCCATCTGTGGCTAATGCTGCAGGCGGCCAATGATTTCCTCGAAACTGAGGCGCAGCGTTTGAGATTTTGGCCAGAATTGAGGACTGGATCACGAGTTCGCGACGTGGGCGCGAGTTGGCGTCGCATCGCGTTTTCTCACCACGTCGAAACTTCCACCGCGCTGCTCCACCACCACCACCCCCTGAAACTCCCCTCAACATCGCGACCGGACGGTCATGAGGACCATAATGCACATTGGCAAAATTCCGCATCTTGAGCACGGGCGTGATCATTGAGGCCGTGCCACGCCCTCTGGCTCGCCAAAGCCTTCTAGAAACCATAGAACCATCGGACTAGTGGACAGGCATCCGTCCCACATCGTCCTTCTTGTGAGTCGACAATTTACACGCGCAAATGATTGGTCTCGACCACGATTTCCAATCGCAGCAGGCTGTCTTGCGCAGGCGCAGACCGCCGGAACCTCTGATGGTGACCGAGGACCTGAGATCCGTCGCGCCCATCGCGTCCTAACGTCCCATGCCTGCTCAATAGGTAGGATGGCGCAGCACCTCCCCAAAGTTGCCTTTCCGCCCATCACCACCACCGCTCCACTCGCCCTGTTTTCAACATTGACACCCACATCGGTGTGAATTGGAGAGCGTTTGGGCTATGTATCGACTTTTGTTACCCGTTCAGTCATAACTTACCAATGTAAGGCGATAATTGGGGATCCTCGGGTCAGGTCGTTGCGGGCTGTGCGGCCTGCTCATGACTCCCAAATCGCCCTTTAGAGTAACCGATGTTAGGCAGCACCTAGCTGGGCCACTCACGGTGAGAGGATGGTAATTGATGGTTCTATTGCCTTTGTATGCCTTTCCCAGGTTTGAGGCCGCTAATACAAGGGAAATTGCCTGTTTCGACGTAGTCGTCGCTGTTGACCCGCTGGCCGAGCATACATATATACCTCTACTTCTTGCTGCCTTTCTATCGAGCGTTCCTTCATTACACTCAACACCAAACTGAATATTCAAAGCTTCAATATACTCATCGACACATCTGAACTCAATCGAATCATTCCAGACCCAGAAACACTCATCATGACTGAATTCACCCTCGCCCTTCGCCTCTCCAAACCCACGCTCAACATGAAGGAAGACCGACCAAGGGACGGCGCCGGAAATGGCCCTGGAGCCATTTTCTTCGAGCCCAACGGCTCTTCATCACGATCATATACCCGCAAAGGACAACCGCGCGATGGTGCAGGTAATTAACATCTCATCCCGAAGTATGAACCAAAGTTCAGCGACTGACAATGATGTTCCTGTTCAGGCAACTAAGCTGCACCTGAGTCGTCAAATCAGAGCCCACCCCGGCACCCCGGTCATCCTGATGCCTGATCGTCGCCGGGTCCTCCAGGCTCCATCATGAACATTCACGATTCAACAAAGACTCATGATGCAATTCCATCCAACCGAAATTGCCCGGCGCAAAGCCTACGACGAGCGGACGAAAGAGAAGGACATCTCGGAATGCAGATAATCACTCCAACCATCCTCATCGATCGCGACCGAATTTCTTCCTTGGAACCACGACATCCTATCGAACAAAAGCATAAAAAAACAGCTTGCCTTCCTGGGTCTCGGATTCGTCTCACGACCTTCGGTTTCCTGAACGGTTCCCATAGTCCGGTGTCTGCGTCTGTTCCACCGTTCCACGGCGTCTGCGCGCCTACGATTCGTGGCTGGATCTTTTTTCCCTTCCCATGCATCCATTCGACATCGATCCCTCCACCCCACCAGCACGGATATCGACGACTCCTCCGACTGCGCATGCGGCGGCGACAATCAACCCTCCGCATGCGCGGTTGTTGCAGTGAGGCTCTCTCTGCTACCTTCGCTTCTCACACGGACGAGATATGACAAGCCTCCTCGTCTGCCTTTCTAACTTTGTTTTTTCCCCATCATCACAGCAGCGGGAGGATATGTTTTGCGATTTTCCTTGATGACTTATGTAAAGACCACGATTCTTCGCGAGAGGGAATGAATGACCGGCCATGGCCATGAATAGAATATATCGGTCCGCAAGGATCTCACGCAGCAATCTTGGAGTTTAGGAGTCCTGTATCATAGAGGATGAGATTTGGTTTTTCTTATGTTGTTGGGACTTGGGTTTTGGGTTTCTCATGTACTATATTATCTTTGTCGAGTGGATGAATTGAAACTGAGGAGGGAAAAGACAATGTGTCATTGAACCGTGAAGTTGATTCTATTGTCATGAATCCACTGCCCCGCAATGCCCCCTTTTCGACTGAAATCAGATTCCAATTCCATGGGCTGCCCAGTGCCCCGCATTGCGGGACCTCGACCCTCAATTCTCCCAGTACAACATGGCTCCATTCCCGTCGGCGCCTTATCTCAACTCAATCTCGCTATCATCAATCTTACGACACCATAGAATTAGCTGTACCAATGCACGGTATGAATTACTGCTGATTGCACGATACGGCTAGTCAGCAAAGGAAACAAGTGCTGGTCTACTAGCTCCATTAAGATAACTAGGGCCTCCATCAGATGATTAGATGTCTGACTCAGTAGTTACCTATTTCATCTGTGATCTGTCCATTCTAACGTCTTCTCCCCACATGTGCCTCGCAGAGATGCCTGACGGGCGTATGAATCTCTCTCTCTAACGTTTTCTATATGACTTTATACTATCTTGACAGCATCCTCTCCTTAATTCTTGCGCTCACTTTACTTGGAGGCGCGTGCTCGATATTTTGAATGGGCGAAGCATCTTTCCGAATTGAGACGGGTCAAAGAGAAGCTTCATTCCTATGTAGCAAGGCACGAGCCATCAATTACCTATCTCTAAGTCGTCTATAGCCTCGATACTGAGCTTATTCTAGCTGCTGCTGCACCACCAGCAAGATCGATATCAATCACGATTATCATTCTCTTCACAACATCGCAATTGTAACAGATTTCTCCATGCGAAACCACCATGCGAAACCAAGGATAACTCCCCACTCCCCCGTCGAACCGTTTCTCCACTCTGCCACGAGCCTCATGCTCTAGCGTCACCTACCTGGGCTACCTTCCAAATATCTGTCGTATTCAGATCGTCTTGGTCCAGACTCCTTGGCCGATCATGATTCTCCCACAATTCTCCAACCGTGTGTCACCTGCAACCCAAGCATTACCCAACCACCACCTCCATTCCCGGCGCTAGCCATGCACCCACCTCCCCTCCCCCCCCTCCCATTGGCCTCCTCCGCCAAAACAATTTCGTAATAGTTTCCCCATCCGGACCTTGGCGTCGCATCGACGAATCATCGTCCCCTACGAATGCGCATGGACGCGAAAAATGGGAGAGGGGCCGACGGCTGGCGAGGACGCTTGGCGTGCAATCATGCTGGGCGAGAATTTGCCGATTTGGCAGATTTGTAGCGGGCGGATGTTGGGAAGGGAAAATACTGGGGATGAGGTGATAAGGCCAAGGACGTGGAGGGGCACGAAGGCGTTATGGTGGTGGAGGAGGATGTATTTAAGAGGAGGGGCGGTTGCTGGACGAGGGAATGGGGATGTTGTCAGTTTTCGCACGTTTGACGTTTTTGGTTGCAACATTGCTGGGTGCCTAGGAAATATAATTAAACCGTCCAAGTCTGGGTCCGCAAGTCTGGTTCCTCGACCCACGGAAGAAATTGATCACCGCCGAAGAGCATATTTCGACGTCTGCCTTGTGATATCTACATCCGAACCATCGGTCCGCGTTGGCACTTTCTCCCACACAGCTTCTATACCGGAACTTTCTGGGGCCTTTCCGAAGGCTACCGCTCCACGAACATCTGAAGAAAGTTGATATTCGAGATATCTGAGATCAGGATGGCAGAGGACGTTCCAAAGCACTCGCATGGACGAGGTGGTGCCGGTAAGTAGCCCCATTCACTTCCACACAACCCGTTTCCATTCCCTCGACTCCTTCAATCCCCCTCATCGAGCATCTCATCGTCTCCCCACCTTCATACCCCCTTCACTCCACCACCCCAACTAATCCCCCCCAGGCAACATCGCCACCGACACCCACCCCCCCGCCGACCCCTCCAACTTCGTCACTCCCTCCATCAAAACCGACCATTACACCACCGGGCGCGGCGGCTCTGGCAACATCGCGAAGAACGACCCCGCACACCCCGAGATCGCACGCGCCGCGCAGGACGTCGGGCCCGTGCCGCGCGGCGACCCGGAGGTGTATCATACGGGGCGCGGCGGCGCGGCGAATGTGGGAGGGGAGAAGGTGGAGAGGGCAGAGAAGAAGCCGGTGAAGGAGGAGGGGATTGTGGAGAAGGGGAAGGAGTTTTTGGGGAAGTTGATGGGGCAGGGAGAGAAGAAGCCGTGAAGTGGGGGAGGAAAGGGGTAGGGAGTGGTAATGTTGGGTTTCTTACTTCATGGCGTTATTTTGAAGTCGTTGGGGTGTGTTGGGATGTTGGATCTCTTTGGTGGATGGGGCATTTCTTGAGCACGTCCTTATTCTCGGGAGCGGGAAGATGATTCGGTTGCATCTACACTTTCTCGATATGGTTTGGTTCACCAAGACGACGACACGGACAGATTGGAATCGTAATGGACTTCTGCCTGCAAGTGCGTGCGCTCCGCTCTCCCATCTAATCTGAATTCGCCGTGGATTCCTCCCGATCGCTATAGGCGGTCGAGACTAGAGTACCATCTATTGTCCCTAAGAATCTGGTTTGTCGATTGGTCGTCAATTACACCATTACGCCATGGATGTTACACGCATCCCTAGCTGCTTAAACTGGCGTCATGCAACCTCGCCAAAGCTCTATCAGCTGCTGGTAAAATTTCACCGTCCACACACATCGGCGGTCGACCAGCTTGGCCCCACTTTTGATCAGAGAGCGGGAGGATCGTGCAGAACCGAAGAGTAGACTTCGACTTGAACCTGTGGTAATATTTCAGAGCCTAACCCAAGGCTTGTCGAGAAGCGGGACTGATGTCAGTGGACAGACTGCGGTTTGCCTTCTGGCCCAGTAGCCTAAGCATGAGTATGTTCTTGAGCTTATGGTCGGAAGGGATACACTACGTGAGGTACAGTAAGACTCTATTATCAACCTATTTGAATTCGTCAAGCACGCATCGGTCACTGTCAATGGTATCAGCGAGAAGGTAGTCCATGGTTTAGTGAATAGAGTACCATATCGCGATCAGTGCCAGGATGCATCAAGAGACGGGAGAGGGATGGAAATCTTGATGGGCTGGACTGGACTCAACATGAACTCATTTCTATATTTAATTGACAGCAGAGCAAGCTCCGTTTAACTTGAGGTCCCAACTAACATAAGGTAGTTAGCAACGAAGTACTTACCTTCGCTGGTATCTATAGTACGCCGTATTCCTCTCCTCATTGAACCTCGAGCTTCGGCCCCCAAACTGAACTTAACTTCATCACAACTCAGTTCCCACATTTTGGAGTTGGAGGGCCGCGGCTCTTGATTTAGCGAAAGTACCGCGTTGATATTGTTGCAACTTACTCTAAATCCATTCTTTAACTCAACCCCTGAAATCCCTGCATTCGCTACTCCACGAGAGTCGCCAGCCCTCAGTCAGCCTCCTTATCCGCACTCAGCCTTACCGATTTCCGCCCAAGCGCTTCCCCTCCGAACCCCCTCCGATCCTCAACCCCTTCCACCCATCCTCTCGCACCAATGTGTCTCGTCCACGTCAAAGAAGACCGCGACCTCTCCCCTGTCCGTGTCACTCGCGTCCGCCGCTCCACCTACCGCACTGCCTCCCCCCGCCGCATCTCCCGCGTCTCCGTCCACTCTCACCACTCCGACCACCACCTCGACCACCGCCACTCCGGCCACTACCACACCCCCATCCCCACCACCGTCGCCGTGCCCACCGCCGCCCCGCTGAAGGTTCCCGCCCCGCAGCCGGTCCCCGTTTTCGTCAAGTCGCCGACCCCGCCGCCCGTGCATTCGCACGACGTGCACTATGTGCATGCGAGTCCGCGGAGCAGCGTCAGTAGTATGCGGTCGCCGAGTCCTCGGCGGGAGCGGGATGATTATCGGTATGAGAGGCGGGAGGTGAGGTATGAGCGGGACGTGTCGCCGGCGAGGAGCCACCGTGGAGGGGACTACGAGTCGTTTCGGTATATCGATGCGCCAAGGGAGGAGAGGGGGGCGGATTTTAGTAGGGGACGGTCACGGAGTCGGAGTCGGGTGAGGGAGGAGTATCATGATCCGAGGGATGAGTATCGGAGGACGAGGGAGACGGAGATCCATATTGATAAGCATGGGAATCGCAGGTACTATGATTAGGCTGGTAGATGTGAGCGGGTTTACGAGCTTATGAGATATGATTGGATTAAGAGAATGGATTGGATTTCGACCGTTCTGACAGCCTTTAAATCATTTGGTAGATCTGTGCTTGCGCATATTGCTCAAGTGGTGTTTGTCTCTAACGTCGGTCTACAAATGATAAAGCAGCTCTGGTTGGCGTTGCCGCTCTCCTGGAGTCAGATGCGGTCTATACTCGCGTGTATTCTTCCCCTTGCAAGCGAAATAGCACATAAATATATTATCCAGCCTAATATACCGGTATATTGGTCGATTGCATAGAATTTGTATAGCATTCCTTTGTCTCAGCTCTATCTTGCATTTGTAGCTCAAGGCTGACGCAACCCGGACCCTTCACCGAAAACCTGCAGATCAGCTCAATACACCAGCGACGCCCGCATATTCATCCTCAGAATTCCCACCTACATGCCTGAAATCTCGCGTGAAATGATCCCCGAAATTTTTCAAACACCGGATGATGATTGAAGCCGCCCAACCTCGAACCGCAACCTCCCCTCCACGAGCAGGGAACGGGAAATGTCCATCCGGGTCCTCATCAAAGACTCCTCCCATCGTGCGATCGCGCTCGCGACCGCCACCAGCGTTCTGATCCTACGGCATAGTGAGTCGTCGGTGGAGAATAACTCGTCGGGGTCGTCGACCAGCTTGGTGAACGGCGGCGCGAACGCATTTCGGTGCATCGTCGAGTTCTCGTCAATCGACGATGTCGACCTCTCGGAGTATCGGTCGTTGTCGTCGCAGACCGTCCATGGGACGCTTGGGTTGATATCCATCGCGAATGAAGTGTTTCTGTGCGTGGTCAGCGCGGCGCAGAAAGCCGCCACCGTCAGACCGGCGGAGACGGTCCAGAAGATCCTCGCAGTGGAGTTCCGTTCGTCTCCATGAATGAATAATATTGAATGCCAATGGCCCTGAGCTGATATCAAAACAGACTGCCTAAGTAGCACGGACTATGATTTTGTTTTAAGTGAGGAGATCAATCCGTATCCAACGGATACCCTTGGCGACGATGGCTTCGAGCGAAGTCAGAGTCCTGGTCGTCGAGAGTCGATTCTGGAGCATCCGTGCCTGACATTGAAGAAGCTCCTGAGCAGCGGCACGTTCTATTACAGCGCCGATTTCGATGTCACGAGGAGACTCCAAGACAGGTAAGCTACCATGCGCTTGCATGTTTGCAGATGACTGACGTTAGTCTAGGCCAGCAGACGTACCTGTGTCCGTGGACAGTCTTGATGACGGCTTTCTGTGGAATTCGTTCATGATCCAGCCGTTGGTCAACTTCCGAGCACGTCTCGGTCTTCGTGAGAAGAGGGCGCTGGACGACTCAAAGATCATGACGTCTGCCATTCGAGGATTTGCCTTCACTCTCCCTGTTCCCGCATCCTCTTCCCCTATGGTATCGTCTCGCACGGGATTGCCGTCCCAATTGACTTTGATATCTCGACTCTCATGCCGACGTGCGGGTACTCGATTCAACGCGCGAGGCATTGACGACGATGGATATGTCGCCAACTTCGTCGAGACGGAAACTATCTTCTGGCTACCCGACGGCAGTTGTTTTTCCTACATCCAACTCCGTGGAAGTGTCCCCGTCTTCTGGGAACAGACGAATAGCCTCATCCCGGGGCAACAAAAGATCACCTTAAGTCGTTCCATTGAAGCAACGCAGCCTGCATTCGACAAGCATTTTGAAGGACTGGAGTACGCATACGGTCCCATCCACGTCGTTAACTTGCTGAGCAACGACAAACCCGGGGAGCTGGAGCTTACCGGTAGATATCATCAGCATATTAACAACTGTGTGCTTAATAAGCGGGCAGCGGAAGCTGAAAAGGGCCATGGGCTCCTCAAAGAGACGTTATATGACTTCCACGCGGAGACAAAAGGTCCCACTGGCTACGAAGCGGCGCAAATGATCCGACAGTACATCGAAGATTCTGCGAACAGTTTCTCATACTACCTGACGAAATGGGAATCCGAGACCGACGGGAAGCGGACCAGATATGTACGATCCAATACACCGACCCTTCAACAAGATGGCGTCTTCCGGACGAACTGCCTCGACTGCCTTGATCGTACCAACTTGGTGCAGACGATCATCAGCCAACTGGCTTTGGAACTGTTCTTCTTCCATCACAAGGAACGTGGGACATCGGATTTTTGGATGAGGCACAACAGCCTTTGGGCAGACAATGGCGATCATCTCTCGAAAATTTACGCCGGAACAGGGGCTCTAAAATCGTCCTTTACTCGACTGGGAAAGATGTCCTTTGCAGGCGCCATTGCAGACGCACGGAAAAGCGCCCATCGATTGTATGTGAACAACTTTGCGGACAAAGGCCGTCAGAACACGATGGACATGCTTCTCGGACGCTTGATGGGGCAGCAGCCGATTGTGTTATACGACCCGATCAACGACTGGGTCATCAATGAGATGAATCGACGAGCATCCGAGTACAGCTCCAAAGAGTTGATCAACATCTGGGCCGGGACGTTCAATCTAAACGGAAGAACCGATGGCATCAACGAGGATCTGGGAATGTGGCTGTATCCTGACAAACATTTTCCGGAGATCTTCGCCGTGGGTTTTCAGGAAATCGTGGAGCTTAGCCCGCAGCAGATCATGTCGACGGACCCGGAAAGACGGAAGGACTGGGAGTTGTCGGTGCTCAAGGCATTGAACAGAATGACCACAAAAGAAGGACAGGATGAGTACGTGCTTCTGAGAGGTGGACAGCTTGTGGGGGCGTCACTCTCGGTCTTCGTCAAGTCCGCCTCGTTAAAACACATCAAGAATGTCGAGGCAAGCATGAAGAAGACTGGGATGTCGGGCATGGCGGGAAATAAAGGGGCGGTGGCAATTCGCATGGAGTACGCGAATACATCCATATGCTTGGTCACTGCCCATCTTGCAGCTGGGTTTGCGAACTACGAGGAGCGAAATCGGGATTACAAGACGATCAGCCAGGGGTTGCGATTTCAGCGGAACCGGTTAATCGATGACCATGATACTGTGATTTGGATGGGCGACTTCAACTACAGGATCGGATTGGAGAACGAGAAGGTGCGAAAGCTAATCTCAGCGGGCGACCTGGAGACGCTTTACGTGAATGATCAGGTAAGATTATCCGAGTCTCTCTAGAACATCGCTTACCTGACTAGCTGAACATCCAAATGGTTGCTGGACTGGTGTTCCAGTACTACTCCGAAGCGCGGATAACCTTCCTTCCCACGTATCGCTTCGATATCGGGACAGAGAGATATGATACCTCGTAAGCTTATTAGCCGACATATTCGGAACCTCAGCTAACACATAACAGTGAGAAGCAGCGCATTCCGGCGTGGTGCGACCGAGTCCTCCGTAAAGGCACCAACATCCGCCAAATCCACTACAACTCCGTCCCCCTCCTCTCCTCCGACCACCGCCCCGTCTACGCCACCTTCGAATGCGACGTTAGTTTGGTCGATGAGGGCATCAAAGACAAGCTCAGCGCAGAGCTGTACAACCACCGCCGCACAACCGTCGGCGACCGTACCGCCAACACCAACGAGGAAGACACCGACGACGAGGACCTGATCGGATACGAGAGCATCGAGCCGGGTCTTCCTCCCGCGAGCTCGGACCGCCGGAAGTGGTGGCTGGATAACGGCGCGCTTGCCCGCGTGACGGTGAAGGCGCCTGGAAAGGAATATTCCTTGAATCCGAACCGTCCATCAAATCCATTCGCGCCTACTTCAGAGCCCGACTGGGTCCGGATCTCGCCGTCGAACTTAGATATGGACATGCATTCGCCTCCAAAGCAGATTCCACGGAAACTGCCTCCGCCATACCACTCCTCGTCGTCCCAGACTTCCATTTCGAATGGCAAGTCTAATACTCCGACACCGCCTGCTCCGCGTCGGTCGCAAGCAACGTCGTCACCCGCACAATCGCTGCGAACGCAGCCGATACCCATTCACAGCCAGTCCACAACACCATCTAGTCCACAGAGCGTCTCGTCAACCAAGACGGCGCCAACAATCCCCCGAAAACCAGAGGCGTTCCGACAGTCATCTTTTACGGTACACCATTCGCCATCTTTACCCCAGCACATAGAGTCACATCCCCGAGTCACGGTACAAGGAGATGGCGCGGAAGACCAATCGACAGCTCCTGCTCCACCACCCCCTAGAAGATCTGTCACTACCAATATCCAGTCCAAGGATGCAGACAGGCCGGGGTTGCCGTCCCGAGGAGCCGCGACGAAAGACTTGATGGACGAAGCGGATGAGACGGGGATGGAAGAGTTGCAAAGCTGGGAGGTATTAACGCCGAGCGGCAGATAGCAGGCACTGGATTGCCTCGGTACGAAAAGTCTCGCGCACGGCGTTTGTAGAATTAGATGCACACACGACGGAATGGTCACAATGCGATTATGCCTATCTATGTCCATGCAGGGTTCCACGAATCTCTTTTGCGATGACCTTCCTTGCTCCATGACTATGACGGCTAGGCCGAATGAAACAACGTTACAACTCACTATCCGCCCGTTTTATCGCGAAGACAGTATCCCTCACCCTCACGCGATGATCTCCTCCGTCTCATCAATAATCTCCTCCACAATCTCCTCAATCACCTCATTCTTCCCATCGTCCACCACCTCCGCAATGTCCGGCAAACCCGCCGCGACCTCATCGTGCAGCTCCTCCTCCACCTGCTCGCGCCACGCCAGCCACTCGTCCAACAGACGCCGCCGCTGCTCGATGATCGCACGCGACGCCTTGTTCTTCCGGAGCAGATCCTGCGGGTCAAAGATCTTCGAGTATTCGCGGAGGTTGCGGCGGATGTGCTTCTGCTCTTCCTTGGTGAGGAGGGTCGGGGGGCGGGGGCGCCAGGCGAATTGCTTGAAGCGCTCGAGGGGTTCTTCGCGGAGGGCGGTGCCTTTGAAGTCGTAGAGGTGGTATCCATTTTCAGCCTGGGGTTTGTTAGTTTACGGTGCGGGAAATAGGGTTTTAGCAATGGTACTTACGGTATGCTTCCAGATACTCGCGGATGTTGCGACGAAGCGACCGGTCGGGTCCCATTCTGCGTCTGTGATGCCGTAGTGCTCCGCCGTGTTCATCAGCTGCAAGTTAGCCGTGAGATCCTTATCTTTCTCGTCTTTCTCGCCCTCGAAGTCCATATCCCAGAAGTCGAGCTCGAAGCTTTGCTGCGAGTGTACGGTGGCAATGACGACGAATCGTCCCCTCGGCGACCAGTAGATGGCGTTGCTGTTCTTCTTTTCGATGGTGCGGATATGTTTGAAGTTGCCAACGGCATTGCCCTTGGCCTTCTCGGGGCAGAAGAAAACAACGGATGTCTTGGGTGGAACGGCGGCTGATTGAGGGATCTCGCCAGCAGTGATGAGAACGAACCGGTCGCCCTTCGGCTCCCAAGCGAAGTTAATGACGGTGTCTTTGAGAGAATCGACAACTTCGACCGGGACGCCCTTCTCCTGGATACGGAAGATCTCGAGGTTTGTGGCGAGCGACTTCTTTGACTTCGAATGTCGGTCAACCTTGACGCAAAGATACTGTCCTTGTGATTGCCAGTGGAGCTTGGCATCTGAGACATTGAAAAGGTTCCTCGTTCGGACAATTTCTTTGGATGGAAGGGTCATCAAGCCGACCTTTGCAGGATTGCTTCCAAGTTCCGGGGTCCAATAGCAGAGCAGCTGCTCATACGTTTTGATGCTCTCGCGTTTTGCCGTTGCTGGAGCCCACTCGAAGTCTTGTACGCCTTCGATCTTGATGGACGCTTTATCAAGCATGTTCATCCGTGGGGTCTCGTACACTGATATTGACTGACCGAAGGTCATGCGTGCCACGTATTTGTCGTCTGCGGACCATTTGAAAGCTGGCCACTGAAGCTTCTTCTTGGTCGGCTCGCCATTCTCATCGGGGGGTCCCGGGATATCCAGAGTAACAAACGATCGTAGAGGCTTGCCGGTCTCGACGTCCCAGATGATATAGTTCTTTCCGTCTTCCTCCATAGACATCGGACCGGGATTGTTCTCATCGACGGCGATCGGACGATGCGACCAAGTGACCAGGTAATTTTCATTGGGAGAGAAATCGATCAGGTTGACGAACGGATGTGCGAACCGTCTCTGCCGAGTCCATGATTTGCCGGCCCAAATCTGTACACCCTGTTGATGTATTGAGGTGAGGTATGTTCCTAGCGGCGACCATTGCACGAACATCTCGGTCCAGTTGGGTCGGTCTACGATCACCTCCGGTGGGTCATCCTTCTCGTTCCAGAAAACGCCGACGTTGTCTCCCCGGAACATGACGAACTGATCCCGCGCATCCGGATCGCTGAGCCACCATCGGAGGTGCTCTCTCTCCTGGAAGTCTTCGATTGTTGGTGGGACATATTCTTCCTCAACGCGACCTTCCCTGCCATATCGATCGATGTCGGTGAGCTTGTTGATGGCGATGGTATGTTTCTTGTCTAATGGGGTGCCGTTGAAAGCCTTAATCGCCGCGACTGCTTCTTTGGGTGAGGAGAACTCGACGAAGGCAAATCTTCATTGATGTTAGATAGAGTCTAGGCGAGAGTCAAACGGATCATACCCCAGTGTAGTATTGGAATCGTCCAGCGGCATGAAGGTGCCTTCTTCCGTCGCGGTACCCACCGCATTCAATTTCCTTAACAGGAACTTCGTGAGCTTTACTCGGCTGTCTGCCGGGACCTTTGGCAGGCCATCCACGACGACGAATGTATCGAGCCCTTCCTCCAGTCGCACTTCATATTGCTCTCGCAGGTCTGTGAAATCGATATCATCTTCATCGATGAGCTCTTCGTCCTGGAGGTTATCGTAGCTGGGCGCCATGGTTGCGGTTGATCGTGGTGGTCGTGAAAGGCGAAAGCGTTGTCGTGGGGTTGAGATCTTAACTCTTAACGTGAGGTGGAATTTCCTCGAATTTTGAGCCCCACACGCCTGTGGCTCGTTTGAGATTCGGTCACGTGATATCACCAAATTTCGTGTTGGCTCTGCCTAGATCTAAAATGAAGGTGAAATTACTCCCATCGCGGTTTCAAAGTCATAAGTATTTATAGGAGGTAGATATCGAATTATAATAGGGTATAATAGAAAAACGTAAGGTTTTGAAATTTCTCTCCACCAAGACAGCAACTCCCCGCCTAATACGGGATCCCGTTCGTCATCAACTGGAACCAATCGTACCCCTTCGTCGAATAACTATGATAGCTACGTTGGATCATGCCCTTCATGAAGTCCGCAGCCTCTGTCTCCGACTTCTCCAACACAAACCGATCTCGAAAATGCTGAATGGTCTGCGGCTTGAAACATGGCAAACTGCTTTCCAACATGACCGTGACCATGTGCACCAAATGCTCACAGTGCCGGCGAGAGGCGAGGAAAGCCTTGATGGACAGCTCCTCAAACCAGCGGTATGATTGCGAGTTAACCGAGCCGCCCATCACGGAGATCATCTCCGGCGTGAGCTTGAATGGGGCCCGCTCAAATCGGACGCCGCCGGGCGCGATGTCGAAGCAGAAGCCGAAGTCGATGTGGATGATGTGGCCGGCGTCGTCAATCATGATGTTGCCATTGTGGCGGTCTTTGAGCTGCAGGAGGTAGGAAATGATGCTATATGCTGCCATGCTCTTCACGAAGTTGCTGCGCGCTTCTTGGAAGCGGATGGAATCTTCCCCGCCGTATTTGGAGACAAAATAATCGTAGAGCCCGTTGACAGCCTCGCGGCCGAGCATGTCTCGTGAGATGGAGTTGGGGAGCACATCGATGACACCGCAGCCAGGAGCCGTTGCAGTGACTCGGTACGGGAATACGAAAACGTCCAGTCCCACATCGTGGAAGATCCCTCGGAATGCAGAAATAATCTGCAAGATCAAAACATCCTGTCGGCAGTCATCTCCAACTTTGAAAATTGCCGATTGCCAAGATTCGGTGTGATGCTTCTGTAGTGGCGAATTGCCGTTCGTGAGAGCCTTGCCATTCTGCTCCTCGTCCACGGCCTGGATCTGTGGGGATTCTTTCTTGATGCGGAACGTCGCCATGTATGGCGCCTTCGCATGGCTTTGTAGGGGCTTGCCAGATTTCCGATCGATCCCAATCACAACGCCATCTGGGTTGCTAGGTAAGTAAACACCGACCTCAACTTTGATCTTGCGTAGCTCCTCTTCAATCTTTTCCTTCTTCTCCTGCTTGCTTCTCTTGATGTAGGGCTTCAGCTTTCCAGAAATGTCGGTCACGTCGTTAAAGAAAGAGAATTCCTTCTCATAGAAAGTGCGGTCTTCCGGGCTAAAGCTTGAGATCAGGCTGCCCATAACCTTGTCAAGGTTGGGTTTGATTGGGTCAGGCTGGCAAGTCAGTATTTTCTCAGTACAAAGATAGGAGTGTTGTGCTTACAATCTCGCTGTTATCGTCTTTATAAGCATTCGCTTTCATGTTCCAGATGATCTGATGGGCAAAGAGCTGCGAGAACTTGGCAGTCTCGACAATATACCGCTCCACGTATTCCAGTACATCATACCGAAGAGTCTGCACGATTTGCGGAACGTAAAAGAACGTGATATCGACCGAATGGCTCTCCAAAGCGCGCATGGCGTACTGAACAATGAACGGATGGTTGCCATATGCCGGGAGAAAGTAAGTAACAGCAGTCATGGGATTCACTGGCGCCCAGTACAAAAGATACTTCAACTGGAAAGACACATCGGTTGGCATCGAGGGACCAAGCAAGACCTCCAACGCATCCGGAAGATCCAAGGTCTTCTCAGGGAAATTGAGAACGAGCCAGCGGACTTCACGCAATAGTGCTTGGGAATGAAACCGTTGCACCAGGTTGATTGCAACAGAAGGCTTGTACGCCCAGGCAGTCCGCACGGCATTGACCAGTGTAGTCTCGGGTGGAGTTTCTCGAGCTGCTGATGACGAGAAGAAGTGCCTATTCTCGTAGTCTATTGGGAAGAGCCAAACGAGCAACCGCATTTGCTCATCCGAGAGCAACATTTGAAGTAACTCTTTCTTGGCTCTCAGAGCACCGGCGACATTGGCATCTATGGCCGTCTGATTCTGAAGAGCGTGCCGCACGGATTCAATGAGATGCGTCTCCGCTTTGATTTGCAGTCTATTACCACCGAATGACCACCTTGGGGGGTTGGAAAACCAAGCGAGCCCGGCCGTTAGGATGCGGTCCAAAAGTCTCCAGCGGCCCGGGAAACCAAGGCCGGGGAAGTGCTGAAGAAGTTGACAAGCAAGAAGAACGAGGTGGAGATGCGCTTCTCGGGCGAGGGGATGGTCAGCAATGAATTCCATCGCATCCAGAGAAAGGTGGACGAGACGCAGGTATATCCGTCGCATCTGAGGCGTGCTATGTCGCGATGCTCCGAAATGGCTTAGGAAGAACTGGAGCAAGCGGAAGTGGGGGGCAATCGCATTGTAGACAGCCGCTTGCTTTTTCGCGATCAATTCTTTGTCTGACGGCGCAAATTCTTGCCTCAAATAGAAAGGGTTGGGATGGTGGAGGTCCTTATTAAACAAGCCCACTCGCCTGTGGATTTTGGTCTCCCAATTCTCAGCCACCTCCACGATGATCCTGGATTCCATTCGAGGGTTCTCTTTAATGACACCAGTCCAAAGCGAGATGCCGAGTTTGATGGATTGCTTCGTGAAAAGAGCGAACGGGATACCGACAAGGTGATGCACAATGGCGCATTGATCCTTTTCACTCTTGCAAAGCAAAGCTCCAGCGCGACGTAGCACATCACGAAGCTCGTCCACAGCAACAACCTTGTGATTGAGCGTCCGGTTTTCGACGTCGGCGAGAAGGCTCTCGGCATCCTCCATGGAGCGGTCTAGTTTTGCATTCGTCCGGATCATCGTATCCGCATCGGGAGGCAACCAACCCCCATGAGCGCGATCCTGGGTACCATCAAGTCCGACGAATCGGTATCCTTGGCGGATGGTGTACTGTGCAACGAAATCCGATGCTGTATTCACGCCCAACGTTGGTTGGGGATCAATGGCATTGAGACGCTGATCGGTCGTTGGAATTGTGGAGCCCAATTCAATGGCGAATGACCGGCCCAAGGATAGGTGACCATATGCTCGCTCTTCCTCGTACTCGGACAAATATGTCTGCAGAAGCCCCTTCACGTCTACGGGCGCTAAGTCCAGAACCTTGGCCATCCATGACTTCGCCCGTTTATGGAACTGGGCAAGGGTGACGCGACGGAGATCGTAGCTGTCGGACAATTCCACCTCCAAGCCCGCGTGTTTGGTTTGGAAGGTCGCCCTCCACGCATACTCATCAGTCTCACACTCCAGGCAACTATCCCACATGATCGTGAGAATGTCGAGGAGAGCGAAAAGCGAAGTTTGTTGACACAAGGCTGACGGGACCTTGGATATGATCAAATCTGCGCACTCAATCGCAACTTCCTGAATCGCGGTGATCCGGTAGCAACAAGAGGCGAAGATACGACCGAGCTGCTCTGCGAGATAGGGCGAGGAGAATGATTGGAACGACCCGCTCATGGTCTTCACCACGTATGTGTTAACGGCATGAACGGCGATTTCCCGCATACAATTGCCCATCTCGCCGACCTTAAGGCGTGGGTCAAGGAAGTAGGTGAGGACCGTCGTACAGTTCCCGGCTCGCGCACGGAGGGTTTCAACAAAATATGCGGTCGTCAGGAAGACGACTTCCGGGTAGCCGAGGGACTTAATGTCGTGTTCGCATGCCGGCAGCGCTCCCATCAGGTATTTCTTATGCTCTACCGTGTGTTCCGCGCTTTTTCCGCGTCGAAGGACGATATTGAGTTCAATATCACTTTCCAATTTGTCGGTTCGATCTTTGGGGACGAGTGGTTGGCTGTAGTATGCCAGAACTTGAAGCTCCTTCAGATAACGCTTGCCCATTGGAGAGGCGAAACTGAACCCGTGTACAACTAGGTTGAACCAAGCGTTTCTTTGGGCGGCAAGCAAGCCTTCCATGCCCTCGAGTTCAGGGAGGAACTCTGCATTCGACGACACAAGCATGGCCAGTGGTCCAAGTAGATGGGAAATCTCCTGTGCACCCAGCTCCGTGTCGAGTTCTTTCAACTGATCCTTGTCCAGCACGTCGCCTTTGCTGACAATGCTTTCAAGGATGTGGAAGAGGTAAATTTCAAAGTGTTCCGAATCGCCTTTGATCGTTTGCGACAAGTGGTTTCTAGCAGCAACGACTGCATCCCCAATGAGCGGTAGATTCTCAACCAGGGCGCGATGAGACATCCTGACGTATTGTTTCAGAAGCGACCGGAAGTCGGATATGCTCGTGTATGGGCCAAGGACCGCTGATTCTGCGATGATTCTAGCATCGACTGCCTTACTGACTCGCCCGATCTTTTGAACGAGCATCGACAATGCAAGTGCGATTATCTTCTCTTCTCTATAGGCCCTCGCTACGCAGACAATCGCCTGGATCACAGCTGCGAAGAGGTTTGATGGCTCGGTCGAATCGCTTGGCGCCAATGAGAGGGCGCTTCCTGCATTCGGATGGATGTAATCGTCAGACAGCTTTGAAGGATCAACATTGCCATCAACAAACGGAGAGAATGGGGTGCCGGCCGCGGTCCTATTTTCTGGTGCGGAGGACGTGAGAACGTTCCCCAGGCTGTACAGTGTGCTGATAACTGTGTCCTCGCTCGTTCGTTGGAGAACAGTTGCCAAAGCTTCAGCTGCGACCAATGAGACACGTCCCTGGAGTCCGCCTTTGACGATAATCCTTGGAAGGATACGGCTCATGTGAGTTGCGATAGCTGGATGTGATTTTGCGAGAATGGTTGTGGTTTTGAGAATGACGGTAGCCAAAGTTTCATCCGCCAGCTGAATTGAATCGGAGAGAGCATTCTCAATCCAGCTCATCAGCACGTCTGGATCACATACGCTCGAGTCGGCGACTGTAGAGAAAAGGTAGGCTTTGACGACGTTCCCTTTGGCGGCAAATGCCAGTCGTTGGTCCCATACGGACCCCAGTTCAAGGATATCAGAGCCGTCGTCGAATCGATCCATCTCCGTGGAAGCGACATCAGTAATACAATCGACCATTTCCTGCTTTTCTTGTCCCGCGGTTCGCGGCTGATTCGGCGTGTAGGAGTCCTTAAAGAGTCGATCAAGAAGTTCATCCGTAGAAAGACTTCCGTCTTGGTCGATTATGGTAGCCGAGCAAGACGCCACGAAAGCCATGAGTCCTTCACGGAGGAGCATCGCTCCAAGTGGTCGTCCGTGGACCGCATAATGCTTCGAGTACCGCTTCCATTCCTGAAATGCGCGATCATCGCCATGGTAATGCCGGATGGCGGAAAGTGACGTCTCGAGAGCAATTTCAAATTGCTTGGACAAAACACTCTCAAGTTTTTGCATGACTTGGACGCGTTCGATTGGGCGCCAGAAGTACGCTAGCTGTGTCGCCGCTCGCATGAATCCCACCATGGATGCCGCCAGCACCAATATCTTATGAAACGTGCCATCGTAGACTTTCGTTTCCGGGTTCTCTGCTTCCAGACGCTCGTTGTAGACCATCGCCGAGGCTTGTTCCCAGCCATCGATGTACTGCTGGATCGACGTGATAGCGGCATTGCGAATCGAGCTATGATTCTCTCCAAGAGAAAGTAGGGCATGCGTAAGGTGGTACGTGAGAAGTTCCCAAGGAGCCGAGTCGAAGCCGGACAGGATGTGTGATTGCTCGATCGCTTGCGAATAGGATTCGGGGAGGTATGGTATCAACTGACGAGCCAACTGAGTGGCGGGTGCCAAATCTTGAACGGATGGACCGGCTTTGCACAGTGCTAGAACGGACTCGAGCTCTGCTGCGCTCTATACCACAAATTTAGCATGAAATTCTCTGACCGTGTCTTCCGAAGCGGTTCCTACCATTGGCACACTTGCAACGCTTCCCTTCCCCCCCTCTTGCCCCTTCGCCGACTTCCCTTGGGCTGGAGGCCCAGGACATCTTCTACACAGACGTGATATGTCCGCATGGCCGGCAATTTCTCCATGAGAAGAGGTTGAGAGAGCGGCGAGCTTCTCAAGCGCTTGTCGGCGAATGCTGCGATACGTTAATAGGAGCCAAAGGTGGTCGGGTTTACATCATTTTACCTGCGCATCTTGCTGCGGCGCGTAGATTTTTCAGATGTAACTCATAGTTTAGGAGGATATAGGATAAAGTGATATATACAGACGCGCCACAGTTATGGAATTGCCATGCGTCTTTGGAGCAACAGAGTAAGTAAGCAGAGGTTGGATGCGGAGGGTTCGTGTTCAAAAAGTTTGTAGATCTTGATTGGGAGGTTGTGATGCGCATGACGCTTGCCCGCTTTACGCCATCCATGCCAATCCCAATATAAAGTATCTCCAGCAATGACGAGAGGCTTTATCAAGTATCGAATTAAATTCTACCAATGCGTTGGACCTCGATCATAACTACAGGTGTGACCTAGTAATATCTCTCAGGTTCTGACCCTGGCAGCCTGGCCCTTTTGGACAGAGAATACCAATCCCTCCGAGGTAGTGCTGGGTGAAAGAGGGTCAACACGTGCTGTTTTTAATATGAATCCTGAAAAAAGCTGTTCTATACCGGACTCGAACTTTGAACCTGCAAAAAGGGAAGCACAGCACTTAAAGGGCCAAGCAGCTGGTGTTTCCGGATCAATACCTTTGACGACCCCGCGTGGGGCTATCAACTAGACCATATGTGCTTACTATGAAAAGGATTGATCAAAGACTATTTATCAAGTGCCTTCAGAATCCATTTGCTCCTTCACTGATCCCATAAAGAACTGCGGTAATATGGGCCGTTCTGACTCTACTTCTCGTCCTGAAGATACTCCAGACAGCGCTGTTACGACATGAAGTAGATATATATCGGCGGATAGGTTCCATCGACATTGTTAATTAACACTCAGCGCCCCATATTCACAGTCCTCACGCCTTCGTCTGTGCTTCCAACTCCCTCTTAACCCGAAAGAACGCGAGCTTCGCAAACCGTCCCAAATTCGCCCAGAAGTGTCGTCCAGCCGGATGTTCCGCGATCCTCTCCAGCAACCCAACCACTGCCACCCGGACGTCAGGCCGTGGATGAAACAGCCCGAGACCGAGATAGAATAGCCCGCCCTGTGACTCGGGCATCGAGAGTAAGATCTGATTGATGACATCGTACCGCACTTCTTCGCGATGGAGCTCGAGCTCAATGGCCGCGTCGTCCGTTTGGTCTTCGTCCGTGGGATCCAGCTTCTCTCCATCATCGGCCGAAGGCCCGCCTTCCAATCCTGCCATCTCTACCGTTCTCGCAATTGCCTTATACACGAAAGCGCTCTGATCATACCCCAGCCTCAACGTCCGCAATCGATCACACTGGTATCTCAAATCAATGCCCCGTAACCCAACCCCCGGCCTCCCCGCACCCCGTCCCCACCACTTCGCCATATCCTGCAAATACGTAAAATACGTCCTCGTCCCTCTCCACCCCTCAATCCTTGACGCGTTCGCCGCCAAATCCCTCACCTTCGCCATCTCGTCCGGCCAGACCACGCCGTGGCCCCGCACGCCGAATCCCAGCGCATCGGCGTCAATTTCCGCGGCGCCGGGGGCGAGCGCGGACGCGCCGAAGACGGTGGTCTCGAAGGCGGCGGCGACACGGGTGAAGCGGGAGACCCAGGCGCGCCAGCGGGAGCGGATGGCGGATTCGCCGAGGCGGTTGGTGATGGCGTGGGAGATGGCGTCCATGAAGGCGTGGTCGCCGGTGGGGTCGTTTTGGAGGGTGATGGACGAGGGAGGGGACGAGGAGTTCGCAGCGTTGGTGGCGGCGGAGATGCCGGCGCCGACGGCGGCGGAGAAGGAGTTCATAGAGGAGGGGGCGTGGTGGTGGGAGTAGCCGTGGTGAGAGGGAGGAGCATGGCCCATTTGCTGAAAGGACACAAGGCCTTCGGTGATGGGTGCGGGCTCGAGTTTCGGGGAGATCTTCATACGCCCGGTGGGGAGATCACAGAGGAGATCCCACCATTCGGGCTTGTGTGCGAAGGCGGGATTGGTGACACCGGCGATAAAACCAGGGACTTTCAGCAAATCGTCGATCTTGGTGAGATCGGTGTAGGGGAAAGCATGTCGTGTAAAGCCACGGAGGACGCCGCCTGATGCTAATGCGCAGGATGCCAGGACCGCTTCTGCAACGCTGCCAGAGGGTTGGTTGTGACCGAGGAAGATAATGCGTTTCTGGGTGAGGAGGGCGTTTACGAGGACGATGATCGGGTGGGTATATGCACCGGAGGTAGTGAGATGTGCATGCAATGCGAACGGCTGCGGAGATGTGGCATGTGGAGCGGAGAAGGTTTGGATCAGTTTGATCAGTGAGAAGTCGCCGACGGTCTCCGGCGAGATAGCAGCAGGGACTTTGACGGGAACGGGAACGCCGTTGTATAGGACGCGAGAATCGAATTCGTGGGTATCTCGTGGGAGGGCATATCGTCGTTGGGCAGGAGCAGGGGCGGAAGCATCGGAAGAGTTGGAGGTCATGGACTCGTGTTTCGCGTCTTCGATCATCCGTTGCTGGATCATTATATCGAACTTTTCGATGAACATGTCTTTAGCATCGCTTGCTTGCAGGATGTGCCGCTCGAGTGGGTTTAAACGAGGCATTAGTGACAAGTCCATCGAGTTGACGGCATTGTAGAGAGACGCCAATGTCTCCGGGACAGGGGCCTTAAAGTACTCATCTAGGGCAAGGAGAAGTAGTGGCTGGATAGGTTAGCAATCGTTTTTAATCTGGAACCTAATAGAACTTACTTTGTAGATGTGTAGGAATGGATGTCTTGTACATATCGCCATCGCCTTTACAATAGCTCCTCTACGACATGTCAGTATCCATACGCTGCAGGCATCAATGAGCACTCACCTTTTCACGGTATTATCCTGCTTCATATTCACCAAATTAAGCACATATATCAATGGAGGATTTTCGGAATCGTCTTCTGGATCATTATCCAACTCCGAGTCATACTCCTCATCAGTGTCCTCGTTCCGTTCTAGTTCAACTCCGGCACGCGCGATCGGGTCCAGCTGCTCGCTGTTCTCCGCGTTCGCCTTCTGTTGTTGTCTCAGCTCCCTCCTCTGTCTCCTCTCCGCCCTTGCCTCTTCCTCGGCAGTGGTATCTTTATGCAGGAAAAAGATCGTCCAGTCCTGATTCCGCATATGCGCCTGGTCGGGCAACATCAGCTCCGCGAGCATATGCTCGTCCCCACTTATCGGCCCCGGAAATTGATGTTCCATGACGGATCCGCGGTCGATGTCGAAGGATGCAACCAGGATATATTCGACATGGTTTTCGGCCCCTTGGACGGGATACTGTGAGACTTCCTGCGCGATATATTCCTGTGTCGGAGAGCCGCTGCGGTTGGACGGCGCTGGTGGTAGGTTCTTGGAGTCGATGGCGGATTCGTCGACCGAAAACTCGGGAAACGGCATCGTGCCGTTTGACTGAGTTGCGCTGGCTCCCCCCGAAGGAGAGCGAGATCGGGGATGTCGTGGATATGTCGCATCGTGGAAACTTGATGCGCCGAGTTGGTCTTTAGGGGGAGGAGGTGGTCGATGAGGTAGGGCTGAAGCCATGACTGCTGATTTCTCTCCAATCTCTTTAATCCGAGTCTCTTTGACATCCAGTGACAATTGTTATTTGTGTCTCCTCACCTAATACTCATTGCGCACTTCGCATTGGATCGCCGAGATACACTTCTCCTGATATAGATGCTAGCAGTCGCTTGGAGGGGAATCGAAACACAGAACAGTATATTCTATGGAAAATCAAAATTTCAGAGACCAAACACTCTTCTTCTCTCATCTATTACTTCACATGGTAGTATGAGAAGACAGAAGTGCACACCTGGATCATCGACGAGTCTCCCACTCTCGGCGAAACGATATGGAGTCCGAACAAGCAGTCGCGGTCCCTGTCGCCCGCCATTTTAGCGCCGGGAGCTTAAATAATGCGCTAAACCCAATTAGTTCAATTGTAAACATTCAACATACATTCATCCCACATCAACCTTGATGTCACAACTGCACTTCAAATAAACATAAGTCGACGAGAAGACAGTGAAGGACGAATTGAGCAATACCCTGTGAAAATGGTGCGTATCCATATATGGCCAGAAACCGACCTGATGACTAACTTGAACCAGTCTTCCCCATTCAAACCCTCACCACTGTCCTTCAGCTCTCCTCGAGCCTCGCCCTTCCGCCGACCAGACTCTCCTCACGGCCTAGGCAAATCTCCTTCAACCGTACGAGGAGCGACACCAACAACCTCTCCGCTAAAGCATTCCACCCCGTCCGCAAACCGCGACCTCTCTGCACCCCGCGACCTCTCCGAAACCCCCGACCACACCCCCACCAGCGCCACCAAAGGCGACCGCTCCTGGCTCACCACCCGCGACACTGCCTCCCACCTATCCCCCC